GTTTTTATAAGTAACTTATAGAGACTTAAATAAAGAGTTAATAGCCCTAAGTTGCCTAAACACTTTATAACAAAAAAAAAAAAGCTTTACTTTACACTTTACTAAGTTCTACTAACTTGCATTTAATATAGGCCTAAATAAAATAAGTCTAATTATAGCCTTATGTAACTCCCTCTTAACTAAACTGTAACGCGCTATAGTAGGAGAACCCCTTCTAAACAACCTTAACATGTATGCAAACCTAATTGCTACCTATAATAATAACATAAGGTTTCTCCCTATACAAGCCCTAATACACCCCTAAACTAGCGTAGTTACAAATAAGGACCCTAATATAATAAAAATTAATTTAAATTATGCTCTAGTTAGTTCTAAAAAGTATAAAGATTATAAGAAAAAAAGTTAATGCTTTAAGTGTAGTAAGTATAGTTATATTTTTTAAAACTGCTTTATTCCTCTTTTTTAAGTCTGCGCAAGTAGTGCTACTAGTACTTATTAAAGATCTTTACTATTTTAATTTTATTTTTATAAGGGCTTTAACTTATATTTAAGCTTTAATCCCCTTTGCTACTCTTAATATAGCTGCAGCTATAGTAGTAGGAGCCTGTAAAAAGGCTTGTTCTAGAGCTAAGTTACTCTCTAGGACTAATTTAACACTAGATCTTTACTAACTTATAGGCTAAGTCCCCTACTAATAACTAAAAGTACTAAGTTAATATTTTTATATGTTTATAATAAAGAACTATATTAGCTTTAATATAAGCTCTTATTAACTTAAGAGTAAATAGCATAGGTTACATTAATAAAAAACTAGTGTGTAAACTAAATCTTTAATTAACACTACTTACTTAAATAATTTACTTAACTAGATTTAATAGAAAATAACTTAAAAAAGGTTTTATCTTTTATACTACAACTATTATAATTACCTACTAACACTATAAGAAGTAGATTAAGCTTTATATAATAAATATAGAACATTATAACTTAATCCTAGAACAACTATAGCTATATTAGCATAAAGTTGCCTTTAATTACTAAAAGTAAGTTCTAAACTTTAACTTTTTTTAATGCTAAGATATATACTTATGCTTACACTTAAATAACACTTAAATAGCACTTAATATAAAAGGTTTCTAAACTTACTTTTTAATAACCTAGAAAAAAACTACTTAAGTAAGGCTAATAAGCTAGGCCTTTTACTAAGATAAGCTATATAAAATAATTTAACAACTACTTAAACTTAAAGAAGAGAAAGCCTTTAAAGAACTTTTACTTACTTAATTTAAACACAAACTAGGACTTAAACAGCAGATAGACATCTGCTACATAGGACCTGCTTTATTTGTAACTCTAGCTTAATAACTAAATTATAAAATCTACGTAGTTATAATTTCTAATATAGACTAAGCTTTAGCTCTCTAAAAACACACTAACTTAAAGATAATAGTCTTTTAAAACTACTATAACCTATTACATGTTTTTTTTTAAGATAAGTTTAATAAGCTTTTAATATAACATTTATATAATTACTAAATAACTCTTAAGCCTAGTAAACAACTTAGTTATAGGCTACTATATAAAATATTGCTAAATAAATTAAAAGTGCTTTAAAAATACTTTAATAAGAACCTAGAAAAAGGGTTTATTTAAGCTAGCTTCTTACTAGTAGTGTTACTTATACTATTTATAAAAAAACCTAAGAGTAGGCTTTAATTTTATGTTAACTACTAAGGACTAAACACTATTACTATTAAAAACTAATACTTAATTTTTTTTTTATAGAAAACTCTAAGCTAACTAAGTAAAGCAAAGTATTTTATAAAGTTAGATATTATTACTGCTTTTAATAAGCTAAGAATAGTAAAGAGTAATAAGTAGCTAATAGCATTTTAGACCTAATATAAACTATTTAAGTACCTAGTAATACCCTTTAGCTTAGCTAACACGCCTAGTACTTTTTAACATTTTGTAAACAACTTGCTCTAACTCTACCTAGACATGTTTTGCACTATGTATATTAACAATATTCTAATTTATAGTAATAGCCTTTTAGAGCATAAATAGCATGTACGCTTAGTGCTAAAGGCTATAAAAGAAGCAGGTCTATAACTTAACATAGATAAATGCAAGTTCTACTAATTAAAGGTTATGTATTTAAAATATGTAATCTTTATAAATAGCATCTAAATAGACCCTATTAAGGTTTAGACTATGCTAGATTAGTAATACCTAAAAGATATAAAAAACATTTAAGCTTTTATAAAATTTACTAACTTTTACTAATAATTTATTAATAACTTTTTGCAGCTAGTAAGCTTTATAATTACACTTACTAAAAAAAAAGTTTAATTTAACTTTAACTTAAATTACTAATAGTCTTTTAACTAGCTAAAAAAAGCCTTTACTAAAGCCTTAATACTCTACTACTTTAACTTTAAACTACTAATACTTGTAGAAGCTAATGCCTTAGACTATGTAGTAGCAGAAGTTTTTTTCTAGACTAAGCTAGATAAGACTATTAAGCCTATTATATACTTCTTAAAAAGAATAAGTCTTATAAAAAGTAATTATAAAATCTATAATAAGAAATTACTTACTATAGTATACTGCTTTAAATAATAGCAACCTAAACTAGAAGGTGCAGCGCATTTAATATAGGTCCTATCTAACTATAAGAACTTATAGTACTTTATAACTATAAAATAACTTAGCTACTAACAAGCTTATTAGTCTAAATACTTGTCTTATTTTAATTTTAAGATTACTTATTATCTTAGTTAAAACAGAGGGAAACTAGATGCCTTTATAAAGCAATTCTAAAACATCTTTACTTAAAAAGAAGTGTAAAAGGCTTAACACTAAACTTTACTTTAACTTAAGCTATTTTTAGACTTTAACCTAAATAAAATAAATTAGATAATTAATTAAATTATTACTAATAAGTATCTAAATAATAAATTTATTTAAAAAACCTTAGACCTACTCTAAAATAGCGCTAGTTAGTTAAAAAAAGTAACACTAGCTAACTATAAAAACTAAAATAGTAAGCTATATTACTATAACTAACTTATAATTTTTAATTCTAATAAACTAAGAATTAAACTACTCTAAATTATACATAACTTGCCTGCTAGAGGACACCTAGGCAGAGAAAAGACTCTTAACCTACTACAGAGAGAGTACTACTAGCCCTGCATGTTCTATACTGTACGCTAATACATATTATGTTGCTATACTTGCTGTAAAGTAAAGGCCTTTTAAAAAAGGTATAATAGCCTACTTAAACTACTTCTAATTTTTAAATAAGCTTAAAAAGATATATTAATTAATTTTATTATAAACCTACTTTTATTTAAAGAGTATATAAATATTATAGTAGTTGTTAATTACTTAACTAAGTATTAACACTTAATACTATATTTCTCTATAACTGCCCCTAATATAGCCTAGTTATTCTACTAATACATATAGGTTTACTATAGCCTGCCTAACATAATTATATTAGATAGAAGTACATAGTTTGTCTTAGCCTTCTAGAACAAACTCTGTAAACAGCTCTAAATTATCTTCTACTTATCTATAGCTTTTTACCTAGAGACTAACAGCTAAACTAAAAACATAAACACTATAATAAAATAAGTTCTATAAGTGTACATAAACTACTAGTAAAATAACTAGGTAAAATAGTTAGCTATAGCATAGTTTAAAGCTAATAACATAACATCTAAATTAACATAAGTATCTCTGTTTTTAGCAAACTATAAATACTACCCCTAAATAAAATTTAAACTACTTATAAATACCTCCTAACTAACTTATTAATCTGTATAAGTAATAAATATAAATAAACTTATTAATAAAATTTAAAATATATTTAAATATGTTTATAAAAAGCTTACATAGGCTTAAGCTTTTTAATAAGAGTACATAAACTAATTCTAAACCTCTACCTCTGCGTATGCAGCTAGTAAGAAGGTCTAGCTAGATACTAAAAATATCTAAATAAACTAATAATTAAAGAAACTTAATTAAAAGAACTTTAGCTTCTTTACAGTAGCCTATATAGTTTTATTACACACTTACTAATTAATCCTACCTAACAGCATAAAGATACACCCTGTGTTCTACGTATTATTACTGCGCTAAGTAGCCTCTAAATTTAACTATCTACCTAGACAGCTAAACTTGCTACTTAAACTTGTTATTATAAATAACAAACTAAAATATATTATAAAAGACATTAAATAGATCTAGTTTAATAAAAAAAAACATATCTATAAATACTTTATAAAATAAACTAGATATAACAAACTGTTGTAGAAACCTATAGAAGCCCTATAAAAAAACTTTATAATAACTTAATTCTACGCTTAATACTTATTTAAACTAAATCTGTACTTTAATAAAGACAACTTAATGCTAGAACTACTAATGTAAAGGATTCTCTTCCTAATAAAGGGGGGAGTACTGTTACAGTATCCTCCCTAGATCCTAGACATAACTATATTAGACGCGTACTAAAGTATTATTAGTGCATGTTTAATATAAATATAACACAACATAAATATAAACTTAAGTATAAACTGCTTTAACACTAACTAAACTTAAAATAGGCTTAATTTATACTTAAAGCGCTTAGACTTCTAAGCTAAGTATTTAATTACTAATTTTCTTTTAAACCTTCTTATTCCTTACATAATGTCTTGTACCTACTATGATACCTCACGTAGTAATTAAACTAGACCTCTGTGAAGCTCTATAACCTTACTCGTGCACAATCGTGACACTAAGTTACCTTAGCCAAGGTAAGTGGCCCAGGTCAGCTGAGCTGCGCCCTGTGAAAATTTTGTACCGTGTGTCATTGGAATGAAGGGAAGCACGCTAGGCCGAAAGAGGATTAGAAATATGCAAAAAAAAAGGTGGATGCCTGAGGCCGCAAGATGCGACAAGGCTCTCGTCTAACCCCGCCTCACACTTGAATCACAACACCTCGCTTTCCGAGGTCCACAAGGCATTTCAGCCTCCGCAATGGGCCAAGCATTTGGTATCGTAGCTCCTTACAAACAGGAAGCTCTCAACCTACCTCATACAGAGCTTCTTCGAATGCTCTTTGATCGATCACCGGCAAGCCTTGTCGAACTCTTTGCACATCCCGTTGAACCCCATGCCTTCCCGTACGCTACCTTACGTATATCCAGAAAATATTGGTTTGACTATCTCGCAGTAAATTTGAGCCAGAGAGGATCGGCCGTAGACTGAAGTTCGAAGTTGGCAATGAGGCGAGTGGTGAATTCAATCAAAGTTCACTCTACGCTCTCCCAAACGAATTGCTCGACATTATTTTCGAACTCCTTAACATGGAAGATGCTGTCAGTCTTAGTCTTTCTAACTCTCTTTTTGAACGCGTGGGTCAAAAGCACATTCGAGCCCTCTACATTCCGCATCTTGGCCGGTGGGCAGATGAGCGTGTCATTGCTATTGGAAAAAATATATATGCCGGTGATTGGCCGGAACTTTTACTAGACAAGGATGGTAGGGATGAATTTGATGCTCTGGTAGATGAGGATACCGGAATCTGGGCGACCCTATACGATGTTTTCACACTCGCTCTAGAAGATAATCCACTCTCTCCACATGCGTCGCAAACCCTCCCAGATAAGTTCCTCGGGGATGTGCTAAAGGATCGGAGGTGGAATAGCATCACGCATTGGGAAGCATCTCGACTCTTGGACATAATTTGTCCTTGGAATGACTGGCCGGGTGACTGCTACGACAAGAAGGAGCCGTGGGTATTACGGAACTTAAATAAAAAGGAACTCGTAAGAGTGGCTGCGATCGCTTTGAGACCAGAGTACATCCATGGGCCATTCGTCGATTTTCTAGGTCTAGGCGAAGCTATTTTGTCCCGGATATGTTGGTCATCTGAACCAGTGCAACGTCAGAACTGCCAGAGAAGCGACCTGAATCTTCATCGAGGTGTCTGGGCTGGGGATGCTCTGGACATTGTTCTTCAAGTCAGACATGAACAAGGGGTGAAAAGGAAGAAAGAAGGACATCTATGGAAGGATGTTAGCGACGAAGTCTCAAGTGAATTACGGCGTCTCTGGAAAATAGAATTTGGAGGAAATTGGCAAGAAATTATCTGCAAGACTTCAAAGGAAATGCAGAATTCACGGATAAACCATCAGGTAGGGCTGATACGGCGGGAAAAGGGACACTCTATGGCACCGGAGGAATTCAGCCGAACCTTGAAACGACACCTGGATATGGTCCCTCCGGATTGGCAAGTTGTTGGTGCTTGAGGCATTACTGCTGTTACTTAGGCTGTGTTATATACACTGCTTGTTTCCTATTTCAACATTTAGAGGGCTTTGTCACAGCGCTAATATCCTACAACGACCCTCTCCGGACTCGTTCTCGGGTGAGAATTGTTCATGGACTTGCATTACCCAACTGCATTCTCTTAAGTTGTGTCGCTGACTTGACACCTCTTTGGAAAATTATATTTGGAAAGCCAATATTGCAATCGTATCTGTACGGCGATGCCGAAATAGAACTAAAACATAAAAGGTTACTGTAATAAAAATGTCGATTGCTCATTAGAGCATGGGAGAGGGCTTGTCTTGGAGGGTTTCATGCCACAAAGCCATGGCCAGCTCCAGAACAATTTCTGGAATGCTTACTCCGACAGTCTCGCAAGCTTCAACCTTGGAAACTACAGCATCTACATCTTCTAGCCGAATTGAGGGTCGAAAAAGCATGGAGGAGAGGCCAGGGTGCTCTCAAGCGGCCGAAATTCTTTGGGTTGGACGGACTGTCACAACGCCCTGCATTCAACCCCTACCTACAGCTTGATCCGAAATTCCGATTACGTGGTTTCCCACGACCGATGAAGTCCGAAACCCTTGAAGAGTTTTCTCATATCTATGGACGATGTATAAAAGAAGATCCCGTAATCTTAGACATAGGGTCTAACACATTCACCGAATAATCATATCAATTGACTTCAGTACTTTGAACAAGAATGACCACCACCTCCTCTCCTGAGCAGGTATCCTTCCTCGCTCGCAACCTCAAACTCGCTGCGCATCTCTACAACCCAACGTCCGGATCTATAGATCGCTCTGGCGCTGCCATTATCATATGCCATCCTTGGACCTCGATCAAAGAGCAGTCCCCTGCAAACTATGCTCATATCCTGTCAAAGGCTGGCTTCATTTGCCTTTGCTATGATGCTGCTTATCAAGGGGAATCCCAGGGCGAACCTCGAAATCTTGAAGACCCTTACCAACGTGTCGAAGAGATCAAATCTGCCGTCACCTACCTTGTTAGTCGGAACGATGTAGACTCTGGTAAGATAGGCGTCCTCGGCATCTGTGCTTCAGGCGGCTACGCTCCTTTCACGGCCCAGACCGACCTTCGCATCAAGGCTTGTGCAACATCGGCTGCAGTATGTGTTGGCACCATGGCCAGGCGTGGCTTTGATAAGGACTCCTCCAGCATAGATATTCTAAATTCTCAACTCGAGGCTGCCGCCAAAGACCGCAACAGCGACATCACTGGCGAGAAAATCCCAATCGTGCATATGTTGCCTGAGAAACTCGAAGATGCCGCCAATCTCCTAGATTCCTTCCAAGATCTTGCGCAGTACTATCGCAAGAGGCAATCGCATGAACGCGCACTAAATGTTTGTCTCCCCCGAAGTTGGGACATAATGGCGAACTTCGATGCCTTCGCTCATAACGATATGATCAGCCCAAGGCCACTGCTGATGATAACAGGAACGAAGGCAGCAACGAAATGGTATAGCGAATACGGGGCTCAAAAAGCGAAAGAACCGAAAGAGTTGATGGTAATTGATGGCTCAACTCATGCGGATCTTTATGACCATATCGATAAAGCTGGACCTAAATTAGTGGATTTCTTTGGAAAGTACCTAAAGTAGAGAATTACAATACTAAAAGCTTCTGTGTTGTGCGGAAGCTTGGAAATGTTGGCACTGAAGAGGGTAATTTGATCCAGCTCTGGAAGTAGGGCAATGTTTTAAGCAAATCTTTTTGACTCACTATATCTTTCCATAGCTTCTCCATATTCCTTGTAGAACTTTATTTGCCCAAAATGTTAAAAGAATCATCTCCTGCGACTTCACCAAGACCATCACCTGAGGTTCATACGAGTTTCTCCAAATATCTAATGCTACTAGGGATTTGTTGTCGAGCAATGCTCATACCGACCTAAGAAGATATTGCCACAGTCAAACAGCGAGCTAATCCGATATCGACCAAGACTGAAACAACACTCCCCGATTAGGCTAAAAGAAACACTAAAGTTGCATAGGCAGCAGTTCTTTTCGTTTTGTTTCGTTTTATTCGAAATTTCCGGAGATTGGAAACATATAGCCTGCAATTTCGGCGTTCTTTTTCCTCCAATACGACTGAATGCTAATAGGGAACAGGGTGCTCTTGCACCAAAAGAGCGCCAATCGGGAGACACTACACTATTCGGTAACAGTCGCGCAACTACTTTCCTCCGCGACAACGATTACGCCAATTTCACTGGATGTTGCAAGTTCAATTGATAAATAAACTCCCAAGTAACCTCCCATTCATGAGATCACAAACACACATGCTCATCCGTAAAGATGCCACTTTTCATACCAACAATGTACACCACCTGCCGACTTATCTTATTAGGCTTGCTCCTGTTCGCGAATCTCCAGCCTGCTAGAGCCCTTATAATCAAGAGTCCTCGTGCCGATGCAGCTGCAGTAGTGGGCCGCGAACGCATTAGCCTCAATGCGGGCTGGCGGTTTTCACGCTTCACATCGAATCCCGACTCTCTGTCATACAGCACGCTGAAGCAATGGATCCTTCCTTCGGCCAATGACTTCATCAAAGGTGCTGAACGTCAGCGGCCTTCGGGAACCCCTCCGGGCAACAGCGTCAACTACGTGCAAGCATCGTTTGATGATAGCGCTTGGGAGGCCGTCAATCTGCCGCACGACTGGGCCATCAAAGGCCCTTTTAACGCTCCTGGGATCGGAGGTGGGATGGGTCGGTTGCCCTCTAATGGAGTTGGTTGGTACCGCCGGAAGGTGACGATAGCCCCGGACGATATCGAGGCTACCAAGTCCATCTTCCTGGACATCGACGGCGCCATGTCCTATACAGCAGTCTGGCTAAACGGTAACCTAGTCGGCGGGTGGCCATACGGTTATAATTCCTTCCGTCTGGACCTCACTCCGTATGCAAAAGCCGGTGACAACTTGCTAGCTATTCGGGTAGATAATGCGTTGGACTCGTCACGTTGGTACCCTGGCGCCGGTATCTACCGAAACGTATGGCTCATCAAGGTCGATTCGACGCATGTAGGCCAGTACGGCACGTACATTACGACGCCAACTGTCTCTACCCAATCAGCCACTCTTAGCCTAGTTGTCGAGGTCGAAAATCAAAAGAATACCAGTCGACAGGTTGATATAGTCACCGAAGTCTATGAACTAGATTCAATGACTAGGAAAGCCAGAGGGGACGTAATAGCTACATTCCCCCGGGGGACAATAAAGGTAGCAGCGGGCGCAAAGCAGGCTTTCAACAGCTCAGTTACAGTAATGAACCCGTTATTCTGGGGGCCACCGCCAACGCAGAAGCCAAATCTATACGTTGCCATAACAACTCTATATGCAAGTGGAGCACCTACAGCAATGGATACCTACGAAACCCACTTTGGTATCCGTTCGATAACGTATGATGCAAATAAGGGGCTCCTAATCAACGGCCAGGCGGTGCGTGTCCAGGGTACGTGCAATCACCACGACTTAGGCTCTCTAGGATCTGCTTTCAACGTCCGGGCCGCTGAGCGCCAGCTACAGATGCTACAAGAGATGGGCAGCAATGCGCTCCGGACGTCGCATAATCCGCCAGCGCCCGAATTACTCGATATGGCCGATCGACTAGGGTTTATGGTTCTAGACGAGATTTTCGACTGTTGGAACAACCAAAAGACAAAGAATGACTTCCACTTAATCTTCACGGATTGGCGCGAGCCGGACCTCCGATCTTTTATCAGACGGGACCGTAACCACCCTTCTGTTATCGCCTGGAGCGTCGGTAACGAGGTTAGCGAACAATCCGGGGCATCTGGAGGGACGACGGGCCAGGTGCTCCGGGACATAGCCCGCTCTGAGGACCCGACGCGACCGGTTACAGTGGCAATGAACTCCGCCTCAGCGGGCAGCTCCTTGGCTGACATCGTAGATATCGAGGGCTTAAACTATCAGGGCGAGGGCCTCGGCACCTCAACGTCTGGCTCGTTCCCCAGCTTCCACAAAACATATCCAAATAAGATGATCTGGAGTAGCGAGTCCTCTTCCGCACTAAGTACGCGGGGCACATACATATTCCCAGTAACCAGCGGCAATAGCGCGACTGTTGGTGGTGCCAGCGCCGGTGGAAACCCTACGGCCATGCAGGTCAGTGCCTACGAGCTATACGCGCCCAGTTGGGGGTCATCCCCAGATAAGGTATTCGGGCAGCAGGATAGAAACTCGTTCGTCGCTGGTGAGTTTGTCTGGACGGGCTTCGACTATATAGGTGAGCCCACGCCATATGATTCGGCCCGAAGCTCCTATTTTGGGATTATCGACATGGCAGGGTTTAAAAAAGATCGCTTCTATCTCTACCAATCTCGTTGGCGCTCCGAATTTCCCATGGCGCATATTCTTCCTCACTGGACTTGGCCGGAGAGGGTTGGTCAAGTTACTCCAGTTCATGTATTTTCCGCCGCTAACGAAGCTGAGCTTTTTGTGAATGGGAAGTCGGCCGGGCGACTCAAGAAGGCACAGTATGATTACCGTTTCCGGTGGGATAATGTTACTTACCAGCCCGGCGACCTACGTGTTGTTACCTACAAGAACGGAGCGCAGTGGGCAGTTGATACTAAAAAAACCGTCGGCGATGCTGCAAAACTAAATATTTCCGCTGATCGTACAACTATTACTAGCGATGGTTCCGACCTCTCCTTTATTACTGTCGCGGTTGTCGACAGTAATGGGGATACAGTACCACGGGCAAGCAACGCTATTACCTTTTCTACTTCTGGGCCGGGCCAGATCGTTTCTACCGATAACGGTGATCCTACCGATATGACCGCGTTTCCGTCCCTGTCGCGGAAAGCCTTCAGCGGACTCGCCCTTGCTATTGTGCGTGCCAATGCCGGAGCGTCAGGAAAAATCACAGTCTCGGCCACTGCGGATGGTCTTGCAGGGGCACAGGTAACTTTACAAGTCAATTAAGTGGAGAGAGAACACGGTGAGGGAGCAGTGATTGCTGTACTTGCAGCTTCCTTTTGTAGTAAGCAACTGGGTATAATCTGGCTTATTGATAAGTAATTTTGTTGAAAACGTAGAATTCAGAGCGCAGAATAAGATCATGATAGTCTCAGATTAATTCTAAAGCATACAAGAATCAGTAGGTGTTGATTATTTGTTAAAACTGTCACGTGGGCTAGCTAAGTTTGCTGAGCAAGAATGCCTTAGAGAACTTTACATTGTGACAGAACATTGCGCTCAGGATTGTTGGATACAAAATCGTATAGACTTCCACCCAACGCTCAATATCCGACTCTTTCTACCAATCCTCTCGACAGTATGCGATCATATTATTGTGTTTCCGATTGTTTAAACAAGCTTCGCTTGGCTATTTGTTGTTCCGCGGTTGACATACGGCCACACCAATTGGCTCATGACCACCACCGATATGAACTTCTCATATGAATTACGGCCTCATCTCCATAAAGTAAATTTTCGGGCCGGCCAGGACTCGGAGGATATAATTGGAGACGATTCTCCTTTCTCCCCTCTCGGTTGACCTACCTCTACATTCAAGCTTTTATATATCGCTAGTAAAGCTTGTCGCAAAGCTTGTCGCCGCTATCATGGTTGCCTTCACTCATCTGGCCGTTGCTATCTGGTCAATTGCTGGAACGCTTGCCGCTCCTGTCTCTGACCCTAACGGACCTGCATCGCAGGAAGTTGACCTCGTGGGCCGCGCCGCGGGTAACGATTCCCCTGACTTTGAGCTTGGAAACGACCACCTCGCCCGCCGCCAAGACTATACCCAGAACTACAAGACTGGTGGTAATGTAAATTTCTCGCCTAGCTCGAATGGTTACTCGGTCACATTCTCTGGCGCTGGAGACTTCGTCGTTGGGAAGGGCTGGAAAACGGGGACGGAGAGGTAGCGTCACCTTTCTTCTCCCAAATGCTTCCCCCCTTCATAGCAAGGGAAGGATACACCCCAGCACAACCTCTCTTCTCTGTTCTTGCCCACGGTTAGGCGCGATGCATTTTTTGACGTATGTTCAGGAACATCACTTTCACTGGTTCCACCACCGCATCGGCTGGCACCGTTCTCGTCTCCATCTATGGCTGGTCGAAGAACCCATTAGTGGAGTATTACATCCAGGAATACAGCAATGGCGCTGGGGCCGCACAGGGTACCAAGCTTGGGACCTTGGAGAGTGATGGGTCTACATACGACATCTGGAAGCACCAGCAAGTGGGCCAGCCATCCATTGTTGGAACGTCGACCTTTTGGCAGTACATTTCGGTCCGGCGAGACAAGCGGCCGGGTGGCGGCACCGTCACGGTCGCCAACCATTTCAAAGCCTGGGCTAACGCCGGCCTGAAATTAGGCACGATGGACTACCAGACCCTTGCGACGGAGGGATGGGGTAATGCTGGTGGTAATTCCAAGTACACTCTCAGCGGTTAAGTTTATCTCACGCCGAATGTAACAGGCAGGAACCGCGCACCGCGTCTTTGTACAGCTCTCTTTCAATCCCTCATTTCTCTCAAAACTTCGTTGTAGGCGATGTTCAGCTCAACCGAGATATGAGTGTGATGTTAGGAGACCACCTAGTAGAACACAGAACTCTGTCCTTCGCTACGGCGAGTCCGCTGTCGACATAAAATAAAGTGTTTTTCAATACCCACATATAAGGTTATTTGTCCCCGCAGACGCTAGCGCATGCCAAATAGTCTTGTGTGGGGTACCATGCTATAATTTACCACCAAACAGAGTAGGGCTAGCCATTCCAAGTGCCAGCGGGATACTGGATTAGTTACCAGTCTTTATAATATAAAAGTACATGTAAAATAGCTTCACGTTACACTATTTAGTTAACAATATAGAAATATAAGTTTAAGCTGATTTCTAGAAGGCTATAATGACTTCAGATAAGTCCGCAGGGTGCATATGTTGTATTGATGAGAGTGCTAGTACTAGTACGACGCTCTCTTCCTCAACCACACCACCTAATTGGGTTGTTTATTAGCTTGATTAGGAATATTATTGAGCCTCAGGGACGACCGGCAGGCACCTGCAGGTGTTCCACCTGCCGATTCCGAACACTGCATGTACCACGACAGCCTGGGCGACAATGGTTTGACGGCTTTGGTCTGCTAGCGTTCCTAGCTTGTCCATAGCAGGTGTCAGGTGTATTCTCCCCTCTTTCCAGCAAATGATTTACAACTTTTGCTTGGAAATCAACGTGGTGAATTTTAAGAGGGTTCTTATTTTATTTTACAAAAGCGTAGCACACAAGACTAAGCTAGAGGACAAGGGACATTGCCAGAGGAAAAAAAAACCATGAGCTAAGTCTCTGATGCGAGACACCATCGGTAGACCCCAGAGTGGAAAAAGCTGGTTGAAGGATCAAAGTGGCGGCTAGTATTTTGTCCGTTGAAGACCACCCTCCAGATCAGATTGTACATAGTGTTGCAATAGGGGCAGGTAGTGTCGTATACTAGGCCCGCTCTTTCTCTAAGCGATATACATTTCTTTTGGGGGTATTTTCGAATGAGTAATTTAGTCGTTTCTGCCGCCTTCATAGTATGGGAGGACGCCCAGAGTGAGGCATAGGGCTGACTTGGTTGTGCTCGTGCCGCCAAATTCCTTAGCTATATCCTTTTGCATTCCAATATTACGCATTTAGTTTCTGCTAGTCTCCTGTCCAAAGAACGTCGCATGTGGCTGTAGGAGTTGCATACATGGGTTGATGCGCGTTGAGGGGTGCGCTCGATTGATATTAACAGACTTTTTGTCTTGTCCCCAAAACGTAAGAGTTGTTCAATCTGGGAAAATCTTAGCAAATCCACTCGAACAAATGGAGGCATGCTAGTTACCGTGATTATCTCGGCCTTCATGCCTCAAGCTTGCCCACGAACTCAAACACTGCGTCAACGAACGTCCCTATGTTCACTTCCGCAACATAGCGTCCCGACCCATCTATGGTTACGACTTTCGAGTCTTCGTGCATAGCCTTCAACATATCTTCAATATGAAGGGCAAGCAGAAAGCGTCTGCCCACTAACCCGTGCGCTGAAACCTTGCTCTTTCCGTATTTAGTGGCCCACGCTTGATTCACTTCCCTGTCTTTCTTACATGCGCAGTACACATTAAACGCAGCCCGCATCGCTCCAGATTGAGAGTAGGCAAGTACATAGTGACCCAAATCTTCTGGTGTGATTACGTTGCTGTTGTACGATTGTTTGTCGAAGAAATTTTTCATGTAAATCTTCTCGTGACCAGCAATCAGCGCTTAGCAGGTCAAGCATGCTATGAAAAAACGAAATGGGCGTCTGGTATACCCTTCACTTCTCGTAAATCTCGGATCCCGATGGGGAACATTCGCCCCATATCACACTTGCTACTTCATTTGCATAATGAGATGCGTAGCTGTAGGCAATCATGCCGCCGATATCGTGGCCTGCGACATGGACTTTCTGCTTGATGCCGAGGTGGGAGTAGATCAACAGGTAAAAGCCCCCTGCCATCTGTGATTTCTCGCAGCCCTCCAAAGGTTTGGAAGATTGACCAGCATCTCGATAGTCAGGCGCAATGACTCTATGATATCCGGTGTCGGAGATTGGGGTTGAATGTAGAGGTCGGTGTTTGCACCATGTTCCTAAAGAGCTCTCCGGGATTCGCACAGGTGACAAACATCCTACGCAGCAAGTGAGGGGAAATTTAATTTTGAATGCAGTTTTGCTACGAATGTCGCGGATCTGTTTCTGCCATGCCTTCATTTTGTCAACTATGACGCTGAACGTGACACTGTGACAGCGTCATTGGGACGACAATTATCAAGGTATCGAAGGTGTGTTTGCGAGGGTGTGGAACTACTCATTTAGTGCGCATTGCTGCTGTACATGGCTCTGATGAAGCACCAAACCCGGCAACAGTTACGAGGAGTGGAGTGCTGTGCTCTACAGGTATGTAGTTAGAAAGACGCTGGCCAGGTTCTGAAAAAAGGGAGACAAGTATTTCGGAAGAAAACGCTTCAAGAAACAGAAAAGATGAGAGAACGCGTTGGTCGAGGTAATAGCGCCGGAACTGTGAGGGTGAGCAATGGGTTGAGTTGAGATTGAGCTCCACCATTAGCGCGATGCTAACCGCTCTCAATTCGTTCACCACCAAATTATGTAACTTTGGGATGTAAACCCATTTCTATTGCACTCCCCTATATACAGAAAATAACTAGCCAAGATGTCAAATTCTCTAACTCACCAAGCCCATAACTACCAATGGACACATCTGAAACGGATACCCGCTGAGATCATTTAGTCCGCGCAGTTGGCGCAAGCCGCGGGCTAAGGAAGAATTATTTTCTGCGAGCAATGGTAGCGTATTTGTACTTACAGGGTTGAGTGCAGTGTTCAAAGCGGTAGCAAAGCAAGCCGCATCCGCAATTGGGTCTATTATCGTCAGCTTCTGTACTGCATTGGATTGGTATCGTATCAACGTACTCAGGCCATCCTCTACCAAAGCAGCAGCACAAGTGACCGAGGCCGGAGCGAGAGCAGCAATACACTCTACAGCATTGAGTTAGCGATTAGTGGAAGGATGTATTCCCCGGTTGCCGCAGGCACGAGGAGAAGGACACTCTTACTAACGACCTCGCAACCATCAGCTGTCTTTGTATCAAGCACACTCTTAGCCTTGTCGGTGATATCGCTAATTCCAGGCTTTGGGGCGCGGGCAACAGAGACCACAGCGTTGGTAGCTGGAGCTGCAAGAGCTGCGGCGAAGAGGAGTGGGAGGACGGTGAAGAAGCGCATGTTGACTGTCGAAGAGAGTGAAGTGTATAGGGTTGAAAGAACGATTAAATATGAAGTGTTGAATAAGAAGACTTTGAAGTTCGTTTTACTGCTGTGATGCTTCTCTTTTAGCAGAGAACTAACCTCATACTTATATTCACTCTCCTGTCCCTTTCTCCCCCTGGATCTTCGAACCTCCACGTGCTAAGGCCTCCATCAGGCCTTGCCAATGGCCCTCAGCTCCCCCAAGGAAAATGTTTGACATGAGCCAGAACTCATTTGGAAGGTTGTTAAATACGGACTTTTGCGAGGTCAATGCGACGAGGCTTTGGAGGTTTCATATTTTGCAAAGGATTCGGCTATGCCAATGACATCCTAACTCCACAAAACCGGATCTCAAGGTGAGCAGGAGTTGAGAGTGACAAGGGTAGAGCAATGCGCTACCAAGAAGGTCTCAATTCTACGACGTCCAAGGAAACCAATGTAACCACATTGAAGCATCATGAGGCTGAAACCAAGCCCGATTGCTCACATACCAAAGCGCCTTATCCGTCGAATTGCTGGCAGATTCCAACCCTAGGTTGACTCAAAGCATCTGAGAACTACTGTTCAACGACTGGACAAGGTCAACAGTCATACCTAGATCTTGTAGCGTGCCTGGACTCGCACTTGTGCATCCCACGATCGTCACAAGATCGCCAAGACCGTCTCCGTAAGGAACAGGCTTAAGAAGCTTTTCACCAAAAAGCCTTGATCTCCCTCACCTGGTGAAAAGTAAGCCGAGCGAAACCCAAGATAGGATTGTGTAAAAAACGTGGGGACCGCAAGGCTGAGTCTCAGTGCTTGGGCCCTGAGTGACGTTTGAGGCGTGGACGGCCTTGCCGTTTGGGGGCTAGATTCGGACATTTTGATCCTTGACGGTGAGCAGATCTCAACGATGAGCGTGTCAGGTTACGGATAGGCTTGGGTATGCACAGCTGCCAGGTATACGAGGAGAATTTTCTGGGGGAGTTTCGACCTTTTTCTTGGAAGATAGAGTGACAAAGGATGGAAATCTTTGCTGAGCTTGGGTGGAGAAGAAGAGGAGGATATATTTTGTTTCAAGAAGAATAAGCCACAGGCTACCGTGCTCAGAAGTGGCTAGGTATTCCCCTGCAACCTTGGAATATTTCACTCCCACTCTTGACCACCAGCATCTCCCATCATCAGTAATCCAGATCGCGACCGTGAGCGAGCTCTTTTACCTCCCTTCGGAGGGAAGATAGTATATACTCTTTCTTTCGCAGCCTTGGATTGTGAGTGACTGAAAAGTGTCGCAGACTCAGCCCTGGAGCTCTTGTGGTCCACTGACAGGTCAGGCAAACCCCCCTTGAGGCTATACTTCATAGCAAATAGTCTAGATAATATGCCACTTGCATCTAGAATCATTACTACAGTTTTCTCCCTTCGAGTAAGCGATAAGGCCTATTCTAATTAATATTCAATCCTTCTCAATCAATTGCTTCATTTAGAGATCCGGTTCCTCGGGCGACATGAGGGTAACACATATGCGTCATTGGGCAACTACGAACCCTACAATAATTAAAATGCAGTCTACCCTGGGTCTTTCAGCGAATTCAGTATGATGCATGGTTCGGATCGGCCAACTACTGAAAATATTGTCTGACTACGATGCGTTCTAGCAGCCTTCCACAAGCTCATGTTCTGCACCATCCAGAACTCTACAAGTTACCAATCATACCTCCTCAAGGTTGATGTATCCTTCTGTAGAGACTGTACCCCATGTATTGGAAGGAATGATGGAAAGAATTCTCACTAAGCTTCTGCACTGATTCGACAATTTAACCCACTTCATCTGTGAGCATGCATGCATCAGCGTAAACCCTTCTGCAGTGTGTATGCGAGATACGCCCGTACATGCAGCACCCTCTGGACGGTGAGCATAACCAAGTAAATACTCAAGTTATATAGTCCAGCATTGACGCAAACTCAAATTATTTTCTTATCGCCTTAAAAATTCACATCAATTCCGTTCCCCTTTCAACACCATGAAGCGCACGCGTCTATCTCTATCTCTGCTCTCCATCTTCCAGACAGCCACCTCTCTGTGCAAGTTCCCCCCAGCCCAAACCCCTCTTCCATCACCAGTCCTTCTAACACCCATATTCCCTAGACACCTTCAACCGCTTCATAGTCAATAACACAATCTCCACCGAATGGCAATACATCCGTGAAATCGCGAATTGCTACAACAAAGCGCCTTTGCTATCTAGCCTCCCAGTCCGCTCGCCCAACGATCCCGCCATCGTCTGCGGCTCCGATGCTAACGCCCATCCACAAATCGAAACCGCAACCATCATTGCCGGCGATGAAGTCGGCTTCATGGTCTCTCCACCTTGGACAGAATTCGATTGGCAAACGGTCATCTGGCACCCCGGCCCGGGGCAAATCTTCCTGTCAAAATCGCCCACCGAGAACATTTCCGCATACGACGGCTCTGGGGATTGGTTTAAAATAGGGTACGCAGGGCCCGAGAACTCGACGACATGGAGCTTGTTGGGTAAGTATGGGATGAATGTTACGATACCAAGGATGACGCCGCCGGGGAAGTATCTCATGCGGTTTGAGCAGTTTCAGCCAGGCCCAGAGTTTGGTGATACTCCTTTCTTTGTGGCTTGTGCGCATGTAGAAATTTTAGGACGAGGGCGGGGTAGGGTGGGGAGAAGGCATTTGGTGAGGTTTCCTGGGGCGTACAATATTAGTGAACCAAGTACGTCCATACTGTTCCTTAGCTGTTGTGATGGGTCGAGTTAGATGGGCATATGAGAGAAAGCTAATAAAAACGCAGGTTTCTGGTTCCATGAAGGAAATACAACGGAGCAGATGAAATTTCCGACCGATATCTCCACATATGTCATGCCTGCTCCACCAATTTGGCGCGGATGGTAGAAATTTAGTTTGACCGGAGGGATATTGGGTGCAATGCGTAAATATAAAAATGTTGAGAACGCATCGAAGTTAGCGTAGAAAGGAAAAGAAATCCTAGCTGCCCTCATCCAAGCAATCTTCGCTAAGCGAATGCTGAGGGAGTAAAGCTGTCTATTTAATAAGAGACGAAACCTTCATCAATTCACCAATAGATTATGGCGGGGCAGCCACATATCTTGGCAGAAATTAGTGGTGGCTGTGCATCGTATCATAATCGCCCATTTCTCAATCGAGCAGGCGATAGTGTCAAATATCAACTCATATATGCAAGAGAAATCCCCATGAACCAAACACCCAAAATCCAAAATCCAACCCTTACAGCTCCAAGCATGCCCTCCACACCCAATTCCCATCCCACCCTCCTCTCCAAAACCCTAGGCGCCCTCCTCGGAGTGCATGCCGGCGACTCCTTAGGAGCCACCTTGGAATTCATGCCATGGGAAAAAATTCAATCCAAATACCCCAACGGGCACCGCATCATAACCGGAGGCGGACCCTTCAACTGGACCCCAGGCCACGCGACCGATGACACGGATCTAACCCGCGCCGTACTCCTCGCATACCAGGACTACATCATCTGGAAAACATCCTCGGACTTCAACTCCTCAGAACCCCCTTTCGACATCACTAAATCCGCAGCCGACTACTCGCTCCGCTGGATGCAAGGTAACTGGCCCGATCGCGAGCCCGGCTCCGGACCCCAGGACATCGGGAACGCAACGTGGATCGGGTTGAGTAATTACCAGAGCAGTGGCAATGCGAGGAATTGTGGTGCTGGGAATGGGAAGGCCGGGAATGGGAGTTTGATGCGGTGTATTCCTTCGGCTTTGTTTGAAGAATCTAGTGCTAGGAGGAAGATGGAGAGCATGGAGATCAGCGCGATCACGCATAATGATGCGAGATGTACTGTGGCGTGTGCTGCATACAATGAAATCGTGGCTGCAATGGTGGTGGGGAAGACGGCGAGGGAGGCGGTGCAGATTGGGCAGAGAGTTGCGGAGGATTTGGATTGTCCTGCCGTTGTGAGGGCTTTTGAGAAAGGGAAGGAGACGTCAGTGTTGAAGCTCGCTGGTTGGGGTCCTGGAAACGATTTTCCAGATGCGATGTCGGGATACGTGCTTGAGTCTCTTACGCTTGCTATTGCGGCTGTTTTGGATTCTAGGTCCTTCGAAGATATTCTTGTGGATGTGGTTAGGATTGGTGGGGACACGGATACGAATGGTGCCATTGCCGGAGGGCTGTTAGGGGCAAGGGATGGAGTTGAAGCGATTCCGAAGCAGTGGTTAGAGGTTTTGCAATTCAGAAAAGAATTTGAAACTGTAACGAGGAAGATATTGGAGCTACAGGGTCGGATATAGGAGCGAATAGGCGTGAAATGATGAAAAACTGGAGAAACTCAAGCTACCATTGCATTTTATTACTGAACATGGTGCATGACAAGGGGCAATTTAGGACAGAAATTCGCATCCTGTGGATGCTTCCCTCGGGAGGCTTGATAGCACGACTTTATTCTGATCATACGCAGAATCCTTTATCTGTCCATTTGAGACGCCAGCCCGTCTTCGGCATACTCAGGTTTACCCTTACCCCCCCCTACGTATTCGCGGTCTACGCCGTACGCACGAACGCCACATAAAAAAACTACTTGTCCTTTTTCTGTTCACTCTCCTCGTTTTCCTGGTATGGGTGCTTGATCGTCAAACACCATATATCCAAGTAATCGCAAATGGCGAATATAACATCGATGACGAAACTTCCGTGGACGCCAATAGCGAGTCCCAAGCACATGAACACAAATGCGACTTGGTAAACATCGTTACCCAACGCGCTTGGCCAACCAAAAAATCGACCCCAGTCATCGCCGAATGCGGAACCGACATGCTGCTGTAACCATGGGCCAAGTGAGTCAATGACACCGTAGGCAAGGGGGAAGATGAGTACGTTGCCGCGAGGGAAACGGGACTTGGTGAGATGGGAGACGATGATTCGGCCGACTGAGTAAGCGTTAATAATGCCAACGTAGAAGACGAATGGGAGCAAGTGGTGGTGAAGGATGACAGGCTGCAGGTAGAGGTAGACTGGGATGAGAGTCCAAGCGGCCGCAAAAGTAAGTAGTCCGAGAAGGGCAACGCGAGTCTTTTGTCCACGGGCACGACGGGCTTCCATGACGTTCAAGGCACTACAGTATATCAGCTATGCTTTCCGAAGGGTGGAAAGAAAAGACAGTAACCACGCACCTCAAGATGGTGTTAAAGATGAGGACAACACCTCCATAAACCATGTACCACTCATTCCAAGCTAGGTCGTAGACCACATCTGGAATGAATTCGTAGTTCTTCATTCCTAGGCTTTCAAACATGGAACGCTGCCAGAAGCTACCACCGCCAAGGACAGCCGTGAGGGCAAAGACAATGCACAGTGTGAGAATTCCTTCCACGGGTCCGGAGATGACACCAAGGGTGAGAGTGTGGGTATGATACTCGTCCCAGGTTTGAATGTAGAATGTCATGAGTGCTACGAAGTGGTCAGCTACACACACTTGAAGAACTAATTGGTACGTCTTACAAGCAAAGAGGGTCAGGACTGTCTTCCATCCCTGTCCGAGATTCATGGCTGCAGAGAAGAGTAACACCTCAAGCGTTGTGTTGATGGCATCGACACCTAGCTCTCTGTCAGAATTTTTGCAAGGTACACTCATCCAGCCTCTACATACCATGATCGAATAGCTCTCCCAGCGGTCCGCTCTGATGAGTTCTTCGGGCCTGCGTTCCATCAACCGCGTCAAACGTCTGGTATAGGAATAGCCCAACCGCCCAACTTGCATAGACCCATGGTGGGCAGTCTTGATCAAGTGTCGGCGTATACCAGAGGAGTGTAATGAAGTTTATGATGATGAATCCGAACCCGCTCAACGTGATCTGGTGTCAAGACGTAAGTAAGCAGTGGTTGTTGGTGATGCATTTGGAAGGATCGACTGGACTACTTACAAGATTCGGTCTTAACATCTATTAGCAAAATTTTTTCACAGTAATCTGGGGAGAAGTTTACTTACGCCATCCACATGGGAAAGCAGTGAATCACCACATTAGTGTAGAAAGGCTTCAAAATGTACCGCGACACCAGACTGTGGTCCACGCCAGAATATTTGTACTCTTTGAGTTTCGGGAGCTTGTCCTGACGTATGTACACCATAGCTGCGACTATTAGCACTGGAATACGTGCTTGAAGAGCGCAACTATCCGGAGAGTGTTGGTGTTGTGGTAAGTCACAGTCGCGGTGCCAAAAATTTCCAGGTTTCGCGTTCCGCTCGTGACGATGACGCAGTGTGCGCGCGGTGGGGCCAACCAACAGCGAGCCGAACGATAAGCTTGGATATTGACGAAGCTTATATATTCTTAAATTCTAGGATACAACCTAAGGAAATGTCATGCACACATTATCCGGATTCACCAAACGAGCGGAATGGGCTCGATTCCTAGTATCGAACGCCGACGCCAGGCACTGCTGAAGCGCCCTCCCTTGTTCGTCCCGTCACCTCATAATGCTATTCTACAATGCCTTCTGCCTTCTACCTTCTGCTTTCTGCCTTCTCCCATATGCACCTGATCTGCTGTAGTCGGTTATTGCAGGGGTTCCTTCTCTGGAATATCCTTCAAAGCAGCCGAGACCTTGCCACACGTCCAGGACGCTTAAGCAACTGGACTCCACGGGCAGGGGATGAGAATCTTGCTCTTCATCTGCTGGATGAGCGGCACGGTCTTGTGTACCGTCTCGCCCCAACCCTCAACACTCCAACTCTGCTCTCGGCGAACTTTCCGCTCCTCGAGATCCGCAAACTGCCACAGATGGTGCACAGTGTTGAGTTCGCCAATTTGCACGAACCAAGCCCCGACACCTTCCATGACCTCCCGTCGCGCCTTCAGACCGCGCCTCCAGTGTGTCTCCCACTCTAGTAGATTCCCTGGGTGTAGTGTGTAGGACCGAAGCTCAAAGAGGCCCCCCAACTGCCGAGGCGGGGTAGTTGGCCAGAACGAGAATTCTTGCATCAATGAGGTCCGCTTCGACTTGATCAGAGTCTTCAGCTTGGCATCGAACTCGGCGAATTCGGGATGATGCTGGATCGCATTCAGCGAAGCGTGATAGCCCTGGTATCGCTGGTATTCCCAAATATGGACTGCGTTTCAACCAAGTTATCAGAATCGAGGGTCTTGCCATCTAGAGGGGGGCGGAGAATACCAAACGTGTCACAGTCGCCTACTTCAGTCCTCCAGCTGCCAACCAGGTGGACTTTGTTCTCAGGCATGGCGGCCATCCTCGGGTACCAGCCTCCGACAAGCTCCACATACTCGTCGACTTTGTCGGGCTTGACATCGTGGAACACGATTGAATGGACGTATTTGCCTCGAGCGAGGACTTGGGAAAAGCTTCTCTCGATGTCCTTGTCCAGCTCTCGCCCCTCGGGGGTGCCGTAGATGAGTGATGACAATGCGCCCTTCTTCTTGCCACCGTCCTGGGCTTCACGTGCGCGTGCCTCCTCTGCGTTAGAAGATGTCAGTGAGCCAAGTGCCTTACCAAGGACCGTAGGACCCCTCCCAGCAGATGTACCAGACGCAGACAGATTACCAGAGGAATAAGACTGACTTTCTTGTTGCTCTTTTTTCTTCTGGGCGTTCACCAAGCCCTCGCGGAACTCTTTCTGTCGCTCGTTGAATCTGGAGGCCCCGTCAGGGGTGATATCTGCCAGAGCGGGGGCTCGCGCTGGACTCTGCACCGCGGCGAGGGCAGCGAAGGAGCGTGAATTGGCAGCTGCCACGTTGGATGCGGGGACAGCGCTGCGCACGCTGGCACAAACACGTCGTGTGAGCATAGCGATGGGTGAGCCCGACAATTGACGTCAGGGAAGATGGGCAAAAGTAAATGGCAAGCACCCTTAAGCAGCGGCCGTGATGGTGGGTGAAGGTTGAGGGGCAACGACGGTGACGACGGTGGTGACGGTGGTGACTGTGGTGACGATGATCCGCGGGCTGGTCCTCTGTCTGCGTCTTGTACCTTTCACCAGCGGGGCTCTCTGCCAGCTTTGTGTAACTTGGGAGAGCTTCCCCTCATCGTCCTGCAGCGGGAGCTCCTTGCAATCATGGTCCGTGCACCTTCTAAAAGCTGGGGATTCAGTGGGGAACCGCCCGCCAACGCCCACCTTGGAAAGCGTCGTCACCTGTCAACCCGCGGCCGCCGACACCTCATATGACCCCGATTGCTTTTGCCCTCCGCGACACAGCGGCATGTGCTGCTCCTCTTCCTCGTCTCGTGTGGAGTTGCACTTCTTCGGGCCTGTCACATGCAGCCTGCTTGACACTGGAGGCTGCGCATCGGCTCCGGATGCCTCTCCGCGGCCGAGAGGGTGTGTCATCACAATCGTCATGCCTTGATCCTGCCTACAATTGACCATACAGCGCCACTAGTTCAAAGAATAACTTCTCTTCTGCAGCACTATCCACTCTCGGATTCCGGTGAGCAAGAGTTCCTGGCCGGGCAACGGGCCAAAAGCCAGGAGGCGCCCGCTATGTAGAGAGGTACCACTACCTTCTACTCTCCTGGAACGACACCATGCATCTCTTTCCACGCTCCTTCGCCTGCACATATTTCACATGCTCATGCCTCAGATCCTCGGCATCATATTTCTCAAGATCCCACTCTGCAAACCTGTTCCTATAATTCCATCAACGAGTCCGCCACCTTAGCGATTTGATGGTGATGTCACGTATCTTAGCTCCTCGTAGGACAACGCAAAATCGAGCTTGACATTCCATGTGCCCTGGGAGTCCAGTCCTTTGTACCAATCAAATAACCCCCGAATTTGGCCTCCCCCTGGAATACAAGACCATAAACACAACAGTCTTTCTCCTACGCTTCCTGGACGGAGAGGCCTACTGTGATGGGAGAACCATCCTGGGACGGACTGAACAACTAAAGAAAGAGAACTAGACAGTGAGCACAGCGATTACTGCTTCTCGCAACTAGTCTCTCAAGATTATTTCCTGCTTATCTACTCAATTCCTCGGCTATAGCTAACGTTAGCTGTATCATATGAAGCCATTCGTTGACTGCCAACCCATCCGGCTAGAGGATGATAATGCAATTGGTTCCTATTTCGTGGCATCCAGAGAGCAGTCACCTTATGACTATTGGACGCTCTGCGCTTGTAATTTTCAGATTCCTTCGGCGCTTAGGGGTTAGAATGGACCATGTCGTGCTTTCGCCATTCTCCACAAATGGTCAGTCAGCATCAGGCAGCACCTCTTCCGCAAGGCGTTGGAGCCATTTTCCTCTAGATACCGACCTTCCATCTAGAGTAGTGTCAGCAATGTCGGGCAGGAGGTAACTACATTCACGCTCCGATTCGCTAAGGCCATGTAGGAGAGATTTAACAGGGGTCTAAAAGCAGAGTCTGCGATGCATGGTTATCATTGTGACCCATCGTTCGCTTGGGGAAAGTGTATTCGCACTCGTACTGCTCACAAAGAGCAATCAAAAAGATTCGCTCTCCTTTCACCACCAGGACTCTTTCCACTCTAGCCCTCCTCTGCAGTTACCGACCTTCAACCTGAACCCCGAGACACGCCCTTTCACATATCTTTCAAAAGGCATTATCGACCTTTCGCTCTATCTCGTACTATCTTCGTCCAACCAACGAGACCTTCAATGTTACCACGTGAGACATTTCTTATCCATTGAGCTTGCCAGACTGCATCCCGAATCTTTCAGCTGTCCCGCAAATCGAAGGCCCCATTGGTTTGACCTAGTCTAGTGTCGATTGGCTGCTGTAACTGACTTTTCCTCAGAGATTATCCCGCAACGTGTAAGACTGCATGCCATACTTCCCGGCTCAACACCCCGTCCAAAGGATCTAACTCGACTCTTCACTCTCGTGCTCCATATATCACACCAAAACGCATCCTATATACATCGAAACCCGTCTTTCTTTTCAACTCAGCTTTTCATTTCGTATATCATCCATTCACCTTTCCATTCTATACTTCGTGACTTTGAGCACTGCATCCAGCAACAGCAATGACCTCACCACTAGAAGACCTCCTCGGCAATAAGATGTTGAGGGAAACTGGCTGGGTTTATATAACAGGTCCAGAGCTCGGCCACGTGAGACTGGTTTCAGTGGAAGGACTGAACCAAGTGGAATAACTAACTCAAGTGGAAGGAATCTGGCAAGTCAGTTGTCGAGCCCGGTGGAGGGGTCTTAGGCTCTTCGAGATCGGTGTCGTAGACCGGAGGTCGATAAAGTGTTGCGGTGCTAATTGATGGTATCAACTGAAAAAGAAAGAAAAAGAAAAAGATAACCATCACACCGGAGAAGAGACGTTATTTTAAGCATAAGCCCTGGTAGATAGGCATATTTTGTGGTTTAGAAATGCTACGGTGAGGCGATGCAATGATTAATTGGGGGAATCAATGGGGTCAAATGGCTAACCATGACGCGACTATGTCCAGCCAACATTCGGGATACGTCTGCCTGCCGTCCATGGAGACCTCGATATAATTCTCCACCTAATAAGAATCGAAGAGTAATGAGGGAAGTGCCGGATGTGGATGTTGAGATCTCGGAAGAAATTGCGGTCCGATCACCGGGGCAAAGCGCACCACGTGATCTCGGTCTTAACTCTAGATAGGTACGTCACTGCCTCGGCATCCACAACTCCTTTCTCCATGCCTCTCGGACCATCCGCCGCCGCACTGAAAAGCCGAACTCCTGGCCCTCGCGCCTTGCGAACGCCTGTGCCACAAAACTTCGGAGTAGACATGGCTTGAAGAACGAATCAAAACTAGAGGATTTCGCAGCACTAGCCATGGAGCCACTGTCACCCATCGTGCCGCTTGTGCCGAAATACAGGCCACCTCGGACGGAGTTTTCGTTGTCGAATTTTCTGTTAAATCCGACAAAAAGGATGCGGTTCCCCAGAGCGAGTTTCTTTTTGGTAGAATCATGCATGGTCGATGCGCTTTCCTGGTAAATTCAGATTGACATATATCTGTCGCGTGCCCAATTCCCAATGCCCTGTCTCAGATCTTCCAGTGGCCGCATTTCAAGAGTTAACTAATCTTGATTCCATTCGATCTATATCATTCAATTGGTTTCCCTAAGCCCTTCGCTTACTCCTTTTGGGTGCTGAATTACCGCCTCACACCACCTCATGGCGGACCTGGGACGCGCACGTACAGACACTTCAACAAGAACTAGATCACGGTCACGGCCAAGCCGGCCGCCTAGCCCTCAAATACACCGGCTGTTCTCCACGCAAATCCCCAATGACCCTTTAGTCTACCATCAAGAAGACGGAGCGGGAGTTCACGTCGACGAAAACACGGTGTCACTGTACCAAACCGAAACGCAGAGTCGCCAGCCCGAGTCACCAGAGGCAGAGGATTCTGATAGTACGTTCGATGACGAGAACGAGAAGGCCGATGAAGCAGCAGTCGCAGAGGGTACAACGATTGAAGAAATCAGAGGAATTCCGAACGAACATGATGTTGAAGCTCAACCGCAGGAACTTGAGAAGAAGAAGTCCTCGCAGCCAATCAAGGATTCAGATTTAGTAAGCGCTGAAAACTGGCATCTTGTGTTAAAGATGTGGAGCTGACATCAACTAGGTCACTTGGGACGGTCCAGATGACCCCGCTAATCCAAAAAATTGGTCAATGAAACGCAAATGGGTGGCAACTTTCATCGTCTCCTCATTTACCCTTGTCTCGCCTGTCTCCTCGTCCATGATCGCGCCCGCTCTATCCTCTATTAGCAAAGAGTTTCATATCACCAACCAGTTTGAAGCTCAAATGACGCTATCAATCTTCGTTCTTGCTTATGCCATCGGACCAGTAAGTCATTCAAGTATACTCTATTTTGAATTACCAGACTCGTGCTGATATCACCTAGCTCTTTCTTGGCCCATTGTCTGAGATATATGGACGGGTCATCGTACTCCAAATAGCAAACCTATTCTACCTAGCCTGGAATCTCGGATGCGGGTTTGCGCAAAGCTCTGGCCAGCTCATGGCTTTCCGGTTCTTTAGTGGGTTAGGCGGAAGCGCTCCACTAGCCATTGGTGGAGTAAGTAATGTTGCTGTCCATATCTACAGCAAGATCTAATTTGGTATAGGGCCTTCTTTCGGACTGCTTCTACCCGGAGCAAAGAGGTAAAGCGATCAGCATCTACAGTCTCGCACCTCTACTCGGTCCCGCCATTGGACCCATCGCAGGCGGCTTTATCTCGCAAAATACCACTTGGCGTTGGTGCTTTTGGGCGACCACCATCTTCACCGCCGTGGTTCAATGCTTCGGTGTCCTCTTCCTCCAGGAGACCTACGCACCCAAGCTTCTTGCTCTCAAGCGAGACAGACTTCGCAAGGAAACAGGAAACATGAAATTGCACACCGAATACGACAGTCCTGACAGGACACTAGCGAAGACGATAAAAGGAGCACTCCAGCGACCCTTCAGGCTCATTGCTACGCAGCCCATTGTACAGGTTCTCGCATGCTACATGGCGTATTTGTATGGGCTCATGTATCTCACGCTTTCAACATTTCCTCTCCTTTGGAACGACCGGTACAATGAGTCTGTGGGAGTTGGTAGCTTGAACTTTATCTCCATGGCTGTTGGGTTCTTCCTCGGAACTCAAATCTGCGCTCCCCTCAACGATGCAATATACCGCAGGCTGAAGAAGCGAAACAACAATGTCGGGAAACCAGAGTTCCGTGTCCCTATGATGGTCCCTGCTTCACTCCTAGTCCCCATAGGACTCTTCTGGTACGGGTGGAGCGCTCAAGCCCGAGTACACTGGATCATGCCGAACATCGGAGCTGCCATTTTCTGCGCAGGTACCATTGTTGGATTCCAGTGCATCCAAACGTACCTAGTCGATTCGTATACTCGATATGCTGCGTCGGCGATTGCGGCCGCAACAGTGCTGCGATCTCTTGCTGGGTTTGGGTTTCCGCTCTTCGCCCCAGCCATGTACAACACACTTGACTTTGGGTGGGGGAATAGTTTGCTGGGGTTCATTGCGATTGGGCTAGGTGTGCCAGCGCCATTCTTACTCTGGAAATTTGGTGGGTTGCTGAGGTCCAGGAGTAAGTTTGCTGCTGGTGGTTGAGGGATACCCATCAAACAGACATGCGATAGCAAAACAGAGTGAATACGCCTCCAGCAAACTTGAGTTGGCATTCGTTTCTTAGCGGGTATTGCATCTAGAGGTGTTGGTTTCAGGGTCCTGGTCTGCATTTCTTGGAAATGGAAAAGAATCTGGTTTCCTCTTAGAGGTGGGTTGAAAGAGGGGAGCATACATATACACAATTCTCTCAAGAAGTTAGTATCTAAGTATACGGTAATATTCTTGGCTTAAAGTACTGCACTGAAATGTGTGTGTGAATGCTTCTGAATCAGGCGAAGTCGTCCGACATGGTCCGTGCCTTCGAAGCTGTCATCTCATGTTGAAAAGTGAAGAACATCAATCACCACAATCGCGCCACGCTCTCCACGCCTCCCCAGCCCTTTCAATCCCGCAATTGATATGTCTTCAACATGCAATTGCATTGCCGGAGCTATGAAAGCCATTAAATCGTCGTCGTTACTACGCCTTGAGCTCCAGGGCACCCGGACCTCCGTCCGCCGAACCCTCTCATCCCACTCCCCGAACACAGCCGTACTGTCTCGAACAGTAGCGAGCGGAAGCGCGTCACATTTTAGGACATTACAGAGCTCAAGCGTACCTTGTCGGAGCCCCGCAGGTAGCTTACGAAAACCGTTCTGCCAAGCCCGATCTTTTTCAAACTCGACAGCACGATGTAAACTCAGGACAATAGAGCAAGTAAAGGCACGGAATAAAGGCGGGGTAGGTTCTCAAACTCCCGTTCTCTTCGACCCCGGCATTACCAAGGCCATTTTATGACATGGAATGCTCTGCTAATTCTGTCTCCATTGCGAAGCCTTTCAACCTCGCCGCTGCACTCCTTTTCGTGGCCACTGGAGGTGCGTTATACGCCTACTTCACTTACGAGAAACAACGCATGGACCGGAAGAGGATAGCGGAGGAGACTAAGGGAATTGGGAAACCAAAGGTTGGAGGACCGTTTGATTTGGTGGACCATGATGGGAATCGGTTCACAAGTGATGATATGCATGGGAAATATGCGCTGGTAGGTTCGGTTTCTTGCACAAGATCTGAGGGACGAAATGATCGAGGCTAGTTTTATGTTATTGACATGTCGTGTTGCGCGGCTATGGGAAGGAAGCACAAGTGCGGATTGGACTACATAGGAAAGAGGTGCTAATAGTGGTACGCAGGTTTACTTCGGTTTTACGCACTGCCCCGACATCTGTCCAGATGAGCTCGACAAAATGGCTATCATGTATGATAAGGTGGTCGAGCGATGCGGTAAAGTTCTGCTTCCCCTCATGATAACCTGCGACCCGGCACGCGACACTCCAGAAGTGCTGAAAGAGTACCTCAAAGAATTCCACCCCGAAATCATAGGCTTGACGGGAGAATACGAGAACATAAAACAGACATGTAAGGCATATCGCGTCTACTTCTCAACCCCACCAAACGTCAAGCCCGGCCAAGATTATCTAGTGGATCACTCCATATATTTCTATCTGATGGGTAAGTCTATCGTCTATCCTTTTGCTTTCTATCAATTCTACGAGCTTTGGGCGAGTTGCGAGCGTGGTGCAGTGGACATCGCTCGTATCGAGATTTCGATCCCTTAGGGTTAAAGATATTGATGAAGTCCTGACGCCACGCGCAGATCCAGACGGTGATTTCGTCGAAGCCATCGGAAGAAATTTCACCGCGGAACAGGCTGCAAAACTGATCGGAGATCATATTAAAGATTGGAGCGGTCCGTTGAATAAAAAGGATCGATGGGCATAAAAGGTGACGTCAAAAAGGTGGATATTCGATTGTTGTTGGAAGGTGTCCTGCTCCCCTCTCCATCTTCAAAGGCCGTGTATCGCGAGAAGACTATTGGTGGGATCACGTTACGATGGTCGACGTGTCTGCGTTTGTAAAGAGCAATGGTATGTAGAATATCAGTGTATAATCATCCGTCATACATTACATCTTCACCCGATTGCCCTTTAGCGTTTGGTCCCGCGCTAGGTTTAAGGACTTTTCAGGGGCTATGATCCGACGGAATACTCTGTACGCAGTCTAGGCCACACGATCTTCAAGTACTCAGAAAGAGTTGCCATGATGCGTGATTTGGTGGGTAACTCCATCTGGAGTTTGATAAGTTTGAGTTCGTATCACGGCATTTCTCCCGGCTTCCACCCCCACCCCCTCAAGCGCCAAACTCAAATCAGAACGAAACCCAAGCCGAAAGTTCAACAATATCCGCCTGCGCATGAGTATAGCTTGACCACTTTTTCAACCGCTCCGCTTGGCTTCGCAAGGCTATATCTACGAGGTGCGTGTTGCAACTGAAGCATTCTAGAAACTCACGCGACCAGGCCTCCCTTACTTACCGTCCTTTACACAACAGGACCCTCTCATAATACTTCAAGGCACAATAGGTTGTTTGTTCGACCGTGGAGTGCAAACAAACAATTGGGAGACCCCTCAGCCGGGGGCCCGGCCGTCGATCATGATATTTTTACAGCCAGCAGCAAGGTTCGCTGATTGTTTCAATAGTTTGTGAAGAAAAAGGCCGAGGGTGTCTTGAAAGGGGAGGTGGGTTGAGCTGGGTTTAAGGTTGCCGAGCCGCGAGGTGGTCTGTTAGATGAGAGACGGTTGGATTCGGGGCATGTCTTGGGGCGGGCGCTAATTTTTAGTGAAGAGATAAGCATAGGGTGAGGAGAGAGCCAAGTTAGGCTTGCTTAGGAAATAGTCTGGAGTTCTGGGTTTTGAGTGTCTTGAACGTCGCGTGTGCCGCACATACGGCGAGGGCGCACTGGCAATTCTAAGTTGATAGCCTTTGAGATATGTGAGAGGAAGGCACAGCAGTTTGCTACCTTGTTCTTGAGTGATTGAATTGGTGTATAGACAATCTAATTACCAAACGCACGAGAGTTCAAGGAATCCACCAGCATCACGAGACCGAAAGCATGATAGAGGCAGATGTGGCGTCGCCAAAATGCAACTATAAGCCAGTTTTCCACTTCCAACCAAAGGAAGTGGTTAGGTGCAGATACGACTCTCTTGTTCTCACACGGGCGGAATACAGGGCGCCACCGCCGTACAACTGCTTGATGGTCATTGCGAGCTGAGGTCCGATGCGCTGCCGCGATGCTGCTGGCGTTGCACAAGCTGGATTCAGAGTCCTGACCTAAGACCCGTCTGCCAGGTTTGCAGCTTCCAGATTTTGGGATTCCGGCTGGAAGCGCATGGAAGGGCGGGATGGTGGGGGCATGAATGGGTGGTGATGCAAGAATGCGGTGTTCTGGGTTATCGCGAAGAAGGGGTTTGAAGGGGGTGATATTGACCAGCATGATCCATCATAGATTACCTGATGAAGCTTTGAGATCAGACGGCTGGCGACATCCATGAAAGTGAGGAAGCGAGCACCACCTCGCGATCTGGACTTCATCGTGCAATGATGGAGCAACACCAAGCATGAGAAAAAGCGTTGCTCACCTTCCTGATGCGACCTAAGCCAAGCACTAACTGCGCTGTCGTCAATCTATCGAATCATCGGCATTGCTCATCCTTGGCGAGTCGGTAGGTTGCTTGCAACGCATCAATTTTAATCTGGCAAAAAAGACAGACGCAGCGTGGAGAAGATGAAGGAGGACCACGGGTTCCCCTGCCACATGCCCACTGCCGTCCATCAAACATTACTCTCCAAGAGTCTATTCCAATCTCCAACACTCTTTCCTTATCGCAACACATCACCTTTGGCACCCCCTCGATGAATCCCGGACTCAATTCATGAAACGGATCTGCGACTCGACATTGCTATCACGATTATCGTTGTTAACGCAGATCACTCTCTCTGCGACACGGTCCGCCAGAAACGAGCCAGCGAGAGCAAGCCACCGTTTCAATAAAATAGCGACCTCAGACGTCGATGGCTTTGGGTGTTGCCACAGCCGAAGCCAATGCCTGCGCCAGCATCTCGTCTCCATGTCTTGGCTCCAACTGGCGCTGCCTGAGCAATACGGACGGGCCACTTGGCCACCTTCTGGATACGTGATTCGGGCATCGCCAAAGTTTTGCGCCTCTAAGCTGGCTTTTGCCTTGATCCCGACCGATGTGTTGCATGGATCCGCAACCACACGGGACTGGTTAATCCCGTCTTCACTTGCATTACCCGATGGGGGTCCATGTCCGGGGAAATGGCCCAGTTACGAGGGCAGTCGGCACGGTTATCAAAGGGAACTGAGATGAGAGCAACGACGAGGCGACTAACAGTTCATTTTGCCTTGAGCGTCGTTGATCATCTTCAGTCCCCGCGTTACCCTACATGGCAGGCAGTGAACATTCTACAGAAGCTTCGGTGCGTTTGGCTTCATCTACGGATCCATAACTGGCGCTAGCCGAGATAGGAGGCACGGGCCATGATACACAGAGGGCCAGGGAAGCTTGCTGATAGACATGGTTGCATTTCATACCGCGACAAAGGGTTGCAGGAGTCGAAATGGGACCCCCAGCACGCAGGTGTCGCATTATATTATGTGCTCCACCCCGTTCCCCTCGTAGGAGCGAGCTATTGCAGGTCGTGCCCCTCTGTGAACATCCGTCGACACTTCCCGAGCAGTGTAGGTACTGGTAGTCCATCATGGCCTCCAACGAGGTCGTCGACGTCCCCGTCGAGCCAATGGGCCAGATCAACCCCAAAGTGTACGTTTCATACCTCACTGCCGGTCGCCAGTCTTGTGTCACCAGACGACGCGTCCCAGCATGAAGAAAGAAAGCTTGGGCTTTCAACTAACTCCACAATAGCCCACCATTGACTGAAACAAAGAACACGTTTAATACCCCCGAGGGGCGCTTTGATGAGAAGGGATATAATGAGGAGGCCATCAATGAGGAAGGCCTCAAGGAATTGGATGACGACCACCATGATGACTTCACGATCGACCCCTTCAAGCCCTTCGACGACTTGCCAGATGAGCGAAGCGACATCCTTACTATTCGTGCTATCTTCATCGGTCTTTGTTGTGGTGCTCTCGTGAATGCCTCCAATGTCTATCTTGGGTTGAAGACAGGATGGACATTCACGGCCAACTTGTTCGGCGTAAGTAAACCCAATTATAAGTTAGAAGGAAACAATCACTGAGCATAGTAGGCTATTGCTGGTTTTGCCGTTGTCAAATTCATCTCCAAGGCCGTTCCTGAGAGCTTCCCTATCCTCGGGGGCAGCTTTGGTCCACGTGAGAACAACATTGTCCAGACCGCTGCCATGGCGTCTGGTGGTCTTTCTTCTGTCTTCGTCTCCGCTTTCCCTGCTCTGTATCAGCTTGAGCTTTTGGATACTCCTAAAGCTGACTACTGGAAAATTGTCTCCCTTACTGCTGTTGCTGGTTATTTCGGTTTTTTCTTTGCTACACCGAGTAAGTTGATTTCCCTTGAATTGTAATACACTGATCTAACTCTTTCACAGTGCGTAAGTTCTTCATCGTGTATGTGGCTCGTGAGCTCCGATTGATCTTCCCTACTCCCTCTGCTACCGCCATGACCATTCGGAGTATGCATCAGGCTATTACCGGAGAGAGGATAGCCAAGATGAAGATGAAGGGTCTCTCACTCGCGTTCTCGGGTGCTTTGATCTTGCGTGTTGTTTCCCAGTACTGCATTGGTATCCTGTGGGATTGGCATTTCTTCACCTGGTTCTACATCTGGGGCCACTATAAGAGTAAGCCGGCCATATTACCTACCCCTTCTAGATTGTTGCTAATCGTTGCCCACCAGACCAAGCCCTTGCCGTCGAGAACTGGGGCTGGTTCCTCGAATGGACTCCCGCTTTCATTGGCTCTGGTATGCTGGTCGGTCTTAATGTTTCCATTTCTTTCTTCGCCGGTAGTGTCATTGCTTGGGGTATCATTGGCCCAGCTCTTGTCCACAACAACATGGCTTGGGGTGTTGATCTAAGTGGAGGCGATCCAAAGTGGGAGGGTTACATCACCTTCGCTTCGCTCAGTTTGAAGGCTTGCAACAAGGACAGCCCAAGCCCCCGATACTGGCTTCTGTGGCCAGGCGTTTTGATGATGATTGCGGTTTCGTTTACCGGTAGGCTTCATTCTCCATATACCACTCCTACGCCTTGCTCACATGAATGCAGAACTTGCCCTTCAATACAAAGTCATCTACTTTGCCTTCAAAGCCCTCTACCGCGGAATTGCTACTGGCATCTATGCTCTCGGCCACGCTATGGGCAAAGAACTCGGCTTCTTCAAGAAAGTCGGTGAGCAGGCCGAAGAAGACTGGGTCGAGGACTCCGCGCAACCCCACGAGTTGGTCAAAATGTGGATGTGGCTTCCCGGCCTGATCCTCTCTATCATCTGCATCTGCGTGGTGCTAGGTGTTGAATTCGACATGCCAGTTGGCATGTCACTGCTCTCCGTCTTCCTCGCCTTCTTCTTCTCCTTCCTTGCCATCCAGTGCACCGGCGTCACAGACATCACACCTCTCACCGCCGCATCCAAAGCCTCGCAAATCATCCTCGGAGGTGCCACAAAAGGCGAACACTGGGAAGTCGCACACGCACAGAAACTCAACTTGCTCGGTGGTGCCATCGCCTCCATGGGCGCCAACCAATCCACAGATCTGGTCTGTGACTTCCGAACCGGCTTTCTCCTCCGCACACCTCCAAACCAGCAGTGGGTAGCGCAGGGCATCGGAACTATCGTCGCCGTCTTCCTCGCACCCGCCATGTTCCAGCTCTTCTCTACGGCATACCCCTGCATCATCGACATCGAGGCCGACACCTGCGCCTTCGCCGTCCCCTCCGTCTCCGCCTGGCGCGCCACCGCCGTTGCCGTCACCGACCCAACCTTCCCCATCCCCAAAACATCCGGCATCTTCGCTATTGTCTTCGCCATATTCGGCTCCGCCATGGTCTTCGTCCGCCATTACCTCTGGGTCGGCGAACGCGAGTGGGTCAAGAAATACCACCCCAATATGATGTGTATCGGTCTCGCGTTCGTGCTCGCGCAGACGCAGTACGGAACTGCCATGGTGATTGGATCGACGTGGGCATTCCTCTGGGCGAAGTGGAATCCCGTGGGTTTTGATATCTACGGGTATGCGGTTGCTGCGGGTTTGATTGCCGGTGAAGGTATTGGCGGTGTGATTAATGCGGTTCTCCAGGTTGCGGGGAGGTCGGGCGATAAGTATGGGACGAATATTGCGTGCCCTGGTGGTGCGTGTTAGTGGATCTGATTAGCTTTGATCTGGATTAATTCATGTATGTGTGTATATTGGGGAGAGACAGGGTGTGTGAGTAGCGGAGCCGAGGGCATGTTACGTTGATGTTGAGGTTGATGTTCAGATGAATTTGGACGAGGTGGATACCCAATGGGTGCTTATGAATTCAAGTTTTGCTTAATGTAACTCATTTTATGACCCTATGCTGTCTGTACAGTCTGCTGTGATTTCGGGATGATGCATGCAAATAGTACCCATGAATATGGCATCGTGTAACCCTCAAAAGCTAGCTTTTGGAGCCTGTATCACGGCACTAGGCACCAGAAACTCCCTAATCCTACTACTGTTCAGGCACATGGAACCAGGTACATGGTAGTTCGGCAGACGTCAAACGTTTCGCTGAACCCACATATCCCTGTACTTCAAGAGATCCTTCTGTCCGTAACACTCAGCTACGACTGTAATGATCATGTCCAGCGTGATCTTGGTGTTCGTGTCGGGGGCCATTTCTTTCTTCTCAATGTTGGAATCCTTTTCAACCTCGTTCTCCGTGACTTCTTTCTCAGCCTCAATTTCCATCTCACTTTCTGTGAAAGGCTCTGGTTTAGCGCAGGAAGGCTCTCCTCGTGAAGCCGATTCCGACTGATCCAGTGTGGGAGCCTCAGAATCGTCATCTTTTTTACTGGTAAGCAATACTTCTTCTGCTTCCTTGGCAGGACCGTTATCTCGCGTCAAAGCTAGCTGCTTCTCACGGATTTGTTGACGCTGCGCTTCTGCTTCTGCCCGCGAGAGGAATGGGCGTCTTTGAACCAAACGATCTCCAAGCTGAGCCAGCAGTCGTGCTTTTGCCTCTTCAAGGGTTTGAGGTTCCTTCTCTTCGGTGTGGCCCGGAATTTCGACGTCATTGGCTGGGATATTGTTGGGCTTGACACTAATGTCCTCAATTCTGTCAGTTATGACATCGTTGTTCTCAAGGACCTCCTTGGTCTCACAGTCATTCGATTCGGTCATAGGGGCCTGTCCACTAGATTCCGTACTGGGGTTCTCTGCAACCTTTACTGGGATCTCCTTTGTGCTCTCCTGGACATCTTCCTCCGACTTGCTACTGGCGGGTTCTTCACTTTCAACGCCTTCACCGTCAATCCCCCAGCTCCTTGCAACTTCATCTTCACTATCGCTATCACTATCACTACCCTTGCGTCGCTCTTTGAGGTGGCCGCTGCATAGTCTTATATTAAGTTCTGCTGCTTTCTGCGCCAATTCCCTCAAGCGTCCAATTTTATAGTAGTCTAGAGTGCCCATCTCACCCGCCTTCGCCAACAAGGCCCAAACCCAACAACTCTGCTGCTTGTTGATTGTGTCAAACCGGTCCAAGCTGAGCATGGAGTATAGAAGGCCCTGAAAGACGTCGCGTTGGTCCATCCGGCACACATGCGAGGGAGTCGGAAACTGGCGAGAGAGAGCATAGAGCCACTCCCGCCTGTTCTGGGGAGGAACTTCGCTTGTACTATTGGAAGGGCCATCGTTCTTTCGCTTGGCTTTATTGACTGGAGTGGCTTCTGAGAGGGTCTTACGGAGGGCTTGGTATCGCGTAAGGAGTTTGTTGTAGTACTGTTCTTGGGGGTCGAGGTTGGCGGGGGAGTCGGATCGGCTGGGGTCAAAATAATTTTCGCGTTCGAGGTCGCGAGCAATCCATGTGCCGTCCTTGTAGAAAGCTCTCATGTCTCCCCGCCCATTTTTGTACATCGACTCATCATGGTCACCCTCCTCGATTTGCGGGGTGGGGGCAAGGAGGACGTGTGGTATTGATTGCGCTTCGGACCTATTTGTTCACACAGGTTGGCTCTGTGTTCTCTCTCAACGCGATAGTCTTGCGATGGGCCACCGAGGCAGACTGGGGGTAAAGGGAGGGACTGTAGCTTACCTGACACTTCGAAGATATGCAAGGGCTTCATTTGTAGAATCATCGGAAACGTCAGACTCGTCCAGACCCGGGAACCCGTATCTCATCCCACAGTCTGCATCGATTGGGGCATGGACTTCTGAGGATTTGACGGAGCCTGGAGACCGCCTTGGTGAATCATTCTCTTTTCGACTCGAATTATTTTGTCTACTTCGCTTGGGCGGCGGCTCGTCATCGCTCGGCTCATGCCGGGTCTCGGATTCTGGTCGTTTTCTCTGTCAAAGTCAGTACTAGAATCATATCAGAGAGGGAAATATTGAGCAACTGACGCTGAGGCTTGCGACATAATAATCTGGACGAGCCAGCTTGTTGTACTTCTCACCGCCCTGGGTAGTGGCCATGTTAACCCCGCTCCACGACATGTTACCAGCGTCGTGAGTTTTAGTAGTGGTTTCGCTTTACGCGTCCCCAAATGCGTGGAGCTCAAGCTAGACTGGGGTGTCAAGACCGTGACATCGCCAAGTTCTGTTACGTAAGCAAACCAGCCTTCACCTCGTGTGCTAGATGACCGCAACACCATATAATATCGATCCCTAGACTGTTCTAATAATATCTATCTCGAAAGAATCCGATGATCCTCTCCTCCTGTATGATCCCAATTCCAGATTTCTTCGAATATATTCTCTCCCACGTAAGACTATGGAAAGTATCACCCGTTCTACAGTGCCAAGACTTAATGGATAATCCACAAGTTTTCAGAAGGTTGCCTAAACAAGGCACTAGGTAAAGAAGCCAATTGATATTGACCTTACAGTAATTGCCGACTTTCAAATCCAGAAAGCGATTTAACAAATTGACCCCATCTCAGTGATATTCCATGTTACGCAACACCATACCTTGGAGCTATTTCCAAGACATTTTCACGGTTGAAGAAGTAAAGTGAGCTATGCAAATTCTATTCTGGCTACCCTGCGTTGTTGACATACTCTCCTATATTTCCGTCAAACTACTACGCGTAAGGAGTGCCTTCGAAAGCGCGGGAAAAGACACTGATAATGTTATCATCTATCCATCCCTCCAGCCACGCCATCCCTCAAACCAGAGCTGTCAAACTCATCCTCATCTTCATCCCATAAAGAAACGTCAGCGTGTGTGTACCATTGCTTAACCTCATCTGTATGATCCTCAGATTCCGCAACAGTCGACTCTACATCACTCTCACCACCATCCACCTGGCCACTTCGATATCGGGACCTGCCCGTATATCTCGTCGCCAGCCGCTTTGTCACTTCATTCGCATCCAACAAGCTGACCAGTCGTCTCTTCCCAGGATGCTCCTTCATAACGTTCTTGCAAAACCTCCAGATGCTCTCCGTATCAACAGATTCCGGCGCCCTGTAGTCCGGCGCAAAGGATTCCGTGCCGCGATCAGTGATTGAAATGTTGCTAATATGCCTCGAAACCCCCAGCGCTTCTGAGACGCACCTGGTTATGTACGCGTCCTCGGCGACTTCGTATGGAGTCTTGCCAACCGAATTCTCGCGGTACAGTAGATCAGGGCGGTATTTCAATATAATCTTCAACCATTCCTGCTTCTGGGACTTGACGACGTAATGCAACGGTGTCTCCCCCGAACCGTCTAAGTGTTCCAGATGCTCGTTTCCAGTTGGTTCGGCGAAGTCCAAGAGTGCTTTAAGAACGGAACTGCTCTCGTGTGAATTTCTCATCCAGCGCATGAGCGGCGTCAACGATCCAGGAGAGTAAGACGAGCGTTCAGAGAGCAATGACGAGATTAGGCGCTTATCGATGAGACCGAGGAACTGCATGATTGTCTTCAGTTGCTTACTGTCGACGGTTTTGGATGAATATGCACTGCATAGGAGGAGATGAAGAATGTTGGCTCCATCTGAGTCCCGAACAGTCTGGTCGGCGCCAGCAGCAATGAGGAGCTTGGCGGCTTCAAATCGGCGAAGGGAGAAAGCGAGAGCAAGAGGAGTGTGTCCCTGACTAGATTTGATGTGTATTGACTCTGGCATCTTGTCCATCAAGTATTCGATCAGTTTCTTGCTTTCATCCCTCGGCGGTGCCATGACGGCGCAATGAAGAGCAATATCATCTTGTGTTGTTAGTGAGTAGAATTTACCAAAAATACGGGTACGAGGCTTACGTCTAGCTCCGAGCCATCTGGACAAACATTTATTAAATCCTCCTGCAGACATGTTTAGATGTGTGATGAGCTTATGTGACTTATTTGCTTCAGCAAAGTCGAGATAGTGGCGTGAAGGGCTGTCACTGAGGAACCACTCAACGCTTGTGAGATTACCCTTGAAAGCGGCCCTCAAGAGTGGTGGATGAGTATCGGTGACACTTCGCATGCGAATTCCTCGAGCTGCAGACACCCAATCGGCCCTCTTCTTGCCATGGACCTATTCCCAAGTTAGCTCGTAAACTGAAAGAAAAAGAAAATGCATACGCTGAGACCCTGATAGTACTTCGGCTTTTCTTGAAATTTGACACCACTCTTTTTGACAAGAGACTCGAGCTCCATACCGGCCCCTGAATGTTTGATCAACTCTGTGAGCATGTTGATGCGCCCGTACTCGATCGCGAGAAGGAAATCGCTTTCGGGGAATGATGGAATGGCTGAAGACTTGTCCTTGTCCTGGGCCATTCTATCTGTCCACTCTAGCTCAAGATCTAGCATGAATGTGAAAAGCCGCATGTCGTTCGTCTTTATTGCCCATGTCATTAATGTGCCGTATCCGCTTAGAGTAACTTCGCGGTCATCCAAACCGTAGGTGAACTTTTCACCTTTTCTCAGAAGTCGGGCAAAGTCACATGCTGAATAAGCACAGTTAATGACATTGAGAGGGGAAGTCTCACTCTTTACCTGTGTAGATACTTCCCCTATCGTGTCGATTGTGAATCGGTCATCAAGAATTTCCTTGTATACTGGAATATCACTTGACTCGCTTGCGTCATCTGTTTCACTGTCCTCATCCTCAACCTCATTGTTGCCCATCCGGTAGCGCACCTTTTCCTTCTCTTCAGATGGCTGGTATTGAACGTGGGAGATTTCAACAATAGCTCGAGCAACGTCAAAATGACCACGGAGAACTGCAAGGCTGAAGGGGGAGTGGTTATGTCGATCTTCAACCGCTATTTTCAATGGCATTCTTTCATCTTCCGGACCCCACGTAGCCAAGGTAAGAGACTTGATTGTAGCAAGATCTCCATCCCAGGCGGCTTGGAACCTGTCCATATGCTGTGAGCTAATGTGCAAGCAAAATCGTCGGTGATACTTACAGCTTCAAGTAGTGGTCACGAGTCTCATCCGTGAGATCATGGATTCGGAAATCGAAAGTGATCTCCCATGGCTTCGGTTTGTGTTCGGGATACGAGTACGTATTCTTGAATTGTTCTTCGATCTTGTCCGGATGAAGCTCTAAGAATGTTTGCCCGCCGCGTTTGATTAACTCTTTTTCAACAACCTCGAATTGGTCAGCGAGCGCCGCAACAGCGGCTTTCTTTTCTTCAATCCCCTTGCGCTCATTATGCTGCTTCAAACGCTTCTCGTAGGCCTCCAAAGCACGTTTATCAGATCCTTGGGCATCTTCAATGAATATCTTGGCTATGAACCATTTGTATGATTCTGGCTCGAGGCCTTCGAGGTAGTTCACCCCATCCTTGAGATTTTTCTCTGGTAGCTCCGGTTCTGCAGTATCCTCGAAGTTTCTCAACTGCTTGATTTTTTCTCGGACTATGTCGAGAAGAGTTTCCATCTTATTGTATCGCTGATACCATGTATTCACCATAGCGGCCTGGGTCTGTTTCGTGAGTGTGTTTGGGTCCACTCCGAGTTCCAGAAGCTTCATGACGAGATCCGACAGCTCCGTTTGGACGGCAAGGATAATTGGTTGTTCCACATCTTTGTTGAATTCGGCGTGGTTGAGGTTCGAGTCGCGTTTTGAAACACTTTCGTATTGTGACTCGACAGACTTCATCCAGTCTTTGAACTGGATATGTGCTTCAGCGCCTACATCCAAAAGCTTAAGTGCAGCGAGTGCATTGCCATTTTGGATAGCACTCATCAAAGGACTTGAAGCAGATGGCCTCCACTCTGAGCCTCCAACACAAAGGTGGTTGATGGCACGTTTCGCAGCTGGCTCATCAAATTGGAGCAAAGTCTCGAGAACATCAGGCTCCTGTTTAGAGATATAGTGAAGGGCAGTCGTCTGATGCATGTCGGCTTGAGCGGAGGAGGCACCAATCTCCAGTAAGGTCTTAGCCATTATTTTGGCTTTCTCCAATGGAAGCCGAAGGGCAAGCACTAGTGTCAAGATTGCTCCACGGGGCTTCTTGTCGTAGCTGCTAAGGAGTTTGATCGGCAACAGGACATCAGCACCAAAGGTTTGAACAAGCTCTTTGACAACTTCAACGTGACCATGCAAGATCGCGAGGTGAAGGGCTGAACATTGAGTATCCCAAGCCAGCACGTTGACATCATAAAAGTCAGGTTCGTCTTCTTCGTCCTCTGGGAGTTGGTCCTGAGCTTTTTTCTCTTCTTCTTTGACTTTGACATAGGACCCAGTAGTTGTCGAGCGCATCTCTAAATCAGAGTCTTCCTCGTCGTCAATCATTTCAATGTCGCTATCATCTTCTTCCTCTTCTGCAGGCTTCTCAGGAACCGCCTTAGTCTCTCTCCGCTGGTCTCGAGCAGCAACCCTTGCCCGCTTTCGAGCGTCCTCTTTCTTAGCTTCTTGTTCCTCATTCTCTTCACTCTTCTGAAGAATCATCTTTATTATTTCCACATTTCCACGGGCCGCAGCCAGATGGAGAGCAGTCCTACCGTCAGCAAGGCGAGCGACAAGACGGGCGCCGCGGTCAATGAGTGTCTTGACAACATCTGGAGTGGAGGACGTGACAGCCAGATGCAAAGGGGTGCGGCCAGTGTAATCTCGACAATTCGGATCAGACCCTTCCTGAGATAGCCAATCCTCAACATGCTCTACATCGCCGTCGATGATTCCTTGGCATAACCGAGCAGTATTACCGACATACGCCATTTCAGTCCAGTCCTTGTCTGTAATTGGATGGAAAGAACCAATCGCCTGCCTTCCTGGATCGTCCTGGATGAATGAGATCTCCCCAGAGACGTAGATTTTTGCCTCTTCATCAGCGGCATCGAATTCCTCCGGAGTCACAGGCTTAGGACAGAAGCCGCAACAGTCGTGAATGACACTACGTTATAGCCATTAGGAAAGGTGTTGTTGGACCTGAGATCAAATTACTTACTCTTCGGCTCGCCCAAAGAATGCTGGATGTCGATGCAAGTTCACTTCGCGGTCATCTCTCTTGTTCCATTCTGCATTCAATAGGAGGTCCTTGGTGTAGAGGAGTTTCTCTATCCTCTTCGCATGGTACTTAGGTCCGTAGGGAATCGTGAAAGTGTCTACAGGTCTTTAGAATGTAAAAGAAAGGGCAGCGTTATTCACAATAAGGGACTCACGGTAGTCACTGACATCTTCCTGATCAACCCACTCCGCGACTTCATCCTCATGTAAATCCTTGATGTTACCGTGCATACTATAGTTGAGGTGACGCTGGATGGCCGGCCTTCCTCGTTCACGGCGTCGTTCATCCATGTAATTCTCACGCTCGGATTTGGTAGGAAGTCGCTCTAGAACAAGAAGTCTCGCCAGCCCGACGGTTCTCCCAAAATTTCGTTCATAGATTGTTGGATCGACGCGTGAGCGTTCCAAAACTGGCCAGTACACTTCGAATCCACGGTGGGAATACTTGCTGAGGCGGTTCTCGTAAGAAGGAGAGCGACGAGTCAAATCGATCGTATTCGATTGAGTCATGTATGCTGTGAGAGCACGGGGAGAGGCATAAACCTGCTTTCCATCATATGCCGCACACGAACAGTCAACGTCGAAGCCAGTCAAAATTTCAGCGATCGATTTGTAGATGCGAAGTACAATCTGAAGCGTTAGCAAAACGGCACATGAAGACACTGCTGCAGACTCACTTGGATATGGCGGGTGGGGTACTGGCTCGCAATGGTGCTTGGGGGCACATTAGATTTTCTGGTAGTTCTAAATGCCGAGTCACACTTACATTGTATTTTTGGTTCGAATAGTAGCTTTAGGCCGTTAGTTGCATGAATAGCGATATCATGATTTGGCACTTACTCGTCTCAGTGAGGATACTGTCCTTGATCCTTGTTTCAATCTCGAGGATCTTTTTGGAAGCCTCTTCCTCGTTGAGCCCATAGATGAATAGATCGACATCCGAAGCTGGAGCTATCATTTCGTGATAGTACTGGCGAAGTGCCCTCTTTGACATGGCATACTGAGACGGAACAGGCAAGAGGCTCGTCACAACGGAGGACCCGGCAGCGACGACATTACTCCAGTCCAGGTCAACAAGTGAGGATTCGCAGAAGAGGGTAAAGTTTTGCTGGAACTCTCTGATGTCCCGAACGATGGCAGGGGACCCACTAGGACGCCTGTCCTTCTCATTGAGCGGCATGATATACCGTTCCTTCTCATCTGTCGTCTCAGCGTCCAGGTTTCGAGCATGGATTTTGACATCTTTCTCATGTCCATTGAAGACTGGGACGATATTGAGATGTTGGTCGATGAGGGAAGGATGATTGGGTTCCTGGGCAAAAACCTCTCGTATTTTGGAATCGTACAGCTTGTATGGCTCGAGAAGTTCCAGCAGAGGCTTGTCTGGGTTAGATGCAATGTACTGGATGAAGTCAGTGTGCTTCACAGGGACATTTGGAAGAGTAGAAGGCGCCATGATGGGTTGTTTGTGAGAAGAATGTGGGAAGAGAACACAATTGGGGGGAATTGGTAAATGAAATCTCTGGGATGGGCGTGGCTTTGCGAGATACGAGGAGAAGGCGCGGTTGATGGCTGAAAGATGGAGACGGAAACGAAATGAGCGACACGGCGGCTTTATATCTAGCATCTGAGGACAAGACCCTCCGAGGCATATGCCAGGAGTTCTAGAGTCAGGAGGCGTTGTTTATCACACCGCTCGTCTCCTCTAGGCACCATGTTCCATAGTTAATCTAGGTCAGGTGCTTTCGTGGTGAAGTCGTGAGGGTTGCCTGAATCCGACGAGGCAGCAACGACGCGCTAGCAAGGAAAGAAGGCCCCACCCAACCGTGATTGGACCATGCCACTCCACACTGAGAATAAGCTTCCGATTGCTTCAGCACAAGATTGCCACACTCCAGAACGAAACTGGAGTTGCAACCTTGAGATGGCACATAACCAGGCCGCGACAATCACCTAACATCACACACGGCTTCAATTAGGGAGGCAGTGATTCATCCCAACCAATTCATTTAGGAACAACACCGTATGGTATTTCATAAGCCTGTGTACTCTCTAGTCCTGGCCCTGTCCTGATTAGACACAAAACATTCTGCAACTTTGATATCCCATAGACTGAGCATACCATACAGTTCAAAAACGCCGAGAAAAAAGGGTAGAACCCAAGGGACATCATTTGGATGGAAGAACCACGATCCGAGAAAAATGGATTATCAACGAGAGGCAGAATTAAGGGGCTAGACAAAACGTAAAAGAAGATGGTATAGTACGAATAAAATTCCCTGCACCGAAAATTGTGGAGAGGGTGACGTGGAACGAGGAAAAGAGACCCAGGTCCAAATAGGCCATTCAGCGCCGATAATAAACCAGCCAGCCCTGTCGAAAGAGAGAAAATAGCATATGAAGAGAAGTGTAAGACGGATGTTCATAAACCAAGAGGCAGCATCATCAACATCTCCTTTTTAGTCATGGGTCCAACTCAAAACGTCCAATCGAGATGGTCTAAACACCATGTTCATTCAGATCATCGTGGAGCCACCAGGGCCTGCCGGCACTGTCGACGGAGCAGCGGAGGGGTGGCTCTGGCTGCCTTTTCTCTCCTTCTGTTCTTCTCTCTTCTCATGCTCATCATCATCGAGGTCCATGCGCTTTCGCCATTGAGCAAGCGACTCGCTCAATTCGCTCTTCTCGCTGGTAGAAGACTTCTCAAAATCGAAGCGGTCGCTAAGCCTATATGCTTTGTTTGTGGTCTCCCAGTGGGTTCGTAAAGCATCCAATTCAGAAGCGAGGTTGTCAAGAGCCATCGAGTTACGCGTCGCAGGCACGTTTGTGGCGCTCGAGGCATCTGGTGTGCTCGAGTCGTCATTCTCACTGTACATGGAATCACCAGAAGCGATACTATCATGTGCATGATGGCGGTGTCCACCATCTTCTCCATTGACACCGGAAGTAGGAATCTGAGACTGGCGACGGTAATTGTCAACCGTGTTCTCGAATTGGTCGAGGAACATTTGCACGCGGGTCTCGGCTTCTCGTGCTCGTTCTTCGATAATTACATTCTGACGCCGAAGGGCTTCCAGGTCGGTGCGAGATTGCTCTGCCAAGGACTCTAAGTCCTTAGCGTGCTTAGCAGCGGCTTCAGCTTCTTGACGGGCAGACGCCAACTCGGACTGAAGGGTGGAGAGTTGTGTTTCTAGTTGACTAACTGTGGCCTTCATGTTCGCTTGCACCTGAGACAACTCAGAGCGAAGTGAGTCTCGCTCTGCCGCCCACTCGCTGGATTGTTCCTTGGTTGGGCTTCGGGAAACTTGTCTTGCCTGTGTAAGCTCTTCCTCCAGTTTGGTGTTGGCGTTCTTGTATCGCTCAAGCTCCTGCTTCATTTTGGAAAGCATCTTCTCTGTGCCTCGAAGATATTTGACGGCAGCTTGATGATCGCTATGGAGGGTCTGTAACTTCCCTTCCCATTCCTTGCTGACATCGTGCTCTCGCTGTTCGAATACAGATCGAAGCTCTTCGTGCGCCTTATTCATGGCGTCGATTTGCTGTTCCAGTTCACGAACTCGGTTCAACTCGGGGGTGCCAAATCTTGAGCTGGGGCTGTCCAACACCCGTGAGCGTCGTGCATCAACGGGGTTGACACCACGCTCCTCAAGAAGATTCTTGAGAGTCTTCAACTGGACTTCTAGAGCGTTACTTTCAAGGCGAAGGCGTTCATATTGCTGGTGAAGCTCAGCTTTGTCCGCTTCAGAAACTTGCATATCGCGCATTGCATGCTGCAGCTGCTTTCGAATAGTGAGGCCTTCGCGACTGGATTGTTCCTGATACGCCTCCAGACCGGCAATTCTCTCCTCAGCGCGTCGAAGCTTTTCGTATGCCTGGTCGGCAGCACTTTGATTCTTGCGGACCATGGCATTCGCAGCCTCCACTTGTTGTTGAAGAATAACGACCCGCTCATCCATGGCCTCGTGCTCATCTTCATCGCGTTCGGCAAACCTTCCAAGACCAGAGAGCACCGCTTGGCGATGAAGACGAGCCTCTTCCGCGTACTTTTCTGCAAGTTCCTCGGCATCCCGAAGCTTTCGAGAGGCAGACTCTAATTCCATCGTGCGGTCTTCGTGTTCCGAGCGCAACTGTGCTAACTTCTGCTCTAAGTTGTCCCGTTGATATCGCTCTTCCTCGATCTTCTTTTCCAATAATGTGGATTTGTCTGAAGAAGCAGAAACAGCGTCACGTAGGGATTGGAGAATAGAGGCATGGTTTTTTGACTGTTCTGACACCTTCGCATACCTCGTGCTTAGCTCGTTCTTGTCAACGGCCAAAAGGCGGGAGGAAGCCTGAGCCTCCGTCGCATTTGCCGATGCTTCTCGTGCCACTCTCTGAGCTTCATGAAGCTCGGCTCGCAAGTTCTCGAACTCAGCGGCATTCTTCTGCCGTGACGAGTCCAGCTCTTGCACACGCTTCTGAGCAGCTTCCGCAGTATCTTCTGCGAGCTGTTTCGCCCTGCGTTCACTTGCCACTTCTTGGCTGAGCTTTTCAAGCTTGGCTGAAAGCTCACTTTGTACAGCTAGAGAGGCAGCGAGGCGCCGGTTGATGTCGTTGATGCGGTCCATATCAGGCGTCGCTGTACTACGAGTACCATCAGGCTGAGGTGTGCCACCTTGACTGCCACCCCCGTGAGCCGCAAGTTTTGCCTTGGCGTAGATAGCTTCATTGACCGCGGCTTCCTTTTGTCTTTCGACTTCGGCAATTCTCTTCGCTGCGTCTACTTGTTGGGACTTTATGGAAGTTTGCACACGCTCCAGCTCATTCTTCATTTTCAGCAGCGCTTCCAGTAGAGGTCGGTCATCGTCGCCAAAGACATCAGCCGCTCGCTCATCAAGAATCGGGCTTGTTGAAGCACCCGGATTATACCCTGCCTTGCGGGCAAGGGCAAGCTCTGAGGCGTACCAAGCATTCCGACTCCTTGCAGCTTCCAGCTCCCGCATCAGTTCATCGTTCTGTTGGCTGAGCGCAGGAGAGGCACCCACACCACTGTCAACGGGTCGATGGTCACCTTCGCGACTTAACACACGCTGCTGTGCTTCAATTGAGCGTCTTGGCGTCCCTTGCTCTATGCTTTCCAGGGAATGTTGTTGCCGATGCGACCTCGATGTGTTACGCGAGACAACGCTCGCCGACCTCGTTGTGTCCATAGATTCTTTGTGATCTCGTTGATGCTGACTTATCGACGATATATCTGATCCTTTTCGCGGGCCATTCACCGTCTTGTCAGAGACAGATTGCGCTTGGATTTCGTTTGTAGAAGGGCTTTCTCTCGTGCTCGGGGACATGTTTTCCCGATCGAAAGAGGCAGCCCTTGTGTCCACCGGTGGACCGAAGCCTCGGTCCCCTTTAGTAGGCGTTTTACTTCGTACGTTGCTGGTGGCAGTGCCGGCGCCGTTTGCCCTCGGTTGAGGAGCTTGCTGCAACGGGGGAGGACCTGATGGAGCTTGGCCGGGGGCGGCTCTAGGTAGCCTAGATCCCGCGGCGCCTGTTGTGATTCCATTCGCCATAGCATCGGGGCTTCTAGACACCTGCGGCCCAGCCATAACCCCTTCCCTCGTAGGAGGAGAGGCGGGCTTTCCTTGGGGGATACCGGTGCCGATCCTATCACCCCCGCTCATTTTCCTGGGGGCATTCAACTGTGGTTGCATGGGCGCGTTTTCGTTCGGGGGATATCTGATTTTCGAAGTGTCCAAGATGTAGGCCATGCTCAGTTCGTTTCGGTCACTTGCGGAGGAGCTTGGCTCGCCAGCTAGACAAATGACATGTTTTCCAAATGCAGTCATGCTGTGGCCCGATCGAGGCGATGGCGAGTGGCCCATATTCTGAAACATGTACCATCGACGAGAAGATATTCGAAACGCAGCAAGATCACCCAAGTCGACGCCTTCTTGGGTCCGTCCTCCGAAAATGTACATCGTGTCGTTAACAAGTGTAGCAGAGTGACCTTCTCGAGCAACTGGTATGTAGCCTATGCAGTCAAGTTCGCTCCATGCGTTCGTTCGTGGTTCGTAGGTCCAGACGTCATTAAACCAGCTGACACCGTCCGTTCCACCAAAGCTTTGGTTCATCAGCGCATGAATTTGGGGGAAACTCAACGTTGAATAATCCACTTACAGATAGAGCTTGTCATTCCAAGTGACAACGGAATGGTTTGTACGTGCCGGGGGTGCTCGACCTTGGGGAGATGAGAGGGTTCCATCTTTTGTATTCGGCAATAGCACTTCCCATCGACTGGATGAGGACTGAAGAGAATTCAAATCGAACGCGACCAAATCATTGAAGAAAAAACCTTCAACTTGTCCACCGAAGATGTAAATCTTGGAACCTAAGATATTCAAAGTGTGGCCATAGCGACCGGTGGGCCTGGGCCCTTGGGGCAAAGCGCGCGACCAATGTTTTGTTGCTGCGGAGTGTTAGCGCCTGCTTTACAATGCCAAACCCAGAACATACAGGTGTTCAAGAGATAGAGGGTATCGTCGAGGTCATCGTTGTCGTCAAGCTTGGTGTCTCCTCCAAAAACGATGAAGGCATTCCCGACCAACAAGCTCGCGTGGCCTACTCTTGGCCCGGGACCGTCTCCCGTGGTTGAGATAGGATAGCAAGCCAGGCTCCCATTCCCCATCTCTGTCAACCACAGGTCCCCTTTGACTGTAGAGCCGCCCACAAGGCCACCCATAATATAGATGACGCCATCTTTGGAAGCGGTTGCGTTGATTGCGGCGCCATATCGGGGGAAGGGATTTACGGTCGTGGTAAAGTTCAGTCGTCGCGAGGACCAGGGATAAGGCGAGTCTCCAGGGTTGCGGCCACTTCGGGGGTTCTGAGCAGCACCATTAGCAACCACAGAGCAACATGTGAGGGCAAGGTGAGAGCAACGCTAGGCCTTCTCCCCTCGCTAGACTTGCCTGGTAGTCCGAATCAGCCCTATCCCTCAGCGTCTTGGGCTCAGGGCTCGCCGTGGTGGCGGGATTCTGGAGAGAGCTGAGGGAGTTGTTCACACTGGCACCGGGCGTGGGCGTTTGGGTCGGTGGTGGTACGCCGCGACCCTTCTCGGGGTCTCGCCCGCTCAATCCATTTGCCGTGGGTATCTGCGAGCCCGGTCCATGCGAGGACGAAATATCGCGGGTGGCTGGCGGTAGCGCATTATTCTGCTGCTGTTGCTGTTGCTTATTCTTCTTTCCAAACAGGAACGACATAGTGGCGGGCTTGCGCCGATTGCGATGTCAGAAAATGGGCAGCCAGCGCCGCTCAAAAACGCATCCGGGATACAGTTGCTTCGTGATAGCGAAGGTGGGTGGTGAAGGGAGGTCGCGCGGAAGGGTGCAAGGCCGGGAGGGCTGAAGAATTCCTGCGACGGGGTCGGAATGCAAGCAGGAGGGGTGTTTTAGAGGGAATAGCGATGATTAACCGGCATGCGCATGTCTCAGCGAGCAACGAAGGGCAGGTATTAGGGGACGCGCTGGAGGAGAGAGGAAGTAACGAGGAGCGGCGGAAGGTAGGAGTCGTGATGTGGGTGGAGGACGAAGTTTGACGTGGGCGTTTGAGAGAACGGCCTGCTTGTCTTGGCCAGGGAATGTCTTCAACGAGACGAAAGCCGTTCGACTGCACGAGCGCTGGCTTCACAGCAACAGCATTAAAACAAAGCGGATGCAAACACCGATTGGACGCGGCAACGGGGGATTGTGACAAATTGTTGACTGTTTCTAACCATGATGCACATTCTGCCTGTTACACATTTTGCTCATTGTCAGCGTTGTTACGCCGTCCCCTTTGAAGCTTCCCCTGAGTTCGGATCGCCGCCAAAGGCCGGGCAAGGGGGGGGCGTCAAACGCGGTAATTGGCTGTTTCGCGGGGGTGCAGAGCCATGCACGTCTTCCGGTCTGCACAGCGGCTATCGGAACATATAAATCTACAGCAACAATGTCCCATCGGCATCGACTGCCACGAGCGGCCCACCGGAGCCAAACGCCCGTCAAGGCATTTGGGGCCTTTTGCAGCATTGCGGTGAGCTGATGGCGCCCGGGGAAGATGCACTAAGATCGAGGCGTGGTCCGAGCCGCCCCGGAGCTTTTGGCGTCCAATGTGTACATACCTACGGATCCGTACGGTGTACTATTACTGTATGCGTTTGATCATGGAAGAGTCGACGCTCGCATGGCACTGCAAACTCCCGTCCTGCAGTGGAGAGCGCAAAGAGCGCGAAGAGCGTGAAGAACGTGAAGAGAGACGTGTGCGTTGTACGGACAGCTGCCGGCGCACACCGTTAGCAGCTCCAGAGTTCAATGATGAGCGAAAGCAGTCACCGGTGGAGGATCCATGGATCATCATCGCACCGCTCATTGGCCGAGGTCACCGGGTCACGTGATTCTCTCACCGAAACCGCCGAGCCGGGCAAGGCCAGCCTTCAAAGCTTCGAGCTCCAGCAAACACGCTCACCGCGACGTCCAAGGCCTTGACGGAACTGTCTCTGCCTTTGCGCCCTCTTCCACTGACTTAAGCTGCAACATCTCACTCGCTCTTCTAACTCTCCCTCCAGACTACCGCTCCGACATGGGCCTGGCCTCGAGGTTCGTCATCGCAGCTCGCCGACGTACAACATGAGAACAGCAAACGACATTCCCCTCGTTGGTGGCCTCTCACATCCACAGCCCCTCGCATCTCACGCTCCCGCGTCGGCGGATATGGACGTAGCAGCAGAGCAGTTGCTTGCGCCACTGGATTCACCAAATCCCCAGGGTGCAACCACCTCGCGCCCGACCACGTCCTCAGCCGCACACTTGTCTTCCTACCGTAGCCGCCCTGAATTAAATGGACACGTGCTTAACATGGCTACGGCCTCTAGCAGCACCCCCGCTCCCCGACCCTCTTTGCTGCGAGCGAAAAGCGACTTTGGCCCCCGCCTCCAAGAAGCTGCAGACAGCGCCGATGAAGCCAGCAGCGCCGACGGAAACTTCAAGATCCGCCACGGTTGGGACGACCAGCTCAACTCAGAGGAGTACAACAATCTTCTGACCTCGGTAGCCCCTCCCCACCCCATCAAGCCGACTCCGAAGAGTACAGTCCTTGTGCTGACTTCTGCCTGCAGACATTTTTCATGTACTATACCGACAAGAAGCACGAAACGGGCGGCATTCCCAAGGACCCAAGCAGCGCATACCCCCTTCAAGAATGGAGGATGCGGGACCGGCTCAAGACAGTCTCTGCTGTCCTTGCGCTGTGCCTCAACATCGGTGTGGATCCTCCAGACGTCATCAAGACAAATCCATGCGCAAAAGAAGAATGTTGGATTGACCCCAGTGTGACATCTCAGACACCTGGGCATACTCCGATGAACCAAATTGGCAAAGCTTTGCAGACTCAATACGAGCAACTAAGCATGCGCACTCGCTACAAGCTGTTACTAGACCCCACAACAGATGAGACAAGGAAGTACACTTCGACGCTTCGACGCAACGCTCGCAATGAGCGGGTCTTATTTCACTACAACGGCCATGGAGTGCCTAAACCGACCTCTTCGGGCGAGATCTGGGTCTTCAATCGGAACTACACCCAATATATCCCCTTGTCGCTTTACGATCTTCAAAGTTGGATTGGTGCGCCAAGTCTCTTTGTGTACGACTGCTCAGATGCAGGCCTGATCATCAGCAACTTCAATAAATTCGCCGAGAAGCACCAGAGCGAATATGAGGAGGCCCGTCGAAGAGATCCTAGCGTGGAATATGTGGATTTTAGTGACTGCATTCATCTGGCTGCGTGCAGAGAGAAGGAATCGCTACCCACGAACCCTGAACTTCCCGCCGATATTTTCACCTCATGTCTGACGGATCCCATTACCATGGCAGTACGATTTTTCATACTCCAAAATCCACTGCCAAGCAACATCAAAATTCGAGACGCGCATCACATTCCAGGCAAAGTCTCAGAACGGCGTACCCCAATTGGAGAGCTAAACTGGATCTTCACAGCAATTACGGATACCATTGCATGGAACTCGCTTCCCAAGCCTTTGTTCAAGAAACTATTCCGCCAAGATTTAATGGTCGCAGCACTGTTTCGCAATTTCCTTCTAGCACAGCGGATCATGAGAGCCTACCACTGTCATCCGGTCTGTCACCCAGAAATTCCGCAGACCCACGACCATCCGTTGTGGCGCAGTTGGGATCTCGCTGTAGAATTAATACTAGCCCAGCTCCCCAACCTCCAAGCCGAGGTTCGAGGAGAGAAGGAGTATTCTTACAAACACTCCGAATTTTTCTCAGAACAGTTAACAGCTTTTGAAGTATACCTCTCCCAAGGTGCCGTCGATCAGAAGATTCCAGAACAACTGCCCATCGTGCTCCAAGTTCTTCTCAGTCAAGTCCACAGACTTCGTGCGCTCATTCTTCTTTCAAAATTCCTTGACCTTGGACCGTGGGCTGTGAATCTTGCATTGAGCATCGGTATATTTCCATACGTTCTTAAGCTCCTGCAATCGCAAGCCATTGAACTGAAGCCTGTTATGGTCTTCATTTGGGCCCGCATTCTTGCAGTAGACTCGTCGTGTCAGGCCGATCTTCTCAAAGACAACGGGTATCAATACTTTATCCAAATTCTCAACCCTGCCCAAGGTATGAACTTGATGGTGTCCTCAGCATTCACTTGTTAAATCTAATAAATTTCTAGGCATTCCAATTCTGAATGCCAGTGAGCATCGAGCCATGTGCGCGTTCATCGTCTCCATGTTCTGCAAAGACTATAATCAAGGACAGCGCGCATCTTTGTCTCCAGAATTGATTGAAAGCTGCTTGGACCATCTTAAGGACATGCACAATCCTTTGCTTCGGCAATGGTCTTGCCTCTGTCTAAGCAAGCTCTGGGTAAATTACGAAGAAGCCAAATGGGTCGGTATTAGGTGCTCGGCTCATGAACGGCTCTGCGACCTGGTCATCGATCCAGTCGCCGAAGTCAGAGTATCAATGCTATATGCTCTCACGGCGTTTCTAGGTATCCGAGATGTAACCGCGCAGGTCGCCTCAATCGAGGAAACAATTGCGTCAATGGTTCTAGTCATGACGAACGATGGGAACAGCATGGTCCGCAAGGAATTGCTTGTTTTCTTCTCCACATTCATCCTACGGTACAAGAGCCGATTCTTGGTTGCAGCATTTGAGCAATTTTCCGAGGAAGGGGACAACGCCCTCCATTCAAAGTTGGAGGAACGGAATGGAGATGGCCTTTATATGAAGATGCGCTCAGAAGCCAACGGCACCTCTGCACAACCACATACGTGCTCCCAGAATACCATCTACGCTGCCGTCTGGAAGGAGATGCTTGTTATGTCTGTTGATCCTCACCCAGAAATTGCAAGGGATGCCACTATCGTTGTTGATTATGTCCTAATCTCTCTACTGGAATCATCTCTGGCAAAGTTAGCTCAACCCCTTTTCGACGATGCTCTCAAAAAAGGTCCAGTGAAACGTGCCAACCACCAGACGCACGAAGAGAGGCCGGCCCAACAAGTCTCCAACCCGCCCACACCGTCGAAAGAACAAAGCTATTTAGGGTTGTTTGGCGGACTACGAAGAACTGGTAGCGTCGCGGCATCACTCAAAAATTTCTGGGCCGGGAGCGAGCCTTCAACCTCACCACAAAAGAGCCCCGGACGAGCGAAGACGGAAGATCTTCATGCACCACCGAGTGATGGTCGCCCCCGTACTCCTGAAAAGTACCATGTTGAAGAAGAACCGAAAAATAGGGGCTTCGTACCTCGAAGCCTAGCACGGGAGCCTGAACTTCCATTGAAGAGCACATTCTTCGAATGGTCGGTGGAGTACTTCCGTGAGCCGCAAATGAAACCCAGCGAGGCGGATGAACCTGGTAGTACCGACTACAATGGCAGACTCTGGCGCCGGAATCGCAACGATAAGATCATTGCAGAAACTCAACCGCTGAAGGACGTTGCAGCGACAAATCGCTGGGATCTACCAAGAGGATACTTTGACAACCTCAGTCAGCCCATGAAGATGTGCTTCCATCAGTTTGAAGATCATCTCATCGTCACAGATAACAAAGATACCGTCAACGTGATTGATTATGCGCGCTCGCCAAATAGGATCAACTGTTTCTCCAATGGCAACCCAACGGATTCAAAGATTACAGAGGTCCGTTTCATCAACGAAGATGATCTTGCTCTTCTTATGACTGGATCATCGGATGGAGTCATCAAGATATTCAGGAACTACGATACAAGAGGAAAAACTGAGCTTGTCTCGGCTTTCCGGGCTTTGGTTGATCTTGTGCCGAGCAACAAGAACGCGGGTCTAGTTTTCGATTGGCAGCAGGGAAGGGGTTCGGTGTTGGTGGCCGGAGATGTCAAAGTCATTCGTGTGTGGAGTGCTGGAACGGAGATATGCACGACTGTGAGTGAAATAAAGCCAGTAATACACTTGGTGTCTAACATGTTCATAGGAACTCCCTGCAAGATCCGGCTCGTGTATTACATCATTAACATCTGATCAAGTTGAGGGTGACGTTTTCACGGCAGGGTTTGGCGACGGCGCTATCCGCGTCTACGATCAGCGTCAGAAACCTGCAACTGCCATGGTGAAAGTATGGAAAGAGCACAAGCAATGGATCACTAACGTTCATCTGCAACGAGGCGGCCAACGAGAGCTAATCAGCGGCTGCCGAAGCGGCGAAGTCAAATTGTGGGATATCCGCATGGACAAGAGTGTGAGGACAATTCGAGCTACAGCGGACACGTTACGAACGCTGAGCGTCCATGAGCATGCCCCCGTCTTCGCAACGTAAGTGTAACCCGGCGAAGTTTGAGCGCAGACTAACAGCTTCAGTGGCACACAACGTCACCAGGTCAAAATCTTCAATATCAACAATGGCCAGACGGTGTCTCAATTCGAGCCGTACTCAGGCTTCCTCGGGGACCGCTCCGCAGCGATATCTGCTACCGCGTTTCACCCTCACCGTCTATTGATTGCTGCATCAGCTTTCCACGACAATCACGTCAACATTTACGGTTGCCAAGGCCCAAAGCAGGCTGTTGTTAGCAAGACAGTTCGGGTTTGGGAGGGCAATACTACGATCAATCGGTCGTCTACTTTCATATAGGCATCTTGTGGCTCATTCTGCAGTTTGCCTTTGCCATGCCCTCAGGTTGAGGCAACCTAGGATAGGTGATGGATTAAGGATAAGGCGAAGGTCTTTCGGAAAGCGACACTGAGCGATTGGATGAATGGGTATACTGGATTTATTGGTAAAGGCTCCCCGGCGGCAATTTGGGGGTGAGGATATGGCTGGACAGGACTGTCTCTGGTGGATGTGACTCGCATGGTCACGGAATTGGGCTTACCATGAGACTTTCTTGCGATATGCGTTGGACGATTTTGGTGAGGAACCCGGACTCTCTTTTCTTCATGGCATAGCGATATAGGCATTACGGATTAGGTTAGAGTCTTTATTCCGACTCTACCATAGCGGGGAGTCAATTGATCATCGACTGATGGCCTTCCAGGCGGTAATGATCGGCTAGGTAGGGGTCTCCTACTAATATGAATGAGACGTTGTTCTTGTAGTGGTGTCGTTCAATGTTAAGGCGAGAGTGTCACGAGACGGCGTGACGATTCTGGCTGGGGGGGCTGGGCTGGCCATGATTCACAGTTTTTGCCAGGCTGAGCCCCACTATAAATTCATCCCACCTCAACCTAAGCCTGAACGTGGAGTCATACAGCAAGCACCACAACTCAAGTCCCGCAGAAAGTCAAGTGTACGTCCTCCCCAACCTCCAATTTCTTGATTGTGTCCCCAGCATTGCTAAATCCACCGCAGGCTCCGCCGGAAACTGAAAACTACCCCGCCATGACTGAGCCTGCACCTGAAGCTTCAGGCTCAGGCGATCCCCAACAGCCGTCCAAGAATGCCTTGAAGAAGGCCCAGAAGGAGAAGGAGAAGGTAATCGAACTCCTCTCCCTTCGCGTCCTGGCATTCCGCACAAGGGGAACCTAATAGCGGCTAACACCTTCTCCAGGCCGAGAAGAAGGCCGCAGCCAAAGCCCGCGAGCTCGCCGAGCGCCAGAAGAAGGAAGCCGACGACGCCGCCGACGTTTCCGTAGACGCGTATGGCGAACTCCCGCTCATCGGCTCCAAAGACTTCCAGCCCACCGGCACCCCTCGCGTCGACCTTTCTGACCTCGAGAAGCTCGAGGACAAGGAAGTCACGTTCCGATGCTGGGTCGAGAACGCGCGTGTTCAGTCTGCGAAGCTGGCGTTCCTGAACCTGAGACAGGGACTGAACACGGTGCAAGCGGTTGTTGCGGCGAGTGACAAGCTGAGCAAGCAGATGGTCAAGTTCTGTGGGAATGTGAGTACAGAGAGTACATTGGCGGTAACTGGGATGGTGAAGAGGGTCAAAGAGCCGATCAAGAGCGCATCGATCAAGGACTTTGAGATCCACATCACCAAGCTCTTCATCGAGGTCAAGGCCGAAGTTCCCCTGCCCCTGCAAGTCGAAGACGCCGAGCGCCCACTCCCCAGCGAGGGACTCGGCGACGAAGACGAGAAGCAAGCCGAAAGCAGTGACGCTCGCCCCCTCGTCGGCCTCAACACTCGCCTTAACAACCGCACACTCGACCTCCGCGCCAAAATCAACCATGCCATCTTCGTCATAAAGTCCGGCGTCTGTACCCTGTTCCAAGAATTCCTGTCCCAGAAAGGCTTCGTCTTGATCCACACGCCCAAGATTCTAGGCGCGGCCTCGGAAGGCGGCGCCAACGTCTTCGAGCTCAAATACTTCGATCGGCCGGCCTATCTAGCTCAATCCCCGCAATTCTACAAGCAAATGCTAATTGCGTCGCGGTTCCAGAAGGTCATGGAGATTGGTCCGGTGTTTAGGGCTGAGAATTCGAATACCGCTCGCCATTTGACAGAGTTTACGGGGCTTGATATGGAGATGGAGTTTGAGGAGAATTATCATGAGGTTATGAGTGTTTTGGAGGATCTCATGTTGTTTATTTTCAAGGAGCTGAATACCCGGTATAAGAAGGAGACGGAGCTTGTGAGGAGTGCGTATCATGTTGATGAGTTTAAGCTTCCGGAATCAGGGAAGGTGCCAAGGATACCGTTTATGGAGGGGATTAAGATGCTAAGGGAAGCTGGAGAGGAGCTGGGTGATTATGATGACTTGACGTAAGCTATTCCACCCATCCCCCATTCCCCCTTTAATCTTTCCTAATATTCAGCACCCATCTAATCCCCGCAGCACCCCCCAAGAAAAACACCTCGGCCGCCTCGTCCTCGAAAAATACAACTCCGACTTCTACGTCCTTGACCAATTCCCCCTTGCCATCCGTCCCGCCTACACCATGCCCTCACCTGCCAACCCACTCCTCTCAAACTCCTACGACATGTTCATGCGCGGCCAAGAAATCCTCTCGGGTGCCCAGCGTATCCATAACGCGGACCTGCTGGCCGACATGATGCGCAAGCACGACCCACCCGTTGACCCCAATGGCCCTGGAACAAAAGACTATGTGGAGTGTTTTCGATATGGGTGTCCGCCGCATGGTGGTGGCGGATTTGGATTGGAGCGTATTGTCCAGTTTTGGTTAGGGCTACCGAATATTAGGATGTGCAGTTTGTTCCCGAGGGATCCGCAGAGGGTTATTCCGTAGATGGGCGCGGGAAGGGAAAGGATTGAAATAGAGACGGGATAGATGGGGTGTGAATGGTGGCTGGTAGCGCGTTCTGCGGAAGGCTTTCTGCGGGTGTAGGGCAAAGGTTTTGCGTAAAATAAGATGTGTGCAATTTGAAGATGGTGGTTAGGGGGTCTGCAACTACGCATTCCTTGGTGGCCACTGGCTTTCACGGGCAGGTAGAAGCAATGTCAGCATTGACTATAGCTAAAAACCTAAAAACAAACTGTGGCATTAAAGACACTTTTCTGTTTCACATATGACCTTATCTCCTAGTGTATTACCTAGTCGGGGAGTCACACTAGTTCGGATACTGGATCTATCATCCCTAATGCCGCCTTGAACTCCTATTACCCTCACCCAAGATATTTAGATGAGAAAAAAGGTCACTTATCCCTATGAGCCCGTCATATCAAGGAATCCCAGACAAACTCAATGTACGTATGTCAAATGTTATAGTAGAATATTATATTTGAGTTGGGATCCAGGTAGATTCTCCGCACTTCCAACAACGCCCTTCCATAGACCCCAAACTTTTATGCCATGCCTCAACCCTAAGTTATATCCATGACGACAAAAGACTCAGGAATCAGTCCATGTCATGCTCGTTTCTGGACACAGGGACAGAAGTGATGGGTTGGTCGTATTGATTGGTTTAGGTTTGGATTAGGCACAATGGTTTCGGCGTAATTGTTCTTTTCAGTGTCGTGTATTTTCAAGAAGTCAGAGCACTTGACACCAAATGCACTGTCGCAGTTTGAAGATAGCGTCATCACCTGCATGCCCCGGTCATATGATCGACGTATCCACTCAAAGAAATCCGGGCTCTTGAAATCTTGCGTGGCGCATGGAAAAGGTCTGGACTTCCTGGTCATGGATCTGTGTGAAATGGCATCAGAGGTCGGTGATGCTTAAAGATCTGCAGTATGCGTTTGAGGTGATGACCACATGTGGACGGGCGAAAATCAACTGGAGTTGTCTCAGCTTGTGGGAGCGGACGTGATACATGGGTCCGGGGATCTTCTGAATGGTGAGATCAAGGTTTTCTGCCTTTAGTACTTTGGATTTGTGCTCTCTGAACAGCATGAAACAGCTCATGAGGCGGAAGGATGGCTCTGATAAACGTGAACCATTAATCTCTCTCAATACTATACCATTTGGTAAACAGATGTGTGGAGACCCTGCCGATACCTACTTCGGAAGGGACTATTCCTGTTGTGTTGAGTAAATGTGAAGCTCAAATGCAAGGCATTTGAAAATTGCTCGCCATTCAGTATGATATGTACTCGCTTTAAAATGCCAAATCCAGGTCTTAGGGAGCAAGATATGAATCCGACTGAAATCCGCAGCCTGCCTTGAGGGACTGTTCTTAAGCCTCGACTCGCCAGCCATCGAAGAGAACCCAGCGGGGAGCTAAAGGAGGGCGCCGGCATAGCATCTCCAGAGGGGCTCATTGGCTTCGGCGGTTACAGTGGGCCAGTGGTTAAGGTCACGGAGCATCTCGAGGAAGAGCATCTTGAGACTTTCTATTCTAGCTATTACTCCGCGATCTCTTCGGCCTAGAAAGCAAGAACGCGTTGTTTGCTGGAAGCCTCAGTGTTGAAAGCGATGGGCACCATTATATTCTGTACCATGTGATCAAACCACGAAGTTTAGAAGTTATTGCACACCAACGAACACACCCCTTGATGTAGATCGAGTGGTCCATCCTATTGAGAGCCCTTTTGAGATTTTATATCGCCGTTCTAGGAGCTCTTTGGCGCAATCTCCCGTATCCAAGACTCCCTATAACACAAAGAGTCTTCGCTAAAATAACACAGCATGAGCCTCAACAGGTTTCAGAGTGGGGACTGCCTTATCGCAAGGCGTTACTCTACTTCACTGCACAGCCACGGTTGCAAAGGCGCGTAACCGTCGTTTCTTCCTCATGACGCCTTGGCTTGGGAGCAAAGGAAGTGAACGAAAAAAGACGGGTCATTTTCAGGACATGTCGCGGTCCTTTACAGAGGCGATAGCAAAAGAGTGAGTGCGAGAGAGCGGTCGTGGCATGGGAGAGGACAGTAGGACAGTAGGTCTATTTGGCCGTAATTAAATAAAACTGCTCCTTCCGGGCTGAAATTTCGGCTGCTCCTTCTTCTCCAGATGTATGGTGTTCATCGTTTTTGGAGCGGTAAAGAGTAGAACACAGTGGCGGGTACCAGTCTTCGTATTTCACATCTCAATTCCTCCTAAAGGCGGCATTCCTGACCACGTACGTTTAAAACTAAAGGTTGTACCGGGCCGACGAGTGAGGATCGTATGACTAGGGAAGGCGCAGGCTGCTCAAAGGAAAGCGCGGGTGAATGGCGCTCAATTGCCCTGCAAAGAACATGACTCCTCACTCGCTGCGGATGAACTCTCAATAAGTACTGCTATATGGCGTCTCTCGACCCGTCCCTTAAAAGATATCTTGCAAATCTCGAGAGTTTCCAGCCACTTAGGCGTGATATTGTCACGGGCGGCGCTACTTCGGAGTCGCATCCACGAAGTAGGCAGGTGGTTATTCCTCTCTAGGAATGAGCAGCAGAGGGATGATTTCAAGACACCTCAACCTCAGCCGCCATCCTGGTGCCATGCTGTGACAGTAATCATCTATGCTGTCATGCTTTCGTGAGTAAGCTGAGATGCACCTCGTCGATCTTCCTGACTACAATCTCAAAGGCCCCTCAACACCTTCTCCACCAACTTCTTTTGACCTTTCTCGCCGAGCGCCTGTTCATCAACTTCCTGTACGGCTCTCCCAACGGCAAGTGTTGCCTTGACGCTTCCTCCGTCGACCCAAAGAACACCGTTCCTTCCAATAGCAACCTCAAAGCCTAACTTTTCACTCAGTCCTTCCAATAGAGTCACGCCTCCTTTCTTTCCAGCGAGCAGCCTCCTCGCCATGCCCAGACTGATCTTGAACACCATTCCGCCTTTTAGCGGCCCTAGTCCTTCGCTCTTGCCCGTTGATGGATCAACACAGGTAAGTTCAGGGAATGAGTCTTTACCGGGGTTTATCACACGGCAATAGACCAGGGAATTGGAGGAGAGCTGAGGACGCGTCTTGCGGGTCGCGCCCTCAAAGGCGAGGTGAGGGAGGGAAGCGTACGGGGTGTTAGGGGTGATGAGACAGTTAAAGTTCTCACCACCCGAGGTGTTTACTGTAGCGATGACAAGATCGCCGGCAGCAGGTAGATACTTCCAATCAGGGGTGTTAGCTAAGCTAGGGTGAATGGTGAATGGAAGTGGGGCGTTGGCGAGGGGAAGGAGCATAATTTCAACGAATCGCTCTAGGAAAGTAGGTAGGTGAAGGCGATGGCCTTACCCTACCGCTATTGTATTCCACCCATGCAGCATTCTTCTTCGAGTCCGTGACTAGCAAACCAGCAATAGTGCTCGCAATGGTATTTGGTGGCATGTGTCGCAGTCCAGGACCAAGAGTGAGATGCTTCTTCCGGTTTTGAGGTTTAGGAAGGGCACTTGGAGAGATGCTGTCGCCCGGAAGGAGGACAGTCGAGGAGGTAGCCATCACGTGCGAGAGAACTGGTCAGTTGTTGCAGGAAAGAGGAGAGAGTTGAACCAAGTCGGTGAAAGTAAACGCCAAGATTTCATGACGGGCTCCAGCCGAAGATCTGCCATGACAAGCCATTAAATTTCTTAGCGTCTAAGATGTTGAGCCTTCCCCATCGGACACCACTGTCACTCGCGCTTTGCGTCTCAGTAATTTGTGTGACAGACCCCTAGGTTGTGACAGTTCCTCCTACACTTCTGCAATCGAGCAAGCCTCAAAGCGACCTCAATGAGTGGAGAAAACGACCCCGCGCAGCGGGTTGCGATCGGGATATCCTTTGGGAATTCCTACAGCTCCATTGCCTTTACCACCGGGGTAGGAGGGGTGCATCAAGCCTGCCTGCATGAAATCAACTGACACACAACCCAGGAAGGAAAAGCGGAGGTCATTGCCAATGAGGATGGTGGTATGCTTGGATCCCATAAAATGGCCGTTGGCTTGCAATATTCTGACTCCGAAGGATAGACCGCCAAATTCCATCGATACTGTCATATGTAGAAGGAGAAGAATTGCATGGAGGGCAGGCAAAGTCGCAGCTCGTCCGCAACGCAAAGAACACTGTCGCCTACTTCAGAGACTTCTTGGGTCAAGCGTAAGCCTACCGTCGTTCTGGTCGTGCTGCTCTGGCCAGCAGACATGTTGCTAAGATCTTTTCTAGATTCAAGTCGATAGATCCTACCCCATGCCACCAATCCGCTCATCCTGTGCAAGCAGCGTCCAACGTTGCCTTCAAGATCAGGGACACCGCAGAGGAGGCAGAAAACACAGTCACGGTATCGGAGATTACCACCCGGCACCTGAAGAGATTACGAAACTCCGCCTCGGATTATCTCGGGAAGGATGTCAATGCTGCAGTAATCACTGTGCCAACTAACTTTTCCGACGCTCAGAAATCTGCGCTGAACAAGGCGGCGAAGGAGGCTGGCATTGAAGTGCTCCAATTCATAAGCGAGCCTGTCGCGGCAGTGCTGGCTTATGATGCGCGGCCGGAGGCGAAGGTGGCAGACAAGATCATTGTTGTGGCAGATCTGGGAGGCACGCGGTCAGATGTTGCTGTTATCGCATCACGTGGCGGTATCTACACTGTCCTATCAACCGTCCATGATTATGAAGTCAGCGGCTTCAAGTTGGATCAGGTGCTCATGGACCACTTTGCTAAGGAGTTCATCAAGAAGCACAAGGCTGGTGGCGATCCTCGGGAGAATGATCGCTCGCTGGCGAAGCTCAAACTCGAGTGCGAAGCAGTAAAGAAGGCATTGTCAATAGGCACCTCTGCCAACTTCTCCGTAGAGAGTTTGGCCAATGGTCTGGACTTTACCGCCACCATCAACCGCTCGCGGTATGAGCTGCTAGCCTCAAAGCACTTCGCCGCTTTTGCGCGCCTCGTCACTCACGCAGTTGAGAAAGCTCAGCTTGACCCCCTCGACATCTCTGAGATCATCCTCGCAGGAGGCAACTCTCATACCCCCAAAACCGCTTCCGCGATTCAGAACGCATTCCCAGAGACGACCACTATACTCGCGCCGTCCACCTCTCCCACTGCTATCAACCCCAACGAGCTCTCCGTCCGCGGCGCCGCTATCCAGGCAAGTCTGATCCAGGAATTCGAGCTAGAAGACATCGATCAGAGCACACATCCCATGGTTACAGTTACGCCCCATCTGTCCCACGCTGTTGGCGTGCTCTGCATCTCAGGGGACGAGAGCTCAGGAATATTCCACGCAATCGTCGACGCTGAAACCTCTCTCCCAGTCCGAAGAACAGCCATAATTGCCACTCCAAGGGAAGGTGGCAACGTCCTGATCAAGCTCTGCGAGGGGTCAAGACACATCAAAGTCACGAAACCCGAACCCAAGCCCAAGCAAGAAAGGGACTCGGATGACGACGATGACGATTACGACAGCGAGGATGAGGAAGAAGAGCTCCGTGAAAAGACATGGAAAGTTGGCAAAGTCCTTTCCGAAGCCGCGCTTCGAGGCGTGAAGAAAGGCGCCAAGATCGAAGTACAAATTAACATCGCCGCCGATCTCAAAGTCAACTGCATTTTCCGCGAAGTCGGCGGTAAGGGCGGTGTTAGGGGCTTGCTGTCCGGTCCTAAGGTGCAGCAAAATGGTAGTGCATAATCGCTTGGCGACTTCGATGGGATGATTGGCGCGAACAAAAAGGTTGACATGACCGAGGACGGGATTTTCCCGGCTTCTTTTCCGATCCTACTTCACTTCACATAGATGGTTGGTCTTCGGGGGCGTGCATGCTTGCTTACTCGCTTTTTTGGCTGTGTGACGGACAGACGGCATAGTGCTGGTGGGCGTAGATCTGTAGACAAGAGCAGCAGTATTCGGAAGATATTTTGGAGTTTCTAAAATTATCATCACATCCACCATATGATTCCTCTAAGCACTCTTTTCTTGTTCGACGGCAGGAACAGAAACCCAAGATAGCAGACCGTTGACATCTTTCTCGATTTGTACTTCGAGATTAACCTCTGATTTGAGTAGAGGCTGTCGAAGGAAGGCTGAAAAGTCCGTGAAGGAATAAAACGCTGAACCCTTGCTCGTCGAAATGTGCGTGGAAAATGACATGACCTCTGGGAGAATAATTACTAATAATTATTTTCGTAGCAGGACTCCTGGTTCCTGCGTCATGTCATGATACCCTGAAAATAGTACTTGGACGCGCTTGTCTTGTGCAGCTGCCCTCAAAGCCTTCCAGATTCAGAGCCAGGGATGCTAGATATGTGTATCTTCCGGGTCCTGCCTGTAATGCACTCTGTTGAGCCGCTTTGCACATTGTTGAGCCGCTTTGCAAGGTATAACAATGAGGAAAAGTTGCTTTTGACGGGCAGTGCAATGTGCAAGCCATGACGCTTGACATTGGCATTTGCAGCCCCGACCCCTTGGGCCGGGCCAGCGATCCCGAAAGCTGAGAGAACCATTCCGCAAATCTCACCGGGTAGTTCCTTTTCTCGTAAAATTGGCCCGCTCCGATGCCGCCAAAACAAAGCTCTCTCTGTGTGTGGTGGTATTTGTCTGTGTTGTGTGTGTGGCCCGCAATGTAATAAAAAAAAATAAAAAAAAACCTTTCCCCTTCGCGCCCCTTGAACACATCAATAAACAAACAAGAAAACAAAATCACTCCCGCGTGAACTTCGCCGAAAGTCTTAACAGATCTCCGAGTAAAAGAAAACTCGTGGTCTGAGCGACAGGGATCCACGATTACCGAAATTCCCATTCCCAAGGAAAAGAGAAAAGGGGGGCGGCCATGAGACGGGAAAATCATGGCCAAGTGGCTAAGAATGGCTGATGATCGTGGATCATGGCGTTGCTGAACCGCCTGTCAATGCTTGTCTGGCGGGATCGTGGCGCGAAGGATGGGAAATTGGAGGCAGATTTATTGGCTTGGAGATTTGGGAAATTTAATGGGCGCATGGTTTGGCGGGAAGTCTGGATGAGTATGTGGAAGGAGATGGAAAGAACCGTAATTGAGGACATGGGTATGAGATTTGGATCTATTGACTTGATTGAACCATGTCACGTGTAGGCATTTACAGGATCGTGGACACTCTCGTATTGATACTGTCATAGGTGCGAGCGCAAGTGGCCACCTGCTTCAATTACGTTTGAGCTTCGCGTACCATGATCCACTCGTGAACGACCCCCATCCTGATACTCGTACATGTCAAACATGGCTACGTAGGACGAGTGAAATGTTGCTCAATAACCAAGGCACATGTAGCTCGCGCCTTATGATTTTCAGCTATGGAAACCGATGCCCAAACGCCCCAGTCTGAGACGTGGGCTAGATAGCACCAATCTACCGCGTCCCATCCAGTCCATTGCGCCTTGACTGTATATTGTAGTGTCCATCCAAAATAGTCCGAGATGCCACCCATGGTCCGATTTCCGCCCATAGCATGGGGTATATGCTAAGTCACAACCTCTCTGTTTAACGCCGTGTCCTCTGGGTATCCGTCATGTGCATTTTGCCGCTGTCTATCGATTACAAAGAAAATATGTCGCTGCAGAAATATATGCAGGGAAGTGAAAGTATGTTTAAACATGATGACAAAAAAAATAGCCAAACAGCGTCGTTATTGAAGGCCAAGAAATCTGAAACTGGCGGCTGATAGCCGTTGGTGTTTGTCCTCGCAAATCTGCATCACGAGTGACCGTCGTGAATGCAGAGTCTGGCAGACCGAGATAATATCTAACCAGTTTCGATAGAAGTGTAATGTAAGAATTGGGCCTGAAGTACGACCTGCAATGCTCCTGGTTGTACAAGAATGCAGGACAACAATACCGAACACACCTAAGCTACCGCTTCTCGTGTTGAGAGCTCAATGAAGCTTTCATGGTCTCGGTGCTGGATGCGCGAGTGTAAAGGCCTGGTGTTGGTGGGCCGTCGTTCAGCATTTCGCTGAGGGGAATCTCGCCTTCGAAATATTGGTGCTCTTTGGTAGTAAGCGAACGTTCGCTCTCTTTTCGCCGTGGGGCTGGTCGTGGTTCAGAGTGTCGAGCACTGCGAGAACGATCCATGACTTCTGCGATAGCACGTTTGCACTCAGGCCAGGTCGTCGACATGTAGACCATGGCATTCCAGAAGCCTTGCAAGGGAAGAACTAGCGCAGAAGCTAGATTGAGTCCAAAGATGGCATGGTCTTTATCCACGAACTGCTGAACTCGGTTGATCGTTGAGGGTACCCAGACGATGAACAGGGCTGCGAACATGAGGAAGGCGACCTTGAAGTAGCCCCATGCTGCAGTGTTGCCTTCCATAGCCACAGTACGGCGTATATGTGGGGGTGCTTGGCTGGTAGATATTGCCTGTGGTGCGCCCAGCTCCTCGTCCGTGACTTGATTGTCCGCGCTGACGGTCACCGTATATGTGCTGTTTGGTATCTGTTCCTGGGGCTGCTGTACCTCTACTAAGGCTCGAGGAGAGTGACCCCAGTTAACTCGAGAGAAGCGAGACGATGCTCCTGCAGTTGGTGCTGGCATTTGGACATTTACCGAAAGGTTTCTAGTGCTCGAGAAAGAATCGCGGGATGGAGTCCCGCCTGTGGGTGGCACAAACGTGCAGTCAGAGTCAATAGTCTCGGTAACGACTTGGACTTCAGTTTTGCGTTCAATATTGTTGATGTTGGCTGCTGTGAAAGGATTCGTAAGGATAGGGGGTGCATCGCCGGCTTGTCGAGAGAAAGACCGGAGCTGTGCACGCTTCATGAAAATTTTGCGACCGGTGACAATATAGATCATCATTGTGCAGATGATGAAGATCCTATAAATAATCAGAATACGATTTTATGCTCAAGGTCTTCCACACTCACCACACAGGACCATAGAAGAAAGCTATACGCATCCAATCAAAGTCTTTGGATACCCAGCACCAGATCTGGAGCGCGAATCAGTTTCCAACACTTTAAAGTAAAGGGTTGCGAATAATTACTGTAGCTGGACCAATGATTCGTTGAGGTCTTGAGTGATCCAACACGACATAAACGAGCGCAGGAAGAGAAGGCAGGCCGTAGCTGAAGAGTAGATACCACTTCTCCAAGAGGCGGAGTTGATGGGAGTTGTAATTGAAGAAAAAGACCAACATCACGTTAAAGGCCATGCAAAACACCTATGAGCCTCTTAGTAATAGAAGACAAATAGCCTATAATTACGTACCCAGATTGAGTCTGCCATCATGAACCATTGAATGAGGATGCCCTGGAACTCGCACAAGTTCGAAAAGTGATGTGCGGCCTTAGGAATGGCCGACGTCGAGATAAGGGTCGCAACGTTAGTCAAGACGTTGCCAAAGGAGGCGTAGAAGACCAGCCGGTTGATGGGTTTTCGGAAGTAATGCCATCGGAGAAAGGTTCCCATGATGAATAAAGAACCTATGAGTGACATGCACGACATGGTGCGCTCGGACACCTGAAGGGCCAGCATTTGGGAAGCCGTCAAGGTTTTCTTGGGCATCTTGACGGGAAGTAGAGGCAGTCGACGTTCTCTTATGTAGGAGCCCAGATTTGATATTCCGGAAAAGTCTAGATATACAGGTAGAGTTGTCGTGTACGGCAGGTAGACTGTCACCGCGAAGCTCTCAGACAGGCGCGCCTATGCGGCGGCGATACCACAGCGGGAGAGTCGACAAGGATATTTATTGATACAGAAACACGATGGCGAATGGCCGGACTGATGTCGTGCAATGACGGTAAGGTTTGTTGTTGGATATTCGGCTTGCAGATTTCGATGGACAGCCGCAGATGAACGCGTTTGCCGAAGTGAGCAAGGAAAATAAAGGCCAGAATGTGCTAGGAAGCCGCAGCCTTTAGCGTTAGAAAAAGAGGTCTCAGTCCGAGACAACGTGGTGAAGGCCTAGATCGTGACCTTGATCGTGACCTTGATCGTGACCGAGGAATGTGTGCAATCTTACGAAAGCCCGACAGTGTCCATGGAATGGAGGCCTTGCTCGATTGGTTTGAAATTGTGCGTAGAGTCTCCTTAGGTTCGAGTACAGCAGAAGTAAGGGAGAAAATGTAATGACGATGACCCTTTGGTGCAATGTTGCACAACACCAGAAGGGTAAGGAAGTTGCGACCCGCCTAGTACAACTTGACACTCGGTACCTGGATAGCGGTGAGGACGGAAGGCTTCGCTTGGAGTATTCGGAATTGTCAATTCTCCTAGCGTTGGCACCGCATGCTTTATATCGAAGCGCAACGGCAGAGGCTCTGGTGAACAGTGAACAGGCGAGAGAAAAAAGAAGGCCAACCGTAACCTACCACGACTGCCCCATGACTGAGGAGGTACATATATCGACAGGGCAAGCCACAGAAGCCGTACAATGCCAATTTGGTAAGCATACAGGACGTGGTGGTCCAGGGTAAGCTGTCATGCTGTTGCTCAGTGCCGGGGCTGGCGCAGGACAAGAGGCGTGGACAATTTCAGCACACCAGGATGATGGTGTGCAGGCGAGTTCTGTCGACATGGGGCGACATAACTTGTCTTAGCTGCGAATAGCAAGCCTCGATGTGCTTTCTGCCGTCTGGTGTTTGTCTTCGTTAACGTGGGCTGCGGGTAGGCGAACGCTTACAGGGGTTTCGGCCATGGCCAATTTCTGATCCCAGACGCCCCGTCGACCTCCCCCATCATCATCAATGATGGTCCTTGACACCCATCTCCCTGCACAGACAAAGAGCGGGTCTAGCCATCAGAACCACCAACAAGTTGTTAACAACATCCCCCCGGCGGCAGTGCAATGTCTATTCGGATGCCACGGGTCGGGAAACAGGCTCCTGGGAGGCATGGCGCCCCGTCATGCCCATGATTGGCAACTCCCAGCGAGAGGCGCTTTTTTGTGCCTATTCTTGCGATCACCTACGCGCGCTCTCCACCTCAGCTCAAAGCAGTTCTCCACCTCCATGATCTGATCTTTGGGCAAAGTTTTTCGCAGGGCTGAAAGGAAAATAGGGGTTCGTTCATTTCACGAGCTAATGCTCCGCCTTTGATGCAAGGGGATGAATAACCCTCTTGTTCGTATGGAATTCAGGACCGCCACCACCACCTTTGTCGTTTCCGGCGATGCCTCTCAGAATACACCGAGCTAGTCACTCTTATTCCTCATTCTTGGACACCACCTGGCAGCCTGTCAGAGCTCCCATGCCATTCCGTTACCGTTCGCGTTGCACCAAAAACATTCCTGCACGCTTAGTAGTGCCAAGCTTGCGGATCTGGGGTTCTATTCTCGCAGCATGCACTCCAACGAGAAATAAGTCTTAGACTTCTGTCCTCTCACGGCCAGATTCCGCCCTCCATAACATTGAGGGAGGGCCGTCCCGTTATCTTCGATGTGAGACTTAGATCATTCTCCACTTAAAGCCTCGATCACCAGTAAGCAGCCCACAAAACAGTCTCAACAAGGACAAAGATAAGATGGGGCCAGAAAGGAGTGTTGAACAAAGAAGTCTACATAGCTTCTATCTTGCAGCGTCCGGCTCCTCGTCTTCGGCGTCTACGATTCGCCTGTCATCTCAAAAATAGGTAATTATCATGCACGAGAAATAGACCGGGTGTCACACCGTCGCCAATTCGTGATTATTGGAACGGGCCCTTGATAAGTCTCGTGGCTGCCTTGTCAGGGCCAATCTGCTGTCAGCCTTTTCCTGGATCATGCTTCTCGAGGCTTGTTCGGATCGCGGGGCTGCATCGGAGCCGGGGATTTCTTACGTCTTTCTTACGGAGAAAGTGGCATCAATTCCACTACAAAACTTGTCCTTCAATGACTTCGGGTACCTGAACGACTCAAAAAATTTGCGCCAACACCAGGTACACCCTGGAAGTAACTGTTGCTTCAATGCGTTGGTGCGGCGTCTTGCTCAAAGGATCACGGAGTGGCATTGGAAGACCTCTATCGAGGACGCGCTGCTAAATAACCGGACGCGAGCCAGTCAGAAACAAACCTTGCCTCGGCGGGTTCCGGCAAGATACCTCGAGAGTAGCGGTCAACTGAATGAAGGAAAGTTGCTTTCATGCAACCAATGTCACGTCCTAAGCCTGTCTCGAGATGTCAACAACTAGCACGTTAGTGAACCTATCTTTCGCATGCAATCGATAGCATCACACTTATCGCCGTGTCTGAGCTCCTCTCCACGTGGATAGAGCGGCGCCAACCGGGGACGTTCTCTCTGACTCGCCAGCGTTCGTCACACATCTCCAGCCATCACGAAGATGTGGAGAGGCGATCAATTGTCAGACTGACTCGCTGGCCGAATCTCGGCAGTCTAACGTTAGCTCCCGGCGTGCTTCGGCTCCACGAGAGTTCTTCAAGATGAGGAGTCATGGACTGCACTACCGCAGGATATCTCAAGACAACGGCTCTCTCGTTCATTTTCATTGCCCCGGCGAGACAGCAACTCAACGTCAACCTCTGTAAAGAACCATCAGCGCTGACCAGCTCCGAGGCTAAGGATCTTCAAAATCTCGGCGTCCCAAACCTAGAAGTTACCTCTGCATGAGTGAGCTCAACTGCGTTCTCCTCATCGCCAATTCTAGGCTCGTCTTGGGATCTTAGAGAACTCATGAGGTGTGAGAGTCAGGGACGAAACGCAATGCAGCCTTAACAAGTTGGTCTCGAAATTTTCTGCAGCACCTTGCTAAAGGCATTGCAGATGGCGTTGGAAAAGGTCATGGGAGAGGAAGATCACTGGAGAAAGGAGGGGAACACAGCTCAAAATTGAGGTGGAAGTGGGCCAATGATGCGTAACCGAAGCACGAGGACCTGCACCCGCACGTAGGCGACTTCTGGAAACAACCATCAGACCATTTAGAGGCCTAAGCTCCAACGTGTCGAGCTGCAGTCTCGCCTCCAGCTTTCAAGCTCCATCACCGTCATCAGACAAGAAGAAATTGCGCAATTCAATGCGTCAGCCTTCATCAACACTTCTTATCTAAGGCCCAAACAGCAGCATTTTGGGTTCTTTTCTTGCAGCTCAGCAACTGTGACCAACAATAGGCCCAGCAACACCATCCTGCGTTTCAAGCCATTTATCCAGGCAGTGAGCATGCAGATTTTTAACTCGTCACATTCTCAGCATGGCTCGACTCGGCGACCCCGCCATGACTCTGTCCCTGACGTCTCTTAACTGTTTCAAATCTCACCTAGCGGCGGGGTATCGATAGTGCGGGTGGCTTCACGAGAGGCGTTCACTGCGCAATCGCATGGCATTTTTCTCAACCAAGTGGTCACCTGCATGAAGCCCTAGCAGCATTATCAGTCCACCAACGGCTCCATGATTAACTACTTACAGAATTATCACCGCCTTAGCCCGCGGCGTTATGAGACGTACCTGAAATATGAGGCGGTCATGGGCGAGCAGGTTGATCTAGACGAGTCGACGTATTGGGAGTGTGCGACCATCGCCTGATGTTCTTCATTGTCCCTCTACGTACTCCTCACGTGCGCCTCGAGCGGTGGCCTAAGGTTAAATAGCAATTCCCAAACGGAAGAGAAGTCTTCTAGTTGTGGCTTTCAAAGGAGCCGATACTTTAGGAATAGTTGAATGACACGCGCTCTTTTAGCATCCTTAGTCTCATGGGATCTCGAAAGTGGCTTCAATCAACAAAGAAAGCTACCACGTAGACCTCAATACTTAATTAGATTAGATTCTGCCACACCTAGCGGTAACCCCAGATGTCTCGGGGACAAAGAAGGCCTCCTGAGGCTTTCCCTGTCTCTCCAGGAACTGTATAGCGCTTTGATAGCGTCCAGGGACCACGTAGAGGATTCCAAGAGGGCCGCAAGTTTGGTACGCTCCACTGACGAGTCTATTCCGCTGCTACGCGGAGAAGGTTGAAGGTTAACTGAGATCTCATAGGCTAAAGCTCCTTATTATCTACTATTTATTCTAGCCAGAAAACGTACAGTTTACAATAATATCACCTCAAAGATTCCGAGTCGCCATCATCATGATGAATCAGCATATTTTCAATTTGATCAAGTCGAAGTTTCGATAAATATCTGCAACGGGTTGATTGTTTCTATACTTGCTCTTTTCTCTTCGCAATTTTCATCCGATGAAGGTCTCAAGTCAATGAACATAAGCTTTCATTTCAACAAGCATTTCACGAGGTCAAAGTTCACCCAATTGACGTTGCTATTCAAGGCCATAAAACGAATATTCTACAGAACCCATTCTTTTCCCTACAAATGCAAAATCTTTCTTTCGCAATCCGCTCTTCCTCCGAGCCATCTTTCTACGCCCCCCTCCTCTGCCGTCCACTGACAAGATACACATTAGCCCTGACCTCCAACAATGGATCATCACTCTCCTCAATTCCCTCTACCCTTGGAATCGGATCAAAAATCGCGTGCTTCTGCTCCTTCAAGCTCTCCTCATCCGGGACCACCTTCTCAATCGTCACCGTCCCAAGCTCTACAATTTTCCTCTCCTCGGGCCATAACACCGTCGCATTATCCGTAACATCCCCCTCCTCCGCAATCTGCGCAACAAGCTTAAACTCAACCTGCCCAGCCTCAACACGCTTCGGCAGCTCGTCAAAAAGGTAATTCGGTGACTGCGCGGCCGTTTCTTCCGCAGACAGCGTCTGCAACCCAGCAACAGGCACGACGCGGTAGCGCAAAAACGTCGTCTTCCCGTCTTTCACAAACTTAAATGCATTCACGCCGAAGAACGTCTCTGTGGCGAAGCTGACGGGACTAGGTTTCGGGTCCTGCAAAAACCGTACTGTCTCTGGATGTCGACCTAAAAACTCGGGTACGGCTTCGGGATTTCCACTACCGGCAGCTGTAAGGAATTCGAGGAATTCGGCACCTGTGCGCGTCGGGAAGTATTTTGTGGAATGGGCGATGATGTCGGTGTGGTGTCGTTTGCCGTCCGTGGAGGGGAGATTGAAACGGATGGCAATGCCCCGGGGGTTGGCGTTGGGGTCGGTGTCAGAGATTGAGGGGATACCGGTGGAGGAGGAGAAGCGGACTGTGATGGGGGTTGAAGGTGCGTTGAAGTGGGGAGCGGATGTGAGGGCAGAGGCTGAGGGGGAGGGAGCGAAGGTCCCGGTTAGGAGGTGGCCTTTAGCGTGGGCTGGGGAGATAGGTTAGTATGAGGCTGTTAAGGAGAGTGCACACAGAGCGGATGGTTAGGGATGAGTTATTGGGCTTACCAGGTCTGAATCCGGGATGTTTGCCTGCACCAGCTCTCAATGCATCTACGAGACCTTTACTTGTTTCCAATATCTTCGCGTTGTCTGAGAAAGGCATTGCTACTGTCCAATTTCTTCTCGTCTCTACAGCTTAGCTATTTCCAAATGGTAAAGTGGGCAATTGGTCAAATTGATGATAATACAGTAGAAGTAACCAACTTCCAAACTTTCAACAAATTGAACACAGCTCTAAAATCAAGATCTGTAGCTCCCACGTTCTGATCCCATACATATATACATTCCCATACCCCTCTTCCAGTCGCGCACCTAAAATTTCGCCATCCCCTTGAACTATCGCGACTGACCAAATCTCTAGCTGTACAGTAATCACGAACAAAGCATGTCCCGCCAACCCCTCCATCGCCCGCCCGCAGGCTATCTTCGGACTGGACTCCTTGCATAAGCCAAGGTACCTAAGCCCGCAGCCATCCAAACATCCTCACGCTCATTGGCCATTCCACAATCCACCACAACCCCAACACAGGATGACAGCGTCTGACTAACATCCATCCCGCACGCACGTCCTCGTTTTGCGCTGAAAGGCGAGATTGACGGAAGAGACAGGGGCTTGTGGCATGTCGCGTAATCATCTGGAAGATTTGTGGAACATTGGATAATAGGAAGATTTGGGAAGGAGGGAAGGAGGGCTGGTTTGCAATGGGAAAAGTGTTTGGTTAGGTGGAGGGTTTGAGGCTGAAGGCGTGATTCGAAGAGGCTTAGACTCGGAATGTTGTGCCGTTGTTTTTAGGATGGGAAAGGTATTTGGAATTCTGCATGTAGGTTAAGCAGGAGTGAATGACTTGTGTAGATGTAGAATTCGAGACATCCCATATCGTAAACTGCTCAAAGACGGAGCCTTGGTATTAAACCTTTCATTTGCCTCTCGGAATTTTGTTTTAGAAGAAATAAGAATACCGACGGAATGGAATGTACCAAGCACCATAGCGGTCTCTGCACTTCACATTAAAACGTGCTCTCTTGTGCGTGGCAGACAAGACAAATCAAAGGAAAAACAAAGCCTAGTGAACACCCAGAAACACACGAACCGCCATCGGTTCTGAAGCATCGGTACATACAGGGAGGAAATGCCAGCCTTTGCATCGCTAGCACGCTAACTTATCCATGTCGACGAAACCAATGAAAACTGTTTTAAGTGCCATTCGCAGGTGGGTCGTAGGGGCCATAAACATTCGGGCTAGAATCCCGATAAGGGCTCTGTGCTTCGGAATGATAATCTGGATTGATTAGATTGGTGTAGACCTCGGAATTAACAATGCAAAGTTCAGTCGAAGTCGTAGGACATGCAAGTTGAGTGTTGACTCCGCTGCCTTGGGGCTCCTCCACAGGGCATACAGAAGATGATTGACTAGGATCCGTCGATGGAAAAGGCTGCGAATTATATTGCGGCTGATATAGACCAAGGGGCGGTGAAGGTGCTACTACGTAGAGCATTGGAGGAGGTAGGTAAAGGTTGTATGGGTTGTAGGGGGGTATGGGCGGAAAGGGAGCCCTAAAGGGAGCGGAAGCTACGACATCGTATCAGCACTCTGAGAATGGCAGACTATTGGCGAAGGGCTTCAGCTCAGTAAGCACCTGCTTGAAGCGGATAGCCACTGGCCATCTGTGCTTGCTGTGCATGAACTTGTGCCGTTGCCATAGTCTGAGCATGCTGCTGCTGCCGCTGGGGCAGATCGTTGAACCACGGATGTAGTAGTGCCTGCTGTGCGGATATCCTCATTTCTGGCCGCAGTTGGAGCATCTGGCCGAGAAGGTTTATTCCGAGCTGATCGATTTGGGGCAGGATGAGGCGGAGGTCCTGGGTTGCGAAGACATGGAAGTTGCCCTTGTACTCGGGGAATTGCGAGATTCCCGGCCATGACCGTTCCGATGGCGTGCCCATCAAGCGGAAGATCTTCTGCAACTGATCCTCGTTTGTGGTCCCAGGGAAGAGTGGTCGGCCAGTGTACATCTCAGCCATGATGCAGCCTGCGGACCAGATGTCGATGCTGGTGCTGTACGTCCTGCTTCCCAACAGGACATCCGGAGCACGGTACCATAGCGTGACGACTTCGTTTGAGAAGGTATTGACAGGAATGCCAAAGGCTCGGGCAAGCCCAAAGTCGGCTAGCTTGAGTTGACCGCGGGTGTTGATGAGAAGGTTCTGAGGCTTGAGGTCGCGGTGGAGCACGCGGTTATCGTGGCAGAAGGCGATTCCCCGGAGAAGCTGATACATGAAGGACTTGATGGTTGGCGGGTCCAAAGCACCTCTATCCCCGCGTGAATCCATGTATCGCTTCAGGTCTCTGTCCATGAACTCGAACACCAGCATGAGTTTGTTCTCGGTATGGATAACATCATGGAGAAGGACAATGTTCTCGTGCTTGAGCTCTTTCATCAACGAAATCTCGCGAATGGCGGTAGAAGGGGTGCCCTCCTCTGAGTCAAGGTGGATCTCTTTCAGAGCAACGAGCTCGCCGGTCTGCCGGTTGCGGCCTTTGAAAACCTGCACACGGTCAGCATGTCTCTATAGAATGAGGCGACGGGACTTGCTGTGGCGTATGTACCCTCTCCCAGCTTCTCCAGCTGCTGGAAGGAGCTTGGATGCCTCCTGTTATCCATGATGGGCACGGTTCGACCGCCTCCTAAGTTTTTCACTGAGATGGACGAGTCGGTACGGTTGGCAACGGAAAGGGTGCCGGCGTGCGTAGGCCTGAGCTTGCCTGGCTGCGGACGGCTGGTGTACTTGGGATCCCAAAGGATGGCGCTTGCGGTGGTCAGCTGATTAGCGATATGCAGTTTCGCTTGCGGAGGCGGGGTGTTTGACCGAGATGGCTCGGGGGAGGAATTTGGTTGCGCCGTTTTGCTGGTGTGGAGCGGGTGCTGTTGAGGGCCACAAGTTCCCTATAGCGCGTGGCGTCTGTTATATAGACGTAGACAAGGCGACGGTCTCTCGGGCGCTTGCGAGTTTAACTTAGTCCGTGAATGAGTCATCCATCGTTCCAAGCTGGGCCTGGGTGACACCGGCGGCAAGAGGCAGGTCGGGCGCCTGACCTCGCGCTTCCGCCTCACCCAACCGTCTATCGTAATCCTCACGTCCATTCACTTCAATCTTCCATTTCTAGCCTTAAGTGGCCCGGGACTGTGAGAATCTCCACAGAGAGGACCACGTGCGTTGGTCCTCCCACGACTTGCTGTCTGTCCATATTTGTTTGAGAGGCTATAAACGCCCACCTGTGAGCCAGGAATATCCGTACTGGCACTTCTTTTCATCCAAGGTGGAACATGATCGGAGTAGTTTAGGACAGAAATTTGCATCCTGATGGCCTTCTGTCTCATTCCAGCGGGGATTTTAGCGGATAAACCCTACCCTGATTGTAGTCCATGCAATGTGATACCATGTAGAAGATCGACCAAGGTAAGATCGAGTGAGTAGATTCCTGACAAAACCTCTCTCGTTCATAACAGGAAGGCCCTCTGTATAGAGTATTCTTAGGAAGGGGTGAATGTAGCTCGCTATTCCCATTTTCATTTCCGTATGGTTGGGGGGCTGGGTCAACTTGTCAGAAGCCTCACTACTCAATCAAGTTTATCTCCCAATTCATGCCCTTTCGCTTTGCTACTATCACTATCAAATAACAAATCAATTAACGCCCGCATCAATCCTCTCGCTTATTTCTCAATGCCGTTCTTGCCTGGCTTGGGGCCGCTTTCGAGCCCAGGTCAATCAGATTCACTTCCCAGCCCTCCTCTGTCTCTAATCCGCGTTTCTTCTACCGGAACCATGGTCGTTCATCGAGCTAGACGGGATTCGCTCCCCTGCCTACGGTCATTCCATCAAGCCATGATGGAAGGCATGGAATCCCGATCACGCAAGCCTTGGCCCCCGTTCACCCGCAATGGTAGTGATCGGACACTCTGGTTAGAGGGTATATCTGATACTGATACTGTGGCTGCCGGAGAGAGCGCCCCTCTCTGGCATGGGGCTCTCTGCCACTCATTCCTCGATGGCCATCTTTCAGGTATCGACTACTCTGTTCCATGCCTACGCGGTGGCTCAGACGCGCGGAGGCAGAACGACTCGATCGGTAGCTTCACTGGCAATATTCTGCCAGATGACATTTCTTCGGCGTCGGTCTGGGTTTTTCAAGAGGCTGAACGAAGCTTTTGCGAAAAGGTGCAACTCGCTCAGTGCGAAATCGAACGGATGAAGTCCCTCAGCACTTTCCTACAGTCTGGGAACCGAGAATATTCCTATTCCCTTTTGCGGCCGCTTACGGGGCTACACAAATCAGCTAGCTCCAAATCGCTCATTATCCCGAGTAAACACAAGTTAGAGGCTGTCGACTCTCGTTCCTTGGGACATCCTATCGAATCTTTGGCCAAAGATCATCCAGTCTGGCAGTTCCGGCGGCGCAGGGCTGAACTTCGAAGGCTCAGGAATACAGTGCCGCAACTTATTCGCGTCCACGGCCTTCTACTTGGCAGCCTCGCCGAAGTCCACGCGCGGGTCGAGTTGGCTCAGGTGGAATGCTTTCTGCGCGGGCTTAGCAGCTTTCGCATGGACAAGCAGGGTGGAGCTAAGACTGAAGAAGACAAGGAATTTGGATCTACTCTTTTGGACACTCTCGTAAACCGCGCCGAGCAGGCCATGCAGAAACTCGACCAGCTTGCGGAGCAGATGCCAAAGTCGCCTTACGAGAAGGAACTATCTGAATCTTGGGCCATCGTCCTACAGACGGAACTCTACCGGACGTCGAATTCTTCGCCAACGCTTACTCCCCAAAGTAATGCTCACCTTCACGACTATACCGAGGTGCTCTCTAGGCTCCATGCATTGAGCTTGTCACGAGTAGGAGAGTGTTGAGTATTGGGCCGGGTCCAGAGCTATGGAATGCCCTGGAGTGACCAGCGCGTCAAGTGCCACCATTATCGATGTGATCGTCAAGCGGATGGGCTCTACTCTACAATGTTACACAAGCCATGGAGGAGCAGTGTGCTTCGATTACAGAAGGGGAGAGGACTGTGTTGTTCTGTGTTTTCATTATCGGTAGTGTTGTCCACTTCGCTAAGGAGAGGAAACAAAAGAACCCCGCAATAGCCAGTGGGATTTGCAAGATTTGGCAGGGCGAGCAATTGCAGTGATGTCCATCGGAAGATGCTGACACATGTTTCGGGACGATGCAGTGCTGGTCCTGCCACCGGAATACTTGTGACCGGGTGATCCCTGTGTGGCTTGCAGCGGCGCCGCTGGCTGAAGGGCTGCATGATGTCGGACTCCTGGGATGATAGACAAAAAGTGAATGTAATGAATGCTCCCCATTTGCGAAGCGTCAAAACAGTCTGCGGATTCACATGGAGGTGAATGGGCACCCACGTGAGGGGTGTCTTGGCGCGAGGAGCTCAGGACAAGCTTTGGACGGAGCTCGGAGAGGGCGGTGGAGAAAGGTAGCAGATGACGGAACACCACAAAGCCCATTGAACCTCTGCCTCTTCTACCCCCCACGACACCACCAGTGAATCGTGCAGCACCCGTGGGCCGACTTTGAAAGAGCCGCAATGCGAGCGAGGACATTCCACAGAAGTCCGAACCTCACGAGACTGCCTGACTGAAACTTTCTTTACACTGCGGCAAGCTCGCCGCTGTGACCCGGTCCATCCTCGTTGCTTGTTTGCCTCATTCGCTCTTGCACCTTTTTTTTATACCCCTCCCCCTTGCACCTTCGAAACGACACTTCGCCCATACTCGACGCTTGTGCGGGAGTAACGATGAAGCACACCGTCTACGACCGCCTGCTGCGGCGGGAGATCGGTCAAGATCGCAAGCGATATTCCAGCGTTCGAGGAATATATGGCGACCGACAATGGGTAGAGGACATGGATATTGTCAACGAACTGGAGGGACATAATGGCTGTGTGAACGCTTTGTGGTACGAGTCTCCCCGTCCTGCATCCCCTCAATCGTTCAAGTTCACAGACTGACTTGCTGCTGCAGTTGGTCTAGGTCTGGCCGACTGCTAGCCTCTGGCTCCGACGACCACCGCATCAACATCCACTCGTACCACCCTGAGTCATCGAACTCTCAGTTCAATCTCACGACGTCGATAGTGACCGGCCATAGCTCCAACATCTTCTCAGTGAAGTTCATGCCCTACTCTAACGACAGAACCATTGTCTCAGCCACCGATGATGTCCGAATATTCGACATCGAATACTCCGGCCATTCTGCCTTGGGCTCGTCTTCTTCCGGAAGGCGCCGAACGGGAATAAATGGTGCTACGAACGGTGTCACTCTGACCGAAGGAGACACAAACGCCAAGGCCTTCCGGTCGCACAGCGACACTGTGAAGCGGATCGTGACCGAAGACAATCCCTTTTATTTCTTGACATGTTCAGAGGATGGCGACGTACGACAGTGGGATATCCGGCAGCCATCGAAGACATATCCAGCCCCGAAAGACAGTATGGTGCCCCGATGGGCGGCTGATGCTGAAGCTTCGGACAGCGTTCCGCCACCTCTCATCTCCTACAGCCGCTACCACTTAGATATCAACACCGTCTCGTGTTCCCCTTCTCAGCCACACTACATTGCCCTTGGCGGAGCCCATCTGCACTGCTTCCTTCATGACCGTCGAATGCTAGGTAGAGACAAATTAAGGGAGAGGGGCACCAAACTTTCTAGTCCAAGCAACTGGAGTGACCATGAAGGTGAGCTGTTCGGTAAGGCAACGCAGTGCGTTCGTAAATTTGCGCCCAACGGTCGAAAGCGCATGCGACGGGCCGATAATGGTCACATCACTGCTTGCAAGATCAGCGATGCAAATCCGAACGAAATGGTAGTTAGCTGGTCAGGTGACTGGATCTATAGCTTTGACCTTCTACGAAGCCCCGATGCCAGCGAGGAAATTACCCCAACCAAGGTAACAAATGGGGATCCAAAGCACAGGGTGAAGGACAAAGGTCACAAACGAAAACGTACAAAGTCGAATCTCTTGTCTGAAGAAGCGGCGGAGAGGGCTGGATCCCGTCAACGTACAGAGAGTTCTCGCGGCTCCGTCTCGGATATCCACGAGCAGCTGTCATTAAGGGTGAATTATGGAAATGGACAGAGCGAGGAGATACGCATCGAGCCGCCAGGTCAGCCACGGAGCCCTCCTTCGGAGATCCAGCACACGGTTCTGCCTGATTCAGATCATTTCCGAATTGCAAGGGCCGCCGTCAGGATCCAGAAGCAGATGTTTGCTCTCAATTGGGCTACACCAGCTGACTCCACTTCCGGTCCCTCTAGCCATAGAAACAATTTCACGTCAGTTCTTGGCCTCGCTGCATCAATCATACCAGAGGTCGACGACATCTCAAGGACCTGGCGGTACCCCATTAATCCGAACGAAGTAGATGTGGCGTTACAAAATAAATTACGCGATGGGCGTGCTGCCACGCGAAGGTTTATCCAGGTAGCGGGAACACTTGCTCGAGTGCTAGGTGGCCAACTTCGTACTGGAGGCAACGCTACTGCTCTCATCTCTCAATACTTTTCCTCAATCCAACAACCAGCGCCGAACGAGCGCCCCCTCCCACGACACGAGCAGTTCGGATATGACTTCCTGAAAGCAATCCTGCTATGGTTGGATAGCGGCCTCGGGGCTCTTGTCGAAGGCTTTTCAAGTCGAAGTAGTACTCCCCGCCTCCCGATCGGTCCAGATGCCGACGTCGATGCCGTTGACGATGAGCTTATTCCTTATCTCCTCCAATTAGCGAGCGAAAATCCAATCGTGGATGTCGATGTGTCTCGCTTCGAAAGAGACGACACAAGGGTATTATTTTCCTCTGAGAAGGCAGCCGTAATCGCCTTTGCGCGTGCGTTGAAGATGCCATTTGCTGATCTGACTGGTGCCGTAATTCCTGCTTCCGAGTCATCAAGTGCACAACACAACGTTCAGGATCGAAAAAATGCCATTAGTCAATGGGCCTTCAAAGTAGGACGAGGGGTTCTCTTGAATGCTAGCAAAGACATAAGATTCATATTTGTGGATCGCTCTTTCGGTGGTCTTGGACTCGCAGATTCAAGCACTAAAGCGGAAGAAAAGATTTTAAGGGAGCGGCAAGAAGATGTCGATCCCCTTGAAGAGGATGATGCTGTAGCAGACGCCGAGCTAGTTAGCCGGGCTTGGGCAGAGCAGTCAAGCGAGCAGTCACCAGAAGCTTCAGGGTCATACGAAACTGCTTCGTCAAGCCAGGGGGTATCAAATATGTCGGCAACGCATTCCAGAGAGCATGCCGTCGGCGACACTGATGAAGATGAAGATGATGACGATTCCGACGGCGATATTGATCCTGACGAAGATGAAGATGAAGATGAAGAGGCGGACGTGGACGCTCATGGACTCTCACGCACGCGAAGTGGGCGTATTTTGTGGCGGTCAGACTTTGATCGAAGTCGCCTAAGGGAGCGAGTCGAATCAGAAATCCCATGCTCTTCCCATACGCGGACATATACCGGTCACTGTAATGTTCGGACAGTCAAGGATGTTAACTTCTTTGGCCTCCAGGACGAGTATGTCGTGAGCGGAAGCGATTCTGGCCACGTCTTCATTTGGGATAGGAAGACCTCACAGCTCCTTAACATCCTGGAAGGGGATGGGGAGACTGTTAATGTGGTACAAGGTCAGTATTCTGTGATAATTTGTCTGGCGAGCTTCTAACATTTCATAGGTCACCCCTATGAGCCTACTATGGCGGTCTCCGGTATCGACCATACAATCAAGATATTCTCACCCGATGCCCAGGAACAGCGGAATGCTCGCAAAGGCATTGGAGTCCACTCTGTGGACCCAGGCTTCTCGACTCTCGGCTATGCTCGGAGGAGATGGAGGAGTGCGTCCGCATCTCCAACTTCTGAGCCTGCAGTCCCCAATGGCTCTTCCCAAGAACCACAAGATGCTAGCGATGATGATGAAGTTGCTCTAAATGGTCTTAGTAGCAAGAAGCGCATGCATAAGCAGTACCAGATTACGAGTCAAAATGACATGGAGAGGAAAGGCGGTAGAAATGATGCCTTTATAACGGCTAGTTCCCCTTCTATTTCCTCTAGAGAAGAGTATGGACTCTAGCAGACTGTTGACTGTTGAGTGGAACTTGGTTGCTGAGACAATTTACTAACACATTTTCTTTGTAGAGAGCCCTACTTGCTCAACTAGCCCAGCGAATTCATGCACATTCGCATATTGGCGGCGAGGAAGACGAAGATGGAGAAGAGGGTGGAACGATTTTCATCAATAACGATGATGTTTGCACGGTACGAATTGAGCTGGACGTTTTGATCAGACCACGAGCTAATACTATTCTAGACAATGTAGAGACCGCCGGCATGACTCTCTTATGGTCCACTCCTTTGGCCTGTATATCCCGCTTTATGGCCTTCACCACTCATTACGGCATGTTAACTCAAAAAGGGCTTACGGAATCAATTAGAGGAAAAGCTTTAGGGGTCTGTCATATGGACTTCTAGTCGACAGTTGCTGTCAGCGTAAATCTCCTCCGCTCAGATTGCTAGCATCGCGAATCAACATACAGAATCTATAACATGATTAATATCTGAATGATCAACTTTGGACACAGGGCAAAGGACTACTTTCAGGAAATTAGACGGCCTAGTATTTGAGTAATTCTTGCTAGTCGAACATGCCACGTCGTTCTCGCCCACGAGATTACCAGCGCAGAGTCAAATGATACAAGTATGAAGCCTGTCCAATGGCAAACGCCCAGAATGCGCAGACCAACATGCTTGCTCCGAAAGAACCCCTTGCAACGTGTCCCCTTCAGCTCGCCTTCTTCTGTTTTGCCTTGAGCGCTTTCTTCCTGTTGCTCCTTATCATAACGACTGAGAGGAAGCTCCCCACGACGGTGGTGAAGAGAATGATGAGGATGACGGGAATGCGGATTGCCCAGACGCGGGGTGGAAAGAGGGAGTGGAGCGGATGGACCTCGTCGACGAAAGGCTTGGGTTGAACGATTAGTCATGGACATAGAGATGTGACCCAGTTATATGGAAGACATATGATAGTAGAGCAATGTTTAATTGGGACGTAGATGGGGGCAGTACCATAAACAAGGTCCAGATAGTGTAGTATACGAAGACGGCGGATGCTGCGATCAGCATACTGAGGCCGATGAGGTGGTCAAACTGGGATTGTATTAGAGCCACCATTATCCTCCGAATACGGTATTCTGCGCGTCTCACCATCTTGAATTGTTTTGCGAAGGAGTGAAGCGAAGGTAAAGCAGGCGCCGGAGCTGATCACGTTTCGTGAAAGCGAAATGGTGTTTTCCCCAATGCCAAGAAGGGATCCGGAAAAATGATTTGGCCGTCCTCCGAAGAGCTTCTTGAAGTTTCTCGCGACGACGGACGACTTCGCCATCACAACCACTCAGTTGTGACCAACTCCTCCCTCGCTTTGCGTTCCGGCGAGAGATCGCTTGTTAAATAACTAAGTATACTTCAGAACTGTCCCGTCTGCATCATTTGCGAGAGGACTATTCCATTGTGATGGAGATCGCCTCCGCCGTCCGAATCCCGTCGCCGGAGCCTGACTCCCCAGAGCCACCCCGCAAGCGCGAGCACTCACCCGCTGAGGCTGGGCCGTCGAAGCGGTCGCGGCGATACGGCCACGACGCAGACGACGATTACCCACCTGAACGACCCCGAGAACGTGAGCGAGAACGTGAGCGAGACAGAGATGAGAAGCCAATGCGACGCGACCGAGAGAATGGCCGTCGGCCTGATGCCGGCAACGACCCTCGCGTCGAAAATGATGACCCGCGCTTTAGAATGTTTCAAAACGCCTTCAGCGCTCCCAAGAAGTTGCCCATCGATGACTCCAAAACACGTGCTGGCGGGGCCTACATACCACCCGCGCGGCTGAGGGCTATGCAAGCTGCCATCACGGACAAGAACAGCCCGGAGTATCAGCGCATGGCGTGGGAGGCCCTGAAGAAATCGATTCAAGGCATGATCAACAAGTGCAATGTTGCCAACATCAAGATGATCGTCCCGGAGCTGTTTGCAGAGAATCTGGTCAGGGGCCGAGGCTTGTTCTGCCGGTCCATTATGAAGGCACAGGCTGCGAGCTTGCCCTTTACCAACATCTATGCAGCCATGGCGGCGATTGTGAATACAAAGCTCCCACAGGTCGGCGATCTACTCGTCCGGAGGCTGATTGTGCAGTTCAGGAAAGGCTTCAAGAGGAATGACAAGGCCGTGTCGGTGGCTAGTTCAATGTTCCTGTCGCATCTAGTCAATCAGCAGGTCGTCCACGAGGTCATCATTGCGCAGATGCTCCTTCTCCTCCTCAACAAGCCGACAGATGACAGCGTGGAAATTGCCGTGGGGATTATGAGGGAAGTCGGCCAGTTCTTGGATGAGATGAACGGACCCATCGCAAACTCCATTTTCGACCAATTCCGCAATATTCTTCATGAAGCGGATATCGACAAGCGAACGCAGTACATGATCGAGGTCCTGTTCCAAGTTAGGAAAGACAAGTACAAGGATAACCCATCCATAAAGGAGGAGCTAGATCTCGTGGAAGAGGAGGATCAGATCACACATCGGCCAACTCTTGAGGATGAGATCAAGGTCGAGGAGGGCTTAAACATCTTCAAGCTTGATGCCGAATACGAGGAGCACGAGGCGCAATACCAGAAGCTAAAGGCTGAAATCCTAGGAGAGGCTGAAGGAAGCGACGAGGATGAATACACGGATGCATCTTCCGAGGATGATGACGAGGAGAAGGAAGAACGAGCTATGGAGATCAAGGACCAGACCAACGCCGATCTTGTCAGCCTGCGCCGGACCATCTACCTCACCATCAAGAGCAGCGGTGGCTTCGAAGAATGCTGTCACAAGCTTATGCGCGTCAAACTTCCAGCAGGCCTCGAAAAGGAGCTCACATCCATGATTGTAGAATGCGCAAGCCAGGAGCGCACTTACGAAAAGTTCTATGGCATGGTTGGCGAACGGTTCTGCAAGCTCAATCGCATGTGGTGTGAACTCTTCCAAGACGACTTCGTCAATTACTACGACACAATCCATCGCCTAGAAACCAACCGTCTCCGAATTGTCGCGCAGTTCTTCGCCCATTTGCTTGCTAGCGATGCAATTGGTTGGCATGTATTATCTGCCATTAAGTTGAACGAAGAAGACACCACGTCCAGCTCTCGGATCTTCATCAAGATTCTCTTCGAGGAGCTTATGTCATCTCTCGGTCAAAAGACGCTGGTAGAACGCCTGAAGGATCCAATGCTCCAAGAAGACCTCACCGGCCTCTTCCCCACTGACGACCAGGTCAACACGCGTTTTGCCATCAACTTTTTCACTGCTGTTGGTATGGGTGTGCTCACTGACGACATGCGCACGTTCCTTGCGAACAATGCTCCGCAGCCGAAGGCGCTACCGGAACCAGAAGGCGAGAGCGATTCAGAGAGTGTCTCGTCTTATTCTTCGTATTCGTCGCGCTCGAGGTCAAGATCTAGGACGCCAAGACGGGGGAGGTCTGTCTCAGATTCCCGTTCACGCTCCCGTAGTCGGTCATACTCGTCAGATTCAAGAAGTAGGTCGCGCCGACGAAGTCCTTCGGTTTCCAGATCTAGGTCTCCGGCTCCGAGGAGGAGGAACTACGCTTCTTCTCGTTCTCGGTCCCCCGCTTCTCATCGCCGTAGATCCATCTCAGCCCGTGCAGATTCTCGAGACTCCCCTTCGAGAAACGGATCACCCAGAAGACCTCGTAGGCGTGGCCATTCGGATCCCTCCCCTTCCAGATCCAGGTCCCGAGCTCCAAGGAGGAGGAGGAATTATTCATCGAGTCGCTCAAGGTCCCCTGCGCCAAGACGCCGTGTGCGAAGTCCGTCGAGTTCAGTGGCGCGGTCAAGGTCGCCGGTTGAGAGGCGACGACGCCATTCTAGCAGTGTTTCTAGGTCGAGGTCGCCACTACGTCGTAGGAAGAGGGATTCGAGCAGCCCGCCGCCACGTCGTAGGAGAGATTCAAGTAGCCCACCGCCCAGGAAGAGACGGCCTTCTATTAGTCCTCCACCGAGAAGGACGCAGGCTGCTAACTAGAATGTTTCGAGGACTTGAGGTTGGGTGTTCGGCTTGGTGATAGTACTGCACTTGGAGAGAGACAGGGACTAATTTGTCAAGGCTTGGGGATCATTATAAAGATACGAAGTGTATTGTAGAAAATCAGTCCGCAAAGAGGAAAAATTGGTCATCATTGAAAGGACAGCCTTTCCTTTCTAACATGTTGTAATGTATGTGTGTTGCCCCTCACATTCAAACTAAGCTCTTCGCTCTCTCCTATATACACTACAACCTAACCCCTCCTACTCACCCCTTAAAAACCTCGATCGGAAACGCATCCGCCATAGCCCTATAACCGGCCGCATTCGGATGCAAATAATCACCCCCATTATACTTACTGTCCAACTGCCCCGGGCTACTCTTACTCTCCACAACCGCTCCAAAATCCACCACGTGGTCGAAGTTTCCCGGTGTGAGGATCCACTTGTTGACGCGCTGTCGAGTCTTCTCGCGCTCGGGGGACGAGTAACTTTGCTGGCTGGCGCTGGGCGCGCTGAAGGGTGTTATGGTGGCGCCGATGGTGGTGAGACCGGCCTTTTTAGAGTCGGAGATGATTTGCTGGAAGGCTTTGATGAGGGCGTCACCGACGGCGCTTTGAGAGCTGCTGGAGGTGGCTTCGTTGCCGATGTCGTTGACGCCTTCGAAGATCTGGAAATTGGGGTTAAGTTGTAGCCTGAAGTTCATTCATCGGATAGGATTCTTAGGTCGGAGACAGAATTTGGAAATGGAAACGGAGGCGAACCATGACAAATTTCACGCCGGGCTGGGTGATCGCATCGCGTTGGTATCGCGAGACGAGAGACGGGCCGAGGCCTTCTTTGAGCACGCGGTTGCCACCAGCGGCTTGGTTACAGACGGCAATGTTGGTGTAGTTTGAGGATTGGAGGCGGGCGAGCACGAGATCGGGCCAGCTGGCTTCAAGGTTAGGTGGATGTTGACTAAGTACTCGATTGATGAGATGGCGGAGAGGGGGAGAAGAAAGGAGACTTGTATAAGTACCGGTTATTCTTATTATCATCACTGCCTCGTCCATCAGTGATACTATCTCCCAAAATAATAAGAGCATTCGTGTCCGCAGGCACATAAGCCTGTACCGCACTAACAAAATACCAATGCACAGAACTCGTCCCGCTCATTGTCGTAGCATTAACCTTGTTACCACTCACAAAGAAACTCGTCGTCCTACTCCCCGGATGGCCTGTAATACTGCTTCCACTCTGGCCAGCTTGGCTATACAGACTTACTGTAATCATCTGCTGAGCTTTGACCGGAAATGCAATCTCATCGGATACTACGACCTGCCCTTTCGGTACTGTAAAACTCGCTTTTCCACCAACAGTGATTGCTGCTAGTGGAGATGCTTGGATTCCAGAGACGCCTGCGGCGCCACCTGTAGGAAGGCCAACGGACCCCTCGGTGATAGGGAGATCGGAGCCACCGAAGGTGTTGGAAATGGCGATTTTGATCTTCTCGGCACCAACAGACATGTGGAGGGTTTGGCGGAGAGTCGCATCTTTGAGGACGGAGCCTGAAGACTGCGAAGAATTTAGTCGGAACAGTGCGAAATTGTAAAGAATGGAATTCCTACGAATGGCGAAGGAGGCATATTGCTCGATTCTACGAGCTGTGGCATGCTCGTCCATGTATCAACCCAGTGGTATCCCGCATCTTGACGCTTTCCCTCCGATCCAATCGCGAGGCCGCAAACCGATGACGAGAATATCGCAAGTGTCGCAAACGCGACGGACAGAAGTCGAGAATGTCTTCCCAGCATGACGCCTCAACCTTCTAAACACTGAGTCTTAAAATGGTGGAATTCGGAAGGTGATGTGAACTAATGTGGGAAACCTCCATTTTTTATAGACTTTTCCCGACTTCTGAATCGCAATTTGAAGTTGGAGCCGCAAGCCGAGCACCAATATGCATTTTCAAAAGGTTCATTTAAAGTAAAGAGAAAATGGAAGAAAGTAAGTGGCGGCATTATCCTAGTTGATGTTCTAAATGCGTCGACGTTTGAGGCTAATTAATAACGCGGGGTGGGTTTGATAGATTATGCAGACCACGAGACGCGGGACCTGGATTGGGCTTCCCGAGAATGGAGATCCTTGTGTTTCCTGAAGCCTAGAAATTTGTCTAGCTAGTGGTTGTCCGGAAAGTGGGGACCGAGTTTCGACTGATCGTCCACCTTTGCAAAAGAGGAGACATCGAAGAAGCAAAATTTAGAAAGACGCAAGAAGGAATTGTGGACATTCCGACACGATTTGTCTATCGGGCAACCCTCGCCTATGTTCGTTAGACTTCTTCATTCTCGCCGGATCTTCACAAGTAAAGAGGACGACAAAGGTTTCGGGAGCATTTCAAAGGAAGGACTTCCCATGCCTTCATTAGTCAGAGGTAGTCGACATAACATCTTGCACAAAGTCCGGAATTGTAGTAATATTCTCAGGATCCCATTGCATAGGATAGCATTTCGAACAGTTCGCCATGAATTGCCCTGTAGACTTCTTGAAGTAAGCTTGTATAGCGTCACTGGTATGTGATCCCGTCGGCCTGGCCTCTGGATCTTTCGAGAGCATGGGTTGAATGAAGTCGAGATAAAGGCCATTTACTCCAGGCTCTGCCTTTTCAAACCATGCATCTACCAGATCTAGGGTAGCATGATAGGCATGAGTCTCCCCGCCCATTCCGTTTTCGCAGTTCCGCTGACGAAACTCAAAGTAATCGGAAATTGGGCGACCGTCGAGTGAGGTAGCCATTTCAGTGTACACACAGCCCAAAGAAAAGATGTCAGCCGATCTGCTACGCTTTTCCCAAGACACGCACTCCGGTGCACAATACAGTAATGTGTGACCAAATGCAGGGCCTTCGGTGACACTTGTGCCTTCGTCTAGGAAAGCGTGGCTGGAGCCGAAGTCAGCGAAGATGACTTCGAAATCTTTTATGAGGATGTTGCGTGTTTTGATATCTTTGTGCCGTATGCCTTTAGAGTGAATGAAGGCAAGCGCGTTGGCGAGGCAGCGAAGCCACTTCCAAATCAATTTGTGGTGCCCTGTCTCTGGATCTTGCGGCGTACTATGCTGTGCAGATTCTAGATAGGCTTCCAGATCGCAGCTGGCGAGAGGGTCCAAAACAATGGCGAATCTTGACTTCTCTTCGTACGTGCAGTAGACCCGGACGATGTGAGGATGAGCTAACGAGCGGATGACAGATACTTCATTTTGAATTGTTTGGCGAATCCGATTCTGGTTGTATCGTGGGAGAGCGATCGACTTCCGAGCGTAGAGTCGAGAACCGATTTCGACGCTCTCAACAATCGCATAAGCCCCCGTTCCTACATTTTCCAGAACTTTAATCGGGAGAGGGTTTCTTATGATGCTGTTGTACGTGAAGTGCGTCAAGTTGAGTTGCGTTAGCCTTCGGTGGAAGGCACTGGCTTGATCCCGGTTGAGCTTGGTATCTACATCAAAGAATACTGCCCTGCTCAGTTCAATCGATTTAGTTTTCCCGCTGCTATCGCCTGAATAGTACATCGCAAGGTCTAGAGATGATTGTAAGACCCCTTCGGCGCTTCGTTTGAATGGACCGTTTACTAGTGATATCGCTTCGTCGACTTTGCCTTGCTCAAATTTACAACGAGCGAGAGTTCTATGAATTCTGATAGTGAAAATTGCGCGATGTTCAGAGCTCTCCACCTTTAAAGGTCTTTTTTCGTCGAGGAGGGATTGAAGAATGGATTCGGTTTCCTTGAAGGAGGTCTCCCCTGCCGATGCAAGAAGGTCTACAACCGTCCTCAAGTAGATGTGCTCGTAGGCCACAGAGAGCTTGGACTCTTCGCTTAAAGACACATCATTGAACCCGTGAATGGCCTCGAGTTGTGGCTGGGATCCTTTACACATTTCCAATTCAGTATATGCTAGCTTGGAAGATGGGTGTGAGGCTCCAAGCCGGTGATAGCGCCCGAGGCAGCACTCACGTAGAAAGGACGCTGCAGCATCGTAGTTGCCCCATGATTTTAGTGCCTTCCCATAGTAATACAGCACCTCCAGTGTAGGGTGATGCCACATACCAAATATAACTGCACTGCTGACCAAAGCTTGAAGGAAATCTCGCTTCGAATCACTCTTTTGATCCATGCCTGCTAGGGTGATGGCTCGAGATAAGCATACCGTCACTGACGTTTGCGCGTTCAATAGGACGGAGGGGTTGAGTATGTCAAGATTCTGGATATGTTCGAACGCTTCGGTATAATTACCACGGGCAATAAAAATCCTGATCAGGCTGACCATGGCACTACACTGTTCATCGGGGGTCCAATTGCTATCACTGGCAATCCAAAACACCAGTCTGCCTGCTCTATCCGCATAGTCCAGATTCCGTCTTGAGCTTGCGAGAAACATGAGGTAGCTTATCAGTATTTCAATTTCGTGCTTCTCCAGCGTAGGCATGTAGTGCGTGAGGTCATTCGTCGGCTCTGTTGGAGGGCAGCAACGACCGTAAAGGCTTTCCGCTTCCTCATAGTCCCCAAGCGCTATATTGATTCGAGCTAGATTCAGAAGGGCAAGGTTTTGCTCCTTAAGCGCAGTCCGACCCACAGGGGAGGCCAAGTTGAACTGAAACTTTTGGAGGGCTTCTTCCAATTGCTCTTTGGCGGAAATAAGGTCGGATCGAGTGCGATCTGCGGAGTTCCTGTAGTCCGTGGCGGAATACACCCTTCTTTCAGCTCCGGAAGCAGTGAAAATTACATTGCTGAGTTCTGATAGTGGGGTGGACGACTCATCAGTAGGACGAGCATTGGCTGGCCCATGATCTCCGGAGAAGGCTCGCCTCAGCCGCGATCCAACGCCTTGGAACATGCTATCCTAGCAGAGGCTAGGTACCATCTAGAAGCTAATGTCGGACGTAGGGCGACGTTGATGTTGATGCTCACGGTCTGAGGCAGAAGTTTCGACGTTTGAGATGGGGTGAAGAGTAAACTATGCTTGTATAGGCTAGCGCCATCAGCCAAACGCAAAGCTTCTACCCTCATTCCACTCTATCATCAACCCGCAGTCTCGAATCCAATTAGACTCCACATCCTGATGGCCATGCCGCCAGGCCTCACGCGAGAGATATCACCACCGAGATTGGCGAAGCGACGAAAGGGTTCACAGTTCCCGTCACTGAGCGAATGATGATGCTAAACCCGCACTTGCCGCCCTCAATGAAGGGAAGCCAGGATAGAAGACCACCTTATATACTTTACACAACAGCTAGCCAAATCTTTGAGGGAGTCTTCAGGAGGCGGCCCAAGAGTGTTTATTAATGATTTTGCGGATTTATATAAACAAAACCAGCATGAGCATGGCAACTACTTTGTCATTTATCAGCATAATCATCCAATCCGAGAGTGCATTGTAAGGACTCATTCCCACCATGGGTAGAATGGCGCTTACAAGTTCTCTAGACGACCTCCTACTTCAATTTTCAGGAACTAATTTAATTCTTTTTCAATTCCTCAAGATTTGTCCCGGAATCCAAATTCAAAAAGTCCTGGCCTCATGGCAGTTGAGACGAGGGCACAAAATCTGTGGGTAGGTGCTGCCATTCTTCTAAAGGCTTTCTACTCACTTCAGAGCCCTCATATCATAGCACCCCCTCATCTTAGTGACTAAATACAATATTTCATGACTTACATTAATATGTTCATGTTCTTGTTCATCTAAAAAGGATATTTGACCTCCTCTAACCCTTAATAGAACCACCTCGTAGAGTCGGCCTCTCGGCAAGACCTCCAAGAACAAGCCACCATCTCCACAAACTATAGATAGTAAGGATTTAAACACCACCCCACTGCCTTCCGGGCGACTATTTCGGACAGGAAATGAGATCCATCGAGAGAATGGGAAATTGATTCAAGCCTTCCAAACCTGCTACATCCGGCTGCGCACCCACGGAACACGTATACAATCACTATTCGTCTTCCCTCTACCAATGATATCAACAAATCCCAATCCTTCTTTACTCCTCGTAAGCACAGAAATGGAACGAAACTCACTCGGCCCGAATCAACCCATTCGGAACGCGAGTCACTACAACCCCAACGTCTCTCTGATGAGGCTGAGCAAGATCTCGACACCGACCCCGAGGAAGATACCATCACTCGCCTTAACAACGCGTATTCCGGCGCTTCAAACAACATTGGCTCTATCCATCAACGTCGGTAGTACCTCTCTCTTGACGGGCAGAATAGCGGCTTTGTCTTAGAGAAAGGGATGTGGAGAGTGGAGGGTGACGGAGGCTTTGAGCCATTCTATGCTAGAAGAAGGAATTTTGAAAGGAGTATTGTTACTGGAAGATTAGCAAGAGAAGTGGAGAGTAACAAGGGATTTGAAAGGTTTGCTGGCTGGATGGGTTGGAGTTATGACGGAGATGACCGAGCTAGAAATGGATAGCATGGAAGGGCTGACGTGCGACCACAAAGGAAATAGAATCAATTAATTATTACTTAAGGGCATTAAATCTAACTAACATCGAAATCTTGGAGAGAAAGGGAACCCTCACAAAACCTCCTAACTTATTCTTTGAACCTTTTCCCACTCCTCGTAGCCCCTATCGTCAAAGCCTCCGAGCAAGGTATTCCTCTCAACTTTACACTTCTCTTCCCGATCCCACTCCTACTTGCCCTCACTTTCGCCACCGCCTTCGTAATTTGTGCAGGCTCCACCACAACCTTATCAAACTTCTCATAATCGGCATTATTTACATATGCGGCCTTTTCCCCGCCACTCTTGGCCTTCTTCGTCTTTCCTTCGCTCGCCTCCTTAAAGCTGTCATCGGCATCCTCTAATTTCCTCTTACCAGTCTTCCTCGACGGCATCGGCGTACGTAGTTCCGCAGCTGTATTATGAGGCCGACCTGGCTCGCGGGTTCCTGGAGGCGAGGGTGCAGCATGGTTGGCACACCTACGAGTGATACCTGGAGGTGTGACTGACTTTGATGATGACGATTTGTAGCACGCGAGAAGACTGGGAGTTGTTCTAGTTTTAGTAACAACTTTAGCAGAACCTTCAGATGCCTCCTGTGCGCGCTAGGTAATACATTCGGACACAGTTTGCTTTGTACGAGAACGTAGTTTGAGTCCTTTAGTCGGGTCCCCACTGTGGCGCGCATCCCATCGGGCTTTCGTGACAGATAATCTAGGGCTGAGGGGCTTCCCTCGACTGAATCCTGAGACCGGATGGGAGTTGGAAGGCTGGTGGCGTCTTTGGCGAAAGGAAGTTTTCTTACCACGCGAGGAAGCAATAGGTTTGGTGGTCTTATGCGTTTCCCGGCTCACATAAGATTTCTGGAAAGCATCTTCACTCGTCTTAGCCTGTCCAGAAGTTTGCGGTGTTCTTGGAGCACGAGTGCGCTGGGATATACTGACAGCTCCAGTACGCGAGAAACCAGGGGCGCGCACAGGAGCCTGCGAAAGGCTAGAAAGGCGCGGGCGTTGGGAGCCAGGCACAGAAGTAGATTTTTTGGCCCCAGGTTGCCGTCTGGCCTTGAAGATTTTCTCGTGATCGGGATGGGGAACAACTTGATCCAGGAATATGCGGGGAGCATAAATGTTATGTTTCTAGTCATCTTCGCTCATCTCATTAAGCTCATGGCAGAGCTTAAGAAGCAAATCAGAAGTCAGGTATCTTGCAGCTAAAGCACGGGTGTCCTAATCAATTTCCGGAAGACTGAAGCGTGATCCAGACTCATGTGGGTTGGTGTCTGGGAGTTTGACAGGATTATATGCAACGTTCGTTGTGACAGAGTCGTGACCGTCCTTGACCTTGCCTTCGTATTTCGCCACGTCTGCCTGCCTTTTAGCATTCTCGGCAAGATCGAACTTCATCATGCTACTCTCTAGCTGCTGCATGTGCAGATTCTCGCCGAAAGGGAGTGAGGCCGGGAAATTGTAGTGCTATACTTCGACTCCGTTGTGAGCACCTCCGTACAACCATTCCTTTTCCGTGACGAGAGCGTTCGGAGCATTTCGACCTAACGCGGGACGGGATGGGGCTGTAGTGGGCATGAGTCTGCGAACCGCTGTAGCTGGAACAGGCTCTTCGACGGGTTTGATATTCGAGCTCATAGTACTTGACGGATGAGAAACCTTGGAGTGTTTGTTAAGCTCTACATCCCCACTTTGCTTAGCCCTCCCCTTGTCAGAATTACTTTCCGCGGCGGTGGCCTGGTTGGGTTGGGGGTTCCTTACAACGAGTTGAAGTTCTTGGGCGGCCTTGTGGATGTCCTCGAAGTCGCTTTCGTTCCTGTAAAGAGCCTCTCCAGGCTCCACCTCTTCCATATCATTGTTGGCACTCTCAGCTATGTCTATATTTCCCTCTTCAAAGCGCTTCAGGCCTCTCTGGCCCCCCCAAACCATAGACCTGAGCTGGCGATATAACTTAGGTTCGAACAAATGCCTCATTTCTCCGTACAGCTGGATGATATACTCCTCAATGTACTCCACTCGGTTTGCATATGTTTGGGTGGAGTCAGTTTCGCCCTCCTTTGCAAGGTAATTGATTGCTTGACGGATGAGGCAATCTTCTGCCGTGCGCTCGTCGGCTTCGTGTCTTGCGTCGTCACCTGTGGAAACTTCTGGGTTGGAGGATGCCCAGATCTTTTCAACAGAAACTCGGCTTGGATTGGCATGATTGCGCCTGAAAGCCATCTTGCACGTGTTCAGTCTTGGGGTGGATTAACGGTGTTGAGGACGTCTATCCTTTATCAGTACACATTAGGAAAGAAGCATCTAGTTTGTACACTTGCCGGGCAAACGAAGGCGACAATGATTATCTATGTTTACTAGAGAATAAAAGGTGTTCAAGTGACTGAAAGCTCTTGTTTCAAGCCCTGGGTCCTTAAGAAGTGCTAGGCTTTCCCTTCTTTTTGACAAAGGAATGCCGAAAGCGAACAACATTATGGTTTCCGCAAACGAAAGATGCTTTGGTCTGCTTTGTTCTGGTGTGGTAGCGACCTCTGAAGGTGCCCAGGTAAGATGGAGCATGGGAGGTTTGGAAATAAGGATGCAAAACACTACGTCTGCATCCCTAATGACGAAATTCACCCCAGCCTTCGATGTCGCTCTGGCGGGGGTGTTAGAGGTGACATATCATCATCCACGATCTCCTCAATCTCTGATGCGTCCGTCCCGCGACGTGCTGGTAGGACTTCAGATAACGCAGGTGGCTTCTTTGTGAGCTGACCCTCTCCTTCCATCTCATGCCGTTTCAGTTCCTCTGCTGCCATCTCATGTGGCTTCAGGTCCTCAGCCGGCATTTCGTATACTGCTGCTAGGTTTGCTGCATCGGCCTCAACGGGTTTTTGTTGCTCGCCCGCTGCGTAGAGTTCGGCCTTAAATTGCGAATCTCCAGTGGCCTCATGTCTGAGTCCATCGCCTACTTCGTATTTGATTCCATCGCCTGGTACCTCATGTGCCATAGTATTCTGGGCATCTGTATCATCCAATTCATGAGTTTCATCCTTCTCTGTACGCTTCTTGCGTCGGTATAGAATGAAAATGGCAGTAGCGACTATGGCGAGAACTGCGGCTCCGCCTACCGCAATACCAGCGATAGCACCGGTGCTGAGTCCAGACTTAGACTGCGACGTGCCTCCATTGCCACCGGGAGATTTTTCATTGAGCGGCGGAAGTATTGCAACAATATTGGGGGAGGTTGCAGTTGTCGGATACAACGCTTGGGAGAGATTAAAAGTGTTTCGTTCGTAGTCCGCCGACAGATATGCGCTCTGCAGAAAGGTCCGCCCTAGAATATACTGACTATCGTTGGCGGCCCGTTTGAGGGGAAAGTATAGTGAAGATGAGTTGCCAAGGTACGACGTAGTTGCTGTTTGATAGAAGTTCCAATAAGGCATGTCGATTGTAACAGACTGGCCATTTACTTGTGGCCCAACCTTGAAGCTCACTGTCGGATTCTTGGCCAGGAGGGACTTGTGCAAAGTGTCATTTAGGAGGTAAAGCTGAGTTGAGTTATCCCAAACGAGTCCAAACGCTTGTTCGAACAATTGGCATGCATCAGCGGGTAGCCAGATGTCTGCAACCAGCGTATCGATATAAGCAATGATTCCAGTACCTAAGAGGGGCTTATCCGTGGCGTTTGTTGTAACACTCTGAATGGCGACTTGGAAGTCTAATGATATATCAGCCCCAAATGGGAAGACGACGTCATTCGATTTAAATCGAGTCGAGTCATAGCCTCCTAGAACGAGACTGCCGAACACCTTCGGGGCTAGATTGTGCGATCCTGCAGTATATGACCAAGACGTGCTTGGTATGGGCGTACTCATATTCCTAAGGCTCTGCATCAGACTTGGAATAGGATTGTTGTAGTCGGTCAAGTTCATTGGTCTCGGGTTCAACGCCAGGCTTCCAAGGTAGAAGTTCGTGGTGAGGATTCCAGCAATGACCTGTTGCTTCAACGTAGGCATTCCATCTCCAGTCCAACCTAGAGAAAGGGTGTCGTTTCCATACAACCCCCCCTCTGCTGTCAACCCGACCCGCTCCTCGAGGAAGGTATTTAGCTCGAACTGTCCAGACTCTTTATATGTAGAGGACTTATTTCTCAGGAAAGCTGTCCCTCTATTCGCGCTACAATTTTCCTCGGATCCATCGCCGCAGGCTTCCGGGAGTATGAGCCAGCTTGAGGATTGATCGGAGGCCGGAATCACTCGAAGCTGCTGTGGAGGTGTGCCGACCTCGATGCGAAAGGTGCTCCAAGGACCATCTTTGCCGTCCCTTAAAACTGTCAGAATTTGTCCATCGCAGTTGTTCATCGCAGTTATTCATCGCAATTGCCCTGGGAACTTACCAGTACTGGCTGGGTGGTATACTGATAGGCTTTCCAAGGTCGGTGACATTCGCGCCGAGAACAACGATTGTGAACAACGCAAAAAGACCCCAGATTCTCCACAACACAGTAGCTGCCATGCCACTCAACAGACAAGTGAGCTACAGGGAGAAGCGATTAGGTCGATCTCGTGGTATCGACATTGGGGTTGCGGACCGACTCGAGTGATGTCTCAAGGGATGTCTTGAGAGTTGGAAGGCCTACCTTTCTCACCCGGTCCAGCGAAGCACGATGAGCTGAGCATGCATGTCAACGTTATATTGGGATTGCAAGGCTCAGCGGCCTCTAGCCTGACTGATTGGATCGTCTAGCGCCAGGCACAGGGTGCCTCGGAAGAACAGTTCATGCACGCCTCTGTTTGGCTGTGTTTTGCCTGCACCCAAGCCCAAGTAACCTTACCAACACAAGAGGAAAGTCTCACAGATTTCTCCAGATTACTCTGACTGCACTGTTGTGCGTTTACGCTTTTTGGACGGCTTTGCCGAACTAACATGTCCAGAGTGGAAGCCCGATAGGAACGTGCTGCGCTGTACACCATTCACAAGACATCTCTATTGGCATCCTTTTTCTCTTCCTATTCTACTGTCCGCGCCGGGACGCATCGATTCTGCCATGTTTCCGTCCGCAGCGGGGAATTTTCGAGTTGTCTCGCACGGGAAAGTGGCGATCGGATCCTCCTGGTCCTGGCCACAATGAACGAACGAGGGGTGGCCTGTCCGTTTCGGACCCCAAAACATCGAAGTCACACAATCCGAGACACAAACATCACGAAACCAACACAGCCGCAAACAGTGAACTACAAAATTTAAGAAATGCACAAGGAGAAGGGTCCGATACGAGCGGCACGATCGTTCGTATCCAACCCGCCCGTTGTCCGAAGCCAGATGCTATCGTGAAATGACAGCCGTTACAGAAAGGCACGTGCAATCCATGTTCAGCCACGGGAGTACTGGAACGCTTGGCAAAGTGTTTTGATCCATCGTTTCTCAGAATACGAGGCGTCAGCCACTCATCTCCACTGTCATAGTTGATCCCAAGTGAGCAGAAGCTTCAAATCTCCCACCAGCATGCTCCCCCGGCTGGTCTTCGAGGCTCGGCCTGCGGTGGGCCGGGACATAATAGCCATGCCTGGCCTCACACCCCTCTAACTGTTCTCCTTGATCCTATTCTTGTTCTCCTTCAACACGTTCCTTTCTATGTTTTGTCGCGCAAGATGCTTCCGGTCGAAATAATCACACTCATTATCCTCGCGACGACCACAGCGGCTTTCCCGCAACCACGTACGTCATCGCCTGATGGGATGCCTCACGTTTCAGACTGACATCGAGTAGAAAAACCGAATCCCGTAAACATCACCACTCCGGTCATTACGAGCATACCCCAAGAAACACTGCCTGGTTTCATACACGGGGAGTCGACAGTGACAGGATTCGAAGAGGATCCCACGATCACAGAGGAGGCACCAGGGGTTGGAGACCCTAATAAGGTGCACGGCGAAAGTTCTGTGGACGGATTCGAGACAACAGAGGATATTCAACCTACAGGAGGGAGGGTGCGAGGGACTCCTGAGTCCACCCCGGCAGTCACCCCGACTGATTTTCAATCCGGAATTTTCATCACCGAGACACCGACTATCATCTTCATCCATACCGAGATCGAGGCGTCGATTACCCAGCTGGACCCTGGCAACGAGCCGCAGCCCACGAGCATCGGCGCTAAAGGGGGGGTTACGGATCCAGCCAACGAGAACAGCGGCAATTCTAGAAGCAATAATCCCACTGTTCCAGCCAGCGCGCAGCCGACTTCTGGCGGCGAGGCCCTCCTGACCGAAATCATCTCAAAGATCGGAGCTCCAGCACCTGGTGCACAGCCAAGCACCAACCCTCCTTCTTCCACCGAGAATCCTGCACCAAATGGCAATCAGCAATCCATTCCAGGTCTCGAGAATACGGAGCAGCCCGCTACGCCAGGAGTTCTGGTCACAGCACCGGGCGGACAGCCCACGGCACCAGCACTGACTGTTGATCAATCCATAACACTTGGTGCTCAAACTTTGACGCTGACTCCCGGGTTATCAACTACTGTTGGGACGGGGTCAGCGGCCACCTTCGTCGCGCTTACTACGAACTCTGTCGGGCAGACCATCATCGTAGTTAGTTCCAGTGGAACAGCAGTGAGCGCAACGGTCACAAATGCCCCTGTGACTGTGAGCGGCGTGAAAACAGGTTTCGACGCGAGTCTAACAGCTAGCGCGAGTCATGGAGCACATTCAACGCCTTCGAGCCTTGGTGGCGCGGCGGCCACTACGTCGCGAAAAGGGAGTGCCGCAGGGCGTTGGAGATGGGAGGCTGAGTGGTGGATAAGTTTGGTGATCGGTGTCCTTGGAATAGTGGTCATATTATAGCCAGTCAACCTTTCATCTTGGGGTGGGAACTTTGTTCTTGTACGAAGCCTGGGGCTGGGCAATAATGGTACAATAATGATAGATAGGAAAAGGGATATTGGGCATGGGCTTTAAAGTGGTCGATCGGCCGGTTGACCAAGACGGGGCCTTCCTCCCCCATTTCAAATCATACTTTGGGTTTTCAACATCTATTCCGAGAGCCTCCCTTACTTCAATACCCTCATACCCTACCCTCAGTAAACGAACTCCTAGCCCTCAGCCTCTTTCCAAACCAAAACAATAACCCCATTCCAAATACACACAACACCATTAACCCTCCAAGCAGACTCCCTCCGCCACCCACCCCCAATCCGTCGAACAGAGGCCTCGCAACCAGCACTGTGGTCTTCGCCAGAACACTCCTTGCGCAACTATTGGCAGCAAAGATACTCGTCGCATAAAGCGGATATATTGCTCGGAAGTACAAGAAAATCCTTTGCGCAACGTAGTAGATACCAAAATTCGTCAAAGCAAGACCAATAGCCGGCGCCATCCAGTGGATTGCAGGGCGAGATGTCTATGCTGAATATATCAGTTAGTGTGTGTGCCAGGAGCGAAAGGAATGGAAATCATGAAAAGGGTACGCACCGAATAGAAATATCCTAATGGGAACCAGAGCGCTTGATACCAGCCCTGGAATCAAGAAATTCTCGAGCTCGCCAAAGGTTCCCGCAGCTAACTGTGGCATAATGCGCTGGTGGAGGTAGAGGCAGTGTGCTGCGAGGGCGAGAATGGTGGCAGGAGCTGCGGACAAGAAGACCAGACTCGCACCTGTAGGCCTGAAGCCGTAATGGACGGGGAAGACTAGAGGTACTGACTTGGTCTTGTCAGTGAAGACATCCTTCAAGCCAGTGAATATTGAAGTTAATCAGCTTACATCGAAGAAGTAATAGCCTATCGCATATACAAGTCCAAGGTTTATTGTCGAGAACAAGAGCGCCGGGTCCTTGATATTCATCTCCCAGGGTTTGGCGAAGGCATCCCTGAGTAGACTTCTAACAGCGATGTTCTTTCGCTTTTCTTCAGCCTCAGTGATGAGCTCAGGATTCTCTATTCCTTTCCTTGCACATTTAGCCTGGTAATACAGAATCGTTAATCCCGATGTTCCTAGTAGGCAACATACCAAAATGAGGTAAATAGGACGGGAAATGATGAGTAACTGCCACATGACAAACCTCCACCCTAGTATCTCTATAGCAAAACTCGAAATTGTTGGGCCGAGAGCAGGAGACATTGTAGCAACTGCGGCCCACACGGCGATTGCAAAGGGGAATTGTGGAGGCCGCCAGATATCTCCGAACGAAGCCCCAACGGTTGGGAGACACGGAGACGCCATAAGGCCGAGGAGAAAACGAAGGATGAATGACGAGTACCACGTAGCTGTCCACTAGTGATGCAGGTATGCAGAGGAGGCAGAAAATTAGACCGGACATGGCGTACAGTAGGTTACGCCTCATCGAGGGGATTTCGGATAAGGGGAGAAGAGTAGGCATCCTAAGCCGTAGCCCTAGAAACCTGTTAAGGGGATAAAGATGGGAGGGGAATGAGGTAGACTAGAATGTAGAAAACAAAGCCGAGTGTGCTAACTATGTAGCTAATGTGGTATTTGTCAATAATAAGTACCTGAGTAACTAAACTCTAGAATTAATTAGTTATACAACTAGTCTACTATATATAATATAGATTCTTATAATAATAACGTACTTCACAGGCAAGTTGCTTACACACCTAAGTTGCTTACTTTTACTAAGACTCTACTAAACTACTTTTCCTACACTAATGTATTCCCTACAACACTACTTAAACATGCTAAAAAAATGTTAGATACAGCTTACACTCTAAGCTTTTAAATAAAATATAAAACTTTTAAAAAAATATGCTATAGCTATATATAAAGTTTTATAATAAATAATAAATAACTATAGCACTAGATAACCTTTATAAGCTAATTCTACAGCTAAATTATAAAGGCTAGGTAATAAAAAAAAGTAGGTAATTATTAAGACTATACTTAAGCTATATGCGCAAGAAATTTCCTCTTAAATAGCATTTATAGCTAATATAGCTAATTCTTTATGTGCTAAGTGTAATCTAGGCTATGTTTATATAAACTAGCTTAGTACATTTGTAAAGTGTTATTTAAAGCTTAAAGTAACATTTAAGTGTAAGTATAACTATAAAAAAGCTTTTTATAAGAGTTCTAAAGTAATTTAAAGCAA